TGGCAAAAATGGCCTAAATAGGTTAAACAAATCAATGATTAATACAAGTTTTTCCTACTTCAAGATACTTAGAAAAATAGCTCCATAGATAGAATAAATCTGTCAATATGAGCCACTTTGTCATAATAGTCAAGAGTTAAGGATTAAAAATATAATAGGGAGTTTCGTTTATAAGCCAAAAATGTGACTTGTTCATTACTTAGTGGTAGTGTAGTAGTGTTTATAAACCATACATTATCTATTTGGTTCATGGTACTGAGATGAAAAAATGCCATTCAAATTAGTGATACAATTTGGCCACTAATATTAAAAATAAATCTCTTCAAAAGAAGTTCCCTCCAGAAAATGGTTAGGGAACTTGAGCTAAAGCATACACATATAGTCAAGACAAAGACACATACCTTACTTCTAAAAAGAAAGAAAAGAAAAACTGACTTAAGGCAATATAAGCAATCCAAATTAGCAGAAGTTAACTGGTGTTTCTTAAAGAAATGTAGCGTACCCTGTCTTTCATCTTTGTTCTCTTTTTGTATTTCATGAGAACATATGTTGATGAGGGAGCTCAGATTTTTTCCCCAATGAGCATTTCTCATGTTTTTCTATCCCTGTTATTTGGACTAAGAAAACTGAATTAAGATGATTAGGGGCAAGTGATATAATAGAGAAGGTACTAATGGAACCGATCATGTTTGATAAAACGTGGGGGAGAATTATATGATTAAAAAATCAAATATATTTTAGAATTCATAATTTTTAATATCCCAGTATTGTTTGACATCTCTGTAACACTAAAACAAAATATTAGGATTTTTTGATGTTTGAATAGTTTAATAAATAGATTATATGTACTAATTCTAAATAATCTTAAAACATATTATAAATGACATGCATTTTTACTAATATCTATATAGTGAAATTATTACATAATCATATTACTTAAACATATTTTACATGCACTGCAGACAATTTTTAAAGATCTTCAAGTGACTACAGAAAATGTCATTTTATATAATAGGCATATATGGATAAAAAATCTTAATTCTTTTCTGTCTTGTATATCTTAATTATTTTTATTATTATGACAGTACTCATAGCAATTTTGGGCACTTTAGAAAATATAATAAATCAGTGTACTAATTTATCCTCTCAATAGTTGTGAATGAGAATTGAGAATAACACATCTGTCTGTTTTAGGCAATATGTGATACATCATTGTTTTATTTGAATATCTTTTATTACTATGAATTTGAGCATTTCTTTATAAACTCATTGGCCATTTTATTATACTTTGAGAATTGCTTGTTCATGTCCTTTTCACCATTTTCCTATATTTTTCTTTTTCTTATTACTACAAATTTTTATATAAACTCTTAACCTATTGCCCAACATATATGTTGCAGATATTTTGCCTTCATTCTTTATTTTTCCAGTATGTGCATGTGTTGTGTGTGTGTTTGGGGGATATGCAGAATATTTTAATTTTATATAGATAAATTTATCAGTTTCTTCCTCTGTGGTTTTCAACTTTGGTGTCATGCCTAAAAACACCATCCTGGAACATATAAATGTTCACCCAAATTTTGATGCCATTATGATTTCTTGTTTACATCTTTCATTTTCCTGGTGTTAATTTATTTTATGAAAAGTATAAGGATCACTAACTTCATTCTTTTCCAGACATATAACCAGTTATTCAAATATCAGTTGCAAAATAATCTATTCTTTCTCTGCTAATGTAAAATATAAACTGTATTACATGCTAAATCCTTACATATAATTAGATCCATTTCTGCAATTTGTATTTTTGTGCACTAAATGCTCTGTCTCTGTCACTCATTATTTTCATTATTACATTCTTAATAAGCATTTCAGTAAGTGATAAGACAACACTCCCATATTAGTGTCCTTTTTAAGTTAGTTGTTAATGGATATTTTTATCTACTATATTTCTTCTTCCACTTCAACTTTAGAATCATTTGTTATATCACCTTGTAGGGGGTAAAAAAACAAAAACACACTAGCACTTTTGTTGTCATTAACATCAAGATAGACCAGGTATGTAGCTCATGCCTATAATCCCAGCATTTTGGGAGGCTGAGGCAGGAAGATTGTTTGATGCTAAAAGTCCAAGACCAATCTGGAGAACACAGCAAGATCCTATCTCTACAAAAAATAAACAACCAACAAACAAAAATAACCAACATTAAGTTAGATTAATTTGGGAGAAAAATAAATGTTTATGATTTTGAAACTTTGTATATTGTCCTCTCTTCAAGTCATTTTTTAAATCTTCAGTAGAGTTTTAAAACTTTCTATATATATCCTCTCTATATATTTCTCATTAATTCCAATGATTTTGTCGGTTTTTTTATGCAAGCACAAAAGGTGACTCTTGCTGAGTTAGCAGAAAAAAATTACTCAAAATATGTTGGGTAACTCAAAGAATCAGTAGGTGGGCTTGAGAAGTAGGCTGAAGATTAAGCTTCCAAGGAAAATCACCAGAACCATCACAAGAAGGTCAGAAAGAAACTTTCACTGCCACCACCGCGTGGAGAACTAGCAGCTGACATTGCAGCTGCTACCTCTGTACCAGGAACTCAACTGTGCAGCAGCCAGGACTACTTCTAGGGACAGTGATACTTCTTTCTTTTCCTTGCTTTGTTGCAGCAGCTAGACCTGCTGAAATAATGTACTAATAGTATCAATATTGAGCATCTTTTTCTTGTTCTTGCCTTTAATAAAAAAATGTGTATTTTGTTTTGGTTATTATTGGTCCACAGAGTGTTAGGAAAGCCATCTTCAATGCATAGCTTATTGAGAGACTTGTTTTATTTTGTTTAATTGTACTTGTATTTTCTTAAAATCAGAAATGAAGTTTATCAGATACTTCTTGGTCAAAATGATTGTATGCTTTTTATTTAAGTTTTAACCTACCAATGTGATGAAGTAATAGATTTTTTAATATTTAACCTTCTTTGTATTCATGAAATATCCTATTCAGTCATGGTGAGACAACTTCAACATATATAGGATATAAGCATATGTTCTGGAATCTGACCACCTGGGTTCCAATCTAGGTTCTGTCTTTACCATTTATTATGACCATGGAAAAGTAACTTAGCTTCTGTAATACTCAGGTTTTTCTTCTACAAAATTGGAAAGATGATAATACTACTTATGTAAGAGTTATATGAGAATTATTTGAGATAATTCATGAAAACAGCAGTATATGGCATATAGTGAGTATGCAGCCAATATCAATTAATATCTTTGTTGTCTATTAACATAACATTGACTTTAATATTGTATGCATAAATTTTGCAAAATATTTCTAAGTGAGATTGGCTTATAATTTTCTTTTGGGATTTTTTTTGGTCAATTATCTTTGATAACATTTTTTTGTATAAAGGTTACATTATTCTTGCCAAGTGAACTGGAAAGTCCTCTGTATTCTTCCATACTCTAGAAGACTTTAAGCAACATTTAAATTTCTTTTTAATTAAGGAATAAAAATTATTCTGTAAACCATTACTGTCTTCAAGTTTCCTAGTTATAGTTCTATGACAACTTTTCAATTTCTTTCATGGCCTTTATCTTTTCAAAATTGCCATTTAAATTAATTTTAACATTTGTACTTTCTCAGAATATAATTTATTACTACACAGTAATAAATTCTAATTTATTATAGTAGAGTTGTATATAAAATTTTCTCAATGATTTAAAGTCCCCTTAAAATCTATTACCTTTTTTCCCATTATGTTACAATATTGATACTTGCTATTCTTTACCTTTGTGTCAAACTAGTAGTAATTCCATTATCATGCTTAGTATGTATAAATTTTAGACATTTATCAATAAAGAGTATCTGAATAGTTTCACTTTCTAATTTATTAATTTCCATTTATATTTTTATTAGTTCTTTCCTCCTAGATTCTTTTGATTATTTTAGAATTATTTTTATTCCCTATTTTCCTGCTTAGTTTATTTTCCTTCTTTTTAGTTTTATTTTTTATTGATACATAATAGATGTACATATTATATTTGCAGGCTATCTGTCATGTTTGATGCACTCATATAATGTATAATAATCAAATCAGGGTACTTGGGATATCCATCTCCTTAAACATTTATTAAATATCTTTTCTTTATTCTGGTATCATTTGAATTATTCTTTTATAGCTATTTTGAAATATACAATAGATTATAGTTTATTATAATCACTCTGCTGATTTAGCAAACACTAGGTCTTGTTTCTTCTATATACCTAGATCAAGGCATTTTAGGCTAAGGGGCTATATATTTTCCTCTGAGTACAGTTTAATCCCTGCTGTATTTTTAATCTATTTTAATTTTTTCAGACTTTATAATTTTAGTTTCAAAAAGAATGCTTATTATTTTCAGTACTTATATTTTTTGTATTTTTCTAAAATCAATTTCTAGTTTTATTACATGGAAGTCAGAGAATGTGGTCTGTACAATGTTTTTTCTCTCCCTTTAATTGTTTATTTCAGCAAAAAACCTGAAGAAAGTGGTAGTCAAGCATAGTAGATTTAGAGAACACTATACTGAGGATGAAAATTCTTTTTCATCTTTCTTACTTTAAAATATTTTAAAATAACCTCAATACTTGCATAAGATAGCAGATAAACTATTGTTGTCTTTTGCCTGCTTACTGATGATAACATCAATCTAAGTGTCTTAATGCTTGACCTAGATTACAGTATGTCTCAACTCAATATGCCTACTTTCATAAATTAAGATATTGATATTTTGAGGTTTTTTTTACTTTTATGTAGGAAGCTCATTTTTCTGTTTTCTAATATGAAAGTATTATTCCTGCTATTACTTATTTACGTGATATAATTGATTAACTAAAGTATTGATTAACTTTTATTTGCTACAATGTAGATATTCACTTTCAATATTTAAATTTCTTATAATTCCTAAATTTGACTTTTAAGAATATTTTTGTTTTGTTTGTTTGATTGTTATTTTTACAGAACATGGTTGGAGAGTGGACCTTACCAGAAGAAATGGTTGATAATTTACCACCCTCCAATAATTGTATATTGGGCCACGTGCTTCACAGACTATTTGAAAAATCTCTTCCTCCTCATCTTGAATCAACAGCATCTGGATTTCCTTCCTTTGCTATTAAAGGATGCTTATTGGGAAAAACATTTAGTGGAAAAACTACCATTCTAAAGTCTCTACAAAAAGGTAGAATCTCCCCCTCATTATTAGATTCTATTCACACTGACTGTAGCTGCAAATGTCCATGTATATAGAGAACATACAAGAAGCTTTGCTATATATTGGGAAATCTCTGTCATCCAAAATTTTATAATAGGGTGATCATGTAATTTATTTTCTAAGCCATAATTATTCAACCATAAAAAGAAGTGAAATACTAATACATGCTGTTGTCTGGATGATCCTTGATAACGTTATGCTAAGTGAAAAAAGCTCTACACAAAATATCACAAAATATATAATTCTATTTGCACGAAATACCCAGAATAGGCAAATCCATAAACGCAGAAATTGAATTATTGGTTTCCAGGTGTAGGGGAATAGAGAGTGACAGCTTAATGGGCATGGGGTTTCCTTTTGACATGATGAAAGATTTCTGGAATAGGATTATGGTGAGGGTTGCACAACATTGTGGATGTCTAAATGTCACTGAATTGTAAACTTTAAAATCGTTAATTTTATGTTATGTGACTTTTACCACAATAGAAAAAGAAACTTGATCCAAAAGACAGTTCCAGGGGGCCTGAAAGACAGCAATATAGGGTGAAGCCAGTACATAAGGGCAACAATTTCAATTTCCCAAATGAAATGCTATTTATAAAATTATCTTTTGTCCTTCAGTCTTTCCTATTCAGATCCTTTCTATTGACACTCTTGTCCAAGAAGCTATTCAAGCATTTCATGACGATGAAAGAATCAGTGAGGCCCCTCCAATTCAGAAAGAAGATGAAGAAGAAGCTCTACCAGTTCTGCAAGAGGATAGTAAAGAAAGCCAGGCAAGTATGACTCGAATTTCCTTTGCTGTGTCTGGTACACTAGATAGTTGGAACTGGATGGAATCTAAAAGATCTTCTAGACCAAGACCCTCTTCTGTAAACATCCAGAGGGTAAACATTTAGTTTCTGTAAAGCTCCAGAGTAAATATTTAAATTAAATATTTAGTAAATATTTTAGGCCAAGAGGCAAAATTAAGGATGTTTTGTGGACATTTAAATAACAAGAAATAAAATTTCTGCCCCCTTCTGTGGGTTTTCCTGGGTGGAGCATCCAGGGCACCAACTGCTGTGGGCTCACTTTGCACCCAGTGCCATCAGCTGGAGACGTTCTCCTGAGGATAGAGTGTTTGGCTGGTGCATGGGGTGGGTGGAGTGACTGAACTATGGAAGTTGAGAGTGTGTGGCGTATGAGTGCTGTGGGGGAACTCAAGAAGTCACCACCTCCTGGACTGAGATCCCACCACTCAGTGCCTGGCAGATGCCAACATCAGAGTCCCCAGCATGTAGGTGGAGATCAACAGTGGCCCTGGGCAGTAGCTGAGGCCTGTCTGGAGCCAAATGGGGTCAGTGGTGGAGGGAGACTCCTAGCTTGGTCTCTAGGCTCACAGTACTAGGTTGCTCGAATGATGTTCAGGAACTGTGTAAAAGCAGTTAGTGGGCTGAATTTGGTCCATGGGCCATGATATGATGACTCCAGATTTAAACTAGCAGATCTCAACTGGGGTGGAGGGCTCTCTGCATGGTTTACCTGTATCACATTCCCATCAGTATTGCATGACATTACATTATTGTGTGAAGATTCCTAAGTCAGGTGGATGCTGAATAGGAGAAGGTGGCCCCACCTTGAGGATCATTGATGTGGTCTAGCCCCCTTCGTTTCACATAAAAGATACTAGTAGAGACCCTAAGTATGAACTGATTTGTTTGGGATCAGCTTGTTGATGGCTACTCTGTGATTGGGGTTCCAGATTCTAAGTCCAGAACTCTTTCACCTCCTTCATTCTCTCTCTGCAAATGAATAAATTAGTCTAGAATCTAATCCAGATCATTTGCAGGGGCTGCAAAATTAATAACATTTAACGATGAATTCTGAAAATAACTAGAAATTTTCTTCATTGCAGGCTATGTCTTCTTCTATCTTATGGTACTCTTTCTATTTTAACCAAGAGAGTAATAGATAATGTGCATTTATTTTTTTTACTTCCTTATGGCTATAACTGACACTTCTAGGATGATGACTTAAAGACAGTTTTTCATAAAGGCTACCCTTTTCTCAGGTTCCATTGTATTTTCAAAATAGCAGTTGCTGTTTTTACGTTGGAGACCATTGGAAAGACAGATTATACCACAAGTTACTATATGTTTCTACAAGTGCAATTATCATCAAATATTGTTTGTTTCTGGAAATCGTAATTTATGACCGAAACTTCAATCCTCTCTAATATCATTAATGTTATAGATAAAATAGTGTATTTATTCTCAAACCCTTACTTATAGATATAAAATTAGGAAGGTTATTAAAATATAACAACGTTAAAATCTCTGCCTGTGTCTGTGTTTTCTCCCCAAAGGATCCACAAAAAGAATTTTCAGCTGGTCCAGTCTCAGATGAAGTACGGCCAGAAACAGAAGGTAAAACTACATATAGTGAGTAGATATCAAAGCAAATCATTCATTATTTACATTAGCGAGACAGTCAAACAGTAAGAACATATATATGCATAAACTTGCTTTCAAGGAAAGAAATCAGAGCGATGGAGTTTTGCATAATTTTCTGTATGGTCATTTGACAGAGAAAGCCAGATAACCTTTGTCTACAACTGAGGAAAAGAGATAAAATTATAAGGGAATCTTATAATTGCAGCCTCCTTCAAATAGTTGCTTAGTTTTGCTGTTGTTATGAAAGCAGCCAGGATAAATCATCCTTACTCTTCCTGGCTTGGCAGGGAGACAGTGTTTTATTGGTTCCACTCACCTATGCAAGTCTGTATGGGAGCACCATTGGGGCTGCAGGGTCTGATCTTTTCAATCCACATGCACAGTGGTTCTTTTGATAAATTTAAGTTTATTTTCAACCTTGGACAAGACCAAAAGACCCAAGCTTCCCAAACCTAACAAGAAGTTATCTCCCATGAGATCTGGTCTTTAGTGCTTTAGATCTTTCATAGAAACCATTGAAAGAAAACAATTTTAGGTGTTAAATATCTTTTCTCTTTGTGCTAGTAAGGTTTTGCCATATTAGTTTCCTCATATTCTAGCCTAAAGGTGGATCCTCCTGTGTCATCGTCACTATTGCTATTAGCGTTAAACAATGTCCAGATTTACTATAAGCATGTAACTCTCCCAGAGAAGCTGGACTTTCCATTTTCTAAAAGTATATTATCTGTCACTTATTCCAGTTATTTGTTTCTTAAGAGATCATTTGAATTGATTTTTAAACTATTATGTCATGACATATTTTATTGCATTAGTCCAATCGATTAAAAACAAACTCTTTTAAATTTCTTATTGTTTTCCATTGAATTTAATTAAAAACTCCTCTGACTTCTGGAGATATATACTTATAGATGTGTTTATTATCTATAACTTGATAATCCAGGAAAATAAAAGTATAAGTTAGCATTTTAATAACATTTCTTGAGAAACTTGACTTGTCTTTTGAAAAGAGAACCCAAACTGTGTTACAATATTTCTAGTGATATTGTTATGAGCTCAGGACATATAGGAAGGGAGGAAAGGAGAAAGGGAAGAAGAAAGGGAAGGGGAGGAGGAGGTGAAGGGAGGGAGAAGGAAGGAGGAAGGGAGGAAAGGGAAGGGAAGGGAAGAGAAAAGGGAAGGGAAGGAAGGGAAGGAAGCGAAGGGCAAGGGAGGGAGAAGGAAGGAAGGAAGGGAAGGATGACAAGGAAGAAGAGGAAGGAAGGAAGGAAGGAAGGAAGGAAGGAAGGAAGGAAGGAAGGAAGGAAGGAAGGAATAGAGGGGGAGAGGAAAGGAAGGAAAGAAGGAAGGGGAGAAGGGAAGAAGGGAGGGAGGGTGGGAGGAAAGGGAAAGCAGAAAGAAGGTAGAGTGGGAGGGGAAAACACCAAGCCACACAGTGGCCAGGATCTTACTGGTGTGGAAGGAAGGTAAAAGCTATGCCATGGTGATTCTGTTACTTTCTTCCTCTCAGTATCTCAGGCATAGCTGAATCTGATACTAGAAATTTGTTCTTACCATTTTACCTATTGCTAGGTACTGATACTGATAAAACACCAAAAGCCGAGGAAGTCAAATCAAGTGATGATGTCTCGAAAGTAAGTATTGTAATCTACTTTTGGCTATTAACATTAAAATATGACATGATTCATGGCCTTTTGGTTTATCTACAAATGGAATGAAATAATGATGTGCTTCTTTGGTTTTAAAGAAAATTTAATGGTAAACTACTATCTAATATGTGTTAACTTAACATCCTTTATATTGTTAATACTTATATCTAAAGCAGTGGAAATTACTATTCAGTTTTGCCAGATAAGAAAATAAACACATGCTTTTTAAATTTTAGACTTATGCCAAATTTATTTTTATGTATTCTTTTTTTACCATCTAATTTATGGCTTTTGTTTCATTTCCTCTTTACCTTTAAAGAATGGTTCCAGAATTTACCCTTATTCTTGTTGATGATTCTACAGAATTTTTTATTAATTTTTGAAAAAATGTTCACAACAATTCACTCACTATTGCTCCTAATGGAAATTAATATTTCCATAAATAGTATTGCTTTACTGTATGTGGAGCATTTTTTTGTTATCAAATAGAATGACCAGATAGATTAATCAAATGAAATTTTATTTACTTTATTTTTACATTTCATTACTTTCATTAAGCATTTCATCATGGAAAACATTTTTATAATATTTCAGATATCATAACTTCTTAAGGATAGAAAAAATTTTATAAGGATATATACCAAATTGTAAATAAGATGACTGATGGGGAGGGAAATGGGCTTAGAAAAAGCAATAAAGGAGTAAAGGGGGACTTATAATGTTTACTCTGTGCATTTGAAATAATAATCAGCAAAAAGGCTAAGTATATTTTTATATTTACATGTATGGATTTACAAATCCCCTAAATTCCATATTCAATTCAATTCAAAGAGTATACTTTGTCCTGTGTACTGTTTTAATAATTTAAATATATCAGTGAACAAAAAAGACAGGGTTTCAAGCCCTTATGGCATTTATATTGTATTGGAGGGAAATACATGTTATATGGGAGATGGTGATAAGAGCTGTGAGAAGAGGCAAAGTAGAGCGAAGCAAAAGGGAGCAGGAGCACAGGTCAGGGCGGGCCTCCTTGGGAAAGGGAGATTTAAGCAATTAGGGTATGGAAGGATAGAATATTATTTTCATACTTAAATCAATTTTTCAAGTGGGATATATGCTTTGGATGGAGAATTGGTGTTACCAGAGCAAATGTTTGACAGATTTAGGCAATTTCTAATAGAAAATGTCAATGTTACACATACTTTTCCCGCTTTTTGTATGATAATTGTAGGTCATTTGTGGACTTCAATAAACTTCAACTGTGATTACTTTGGAAAAAAAAAAAAGAAAATAAAATAAAAACATGAGAGAACCAGTTCACTGGATCTGGGAAAGCATTCCAGGCAGCGAGAATAGAATAGCTGGGTGCTAGAGACAGCCTTGAGGCAGGAAGGAGCCTGGCTGGCAGGGCTGGAGGGTAGGAAGGGATGAGGTTAGAGCTCAGTATGAAAAGGGAGCAGTCAGCTCAATCAGGGTCTAACAGGCAATTATTGGGACATTTGAAGTAAAAGGGAGAACTTTTACAGGGTTTTAAGTAGAGATATAATATCATTTGACATAAAACATTCACTCTGGTGGCAGAATTAAGAATAGGTTCTAGGGAAGTTCCTGGAACATCAGTGATCTCAAGTTTGTAATGGACTAACTTACAGATAACTATTACAAATTCTGGGAAAAATATCAAAATGAATTATTTGAGGGCAAAAGGAGACAGCAAAAAAAAAAAAAAAAAAAAAAGGAAAGGAGCAAACAAGAAAGTAGCAAAAATCAGGCAGAAAATATATGGAATTTCACCATTGAAAGAAGAGAACTTCCCTGGGCAAGAGCCATGGTTTATACACACTCCAGTCAGTTGGAAAGAGTGGCTAGAACTCCAGCAGAAAGCACAGTCTTTCTGATCTAAGATATGAGAGGTGAAGTTTGGCAATGCCAGAGCAGCTGCATATTAAAGAGGAAGACCTTGGAAGGGAGGGTGGCTTCAGAGAAAGAGCCTCAGAATCTTTTTGCAAAATCATACAAATTTTGCTTAAATGCTTCCGTGACTACAGAATTGTGCCAAGTAGTCAGCACCTTCATTAAAAACCAAACTTTTTTTCCTCCAAACATTTGGAATATGACTTTTAAATTAGCTGTCTTCTGCCATTCATTGTTTATTTTCCCAGCTCACTGTGCGTGCTCAGCTTGGTGAGAAATCAGAAGAATTGCTGAAGAAAGGAAAGAGCATTCCTGACACATTGCTAATTGACATCATGGTAAATGCTATTAAGTATGTATTGCAGTTTTCTTTCCTATATCTATTTAATATATTCCTTATCACACAAAGGTATACAAAGCATAATATAGAATTTGTTTGTTTCTAATATCTAAAGAATACTACTTGCCTACATAAGAAAATAAATGGCATAGTAAAGATAGATACACTTTGTGATTTACATGCCTATATTTCACTTTCTCCCAGACTTGACTTCTTTCATTCCGATGTGAATACAGCTCAGGTTCTATTGCCTGTGGGGAATCAAGGAGAAATTGAATAATTGAAAAAGCTAAGGGACAGATTGTGGAGAGACCCTACCCATGTTGTCACAGGCCACTGGGCCTCCTCATTTTGTGTTTTGAGAAGAGAAGTTGGCCGGTGCTGGAACAGGGTAGCGGGTGCACAGGCAAGGAGTAACATATATGCATGACACAGAGATGATATATGATAGAGGATAAAGAAAAATCAAGCAGGCTATAATTTTGTAATCTCTCCATTCTAACAAAAATGGATCCTTCTGAGCCCTCGTTTATAATACAGAAAAAGGAGAAACTGTAAGAAACCATAGAGACTTGGGTGGTCCATTTAATAAAGAGATGAAGTCAAGTAGGATGGAAAAAAATATAGTCAAAATGGGTTCCTGTGAATGAGTTGTAGAGAGCTTATAGTGGGTGAGGAAAAAGAATTGGGCAGTTGTGGTATGTGAGAAACATTAAGACTGAGAGAGATAAGGAAGGAGGTTTTAGGGTTTTACCATACATCTGGAATGGACCCCCTGTTAGTGCTTTTGTAAAACACTACATTAAAAATGTAAGTTGCTTCGCAGTTATGTGTATCTAGAAATCTGACCACAGGGCTGCAGCCCTCAGAGCTAGAAGGGGCCTTATTCTAATAGTTGTAACATTTCTCAGAAGTGGCATAAAGCATATTTCAGACATGGGATTCTTTTTTCAAAGAAAAATGTATATGAAAAGCATCAGATATAAGGCACAGCTTCACTTTAGTTTCAGTAGAACTGGAGTATCTACACCCCACCGTCAGAGCTCCATTACCCTCCTTCCAACATCACCATCCTAATTGCCTCTAAGATATCACCAAAGGACTGTCATCAGTTTGAAATCTTGATCTAGTCCAAATCTATCCTTTTTCCATGGGTAAGAGGAGGTACATGAGGGCTTAGCTTCTGTTACCTATCTGGTTAGTGGTGTAGCCCCAGTCAAAATCCCCATAGTCTAGAGCCCTCACACTGCAGCTGAACAGGTGTGGCCCTGACAACCTCCTGTTCCCTCTGAAGTGGCTCCTGAGACTGCAAGTGGGGGAAGAGATCACCCAGACCTGGCAAGGCACTCAAGGACATTTTCTTCTCCATCTTAAATCAATGAATCAACAAATCCATTCTATGCAGAACATTTTACCAAGCTCTGGATAACTTACAAAAGCAAAATGCAGTCTTTTCCTGCTCTTAACCTAGCGAGGGAAATATAGGCAGTGACCTGAAAACAGTTTGATATTGTGGAAGGATCACTGGATTTGGGATCACTGTAGTTTTGTGACTTTTAATAAGTAACAAAAACTCTCTCAACTTCAATTTTCCCCCTCCTTCCTTGTTACACTATAAGAAGGATAAAAGCACCAAAGCAAACTCAGAAGCTTTTGAAAGGGGATTCTATTGTTTAATATTGAGTTCTAATGAAGAAAGAAATGAAATTATACCTTTTAATCCAAAGACCATAATCTCAATTTTGTATAATTAAGGATTTAAAAGAACCGAGTTTAAGTTTATCTCCTTTTACCTAGTTTTCCATTTGCAAACAAAATTAATAATTTTTGGAACATCTATTCTCTAAAGAGGACACTGTGCTGAGTGCAATAACTGAGGAAATGGTCCTTATCCTTTTGCAACCTATAAACTGAGAGAAAAAAAAGGCTCAATTGAATTTTTATTAAGTCAAGAAATATAATAACCACTTTATGGTGAAGTGAATGAGAGCCAGAGGAGTTCAGATCAGGCTGTTATGACTCTACGCAGGATTAAGTAGGGTACAAGAACTCTCCAGGTTAGCAATACAAGCATCTATTAATAGTATGCGCTAAGCTCTGTCTGGATTTTTTTTTTTTTTTTTTTTTTTGAGACAGAGTCTCACTTTCTAATCCTTCTCCCATCACCAACTTCCCACTTCTGACTCCCAAATTAGGATAACTTTATTGGTTTTTTTTTTTTTTTTTTTTGCCTCAGCCTTCCGAGTAGCTGGGACTACAGGCATGCGCCACCATGCCCGGCTAATTTTTTGTATATATATTTTTAGTTGGTCAATTAATTTATTTCTATTTTTGGTAGAGACAGGGTCTCGCTCAGGCTGGTTTCGAACTCCTGGCCTTGAGCAATCCGCCCGCCTCGGCCTCCCAAAGTGCTAGATTACAGGTGTGAGCCACCACGCCCGGCCTTGTCTGGATTTTTTAAATGCATCATTTCAGTTCATCCTCACAACCACCCTGTTAGGTATGTTATTTTACCCAATTGTGTAGATGAGGAAACTGAGATGCAAAGGAGGAACAGCCTATGGACACAAGCTAGAAAATGCAATCCATACGCTCATAAGTGAGGAGATCAGTTCGTTTGAAGTAAATAGCTCAAAATTGAGAGAAATAAGTTATAGAGAAAAAAGTCATGGTCAATTAGTTTTATTATGAATACCATGTTAAGGCCTCTAGAATAGATTTGGAGAATGGCAGGGACCCAGAGAAGGATTTCGAGCAAGGGAGTGATTGTAGCACCTTATTAGACCTAGTCTTTTAGCTCTAAAGTAATGAAATTCATGCGGTAGGAGCTTGTCATGGAATGGAGAGAAAAAGGCAAGATTTATCGTATTATTATTTGCAAAGTACTTGGATCTAGCAAAATGTTAATGAGTCGTCCTGTTTCAATTAAGCGAGATACCTGTGAATCAAGGCTGGGTCCTAGATGGTTTTCCAATGACATTAAACCAAGCACAACTACTGGACGAAGCTCTTACCGGCTGCAACAGAAACCTCGTAGAAATGGAAAGAAAGAAAGCACAGATATCCACATTGGTTGTTGATCCTACGACTTCCAAAGAAGTACCTCTTCCCACCCCTGCATTTGATTTTGTTATATTATTAGATATTTCAGATATTTTCTTACTGAGTCGCATGAATTATGTCATAGGTAAGTAGTACCCCTTTTTTTGGGGGGGGCACTCTTTTTGTACAATCAAAACTCATTGTTTTATTTGTTTTTTTGACTGAATATTCTCAGTGAATACTCCCATTTACAATTATAAGTGGAATATGAAAGAATCCACTTCAGCCTTTCAGAGAATTATCTAGCTGAGCACAGTTGCCACCTGCTTTGGCTGTTAGCATTCAGTACTGCAGGATAAGCCTAGAACTAGTGAAGAATTCCAAGCAAAATGCAAGCATCTTCCAGAACCTTTCCATCAATTTAGCAGCTCCCTTTGTACAGAGGTGTGTTTTTGAGACTTGCATGCATGGAGGAGCTCTCTGTGCCTGCCTAGTATGTCTTAATGGATCACCCTCATAAAAGTGATAAGTCACTGTGCTGTAAGCAAGGATCTAGTAACATCCTTCCCTTGGATTGTGTATTAACTCTGAGGTACAAGTATCAGTTGGCTGAAGTCCTCACATAATGGGGTTGAATATTCTTGCCTAAATCCATGGTTTATTTAATTTTTTTTATCCTTTACATTAAAATATCACTTTATACTACAAATTAAATACTTATGGGTGAAAGCATATATTCTTGAACCCTGGCTTTCTAGGTATTTGACCTTGGGAAAATTACTTCATTGTTCCAAACTTCAGTTTCACAACCTATATGATAGAATGGCTCACTGTATTGTTATGGATATTAAATGAGCTGATAGAATCTGAATTAAATGAGATGATAGAACACTTAGGATAGAGTCTAGTACATGATAATAAGCCTATAGTACCTATGTCAAGAAGAACTGTGGAAGACTTTGAAATAAACAAAAGATTACTAGATATCCTTTCCATAGAAGGCTGAGTATTGTCTATTAGACCATTTGAGGTCTCTGATCCTGTAGAGGTCTGTGCCTTTCATTGACTTTAACTCGGATCTTCTGTAACTCCATAAGTTGTAGGAAATTGATAGTAATGCAGATAATTCTTGTCCTTAGAAATGCAGATAAATTGTGTTCAGTTAAACCACAATTTCCACACTATAAAAAAGATGGTTCCAAATATTACATTGCTCTATAGCTAGTAACCAGTTTTCATCTGTTAACCCTATTTCAGCATTCCTGTTTGCCTATAAATGTGTCTTTTCTACAGATTTTCATTTGAAGTGCTTGTAACATCTTACTGGTTCCCTCTTTAATTGAAGAGTTAAATGATGTCTTTGACATATGTTCATTTTACATTTATTTGAGAGTCTTATTTTTAGCTTTTTAAAAAACTATCCTTTTACAAATGATAACACGTCATTCTTTTATTACTTCTGTTACTACCAATAACCACACTTGGGGCTAGGAGAGACCTAAGGGGTCATCAAGTCCAATGCCTTAATTCATAGATGGAAATTTTAGGCACGATTGCTTGACTTGTCCAAGGTCATCACACTCATCTTTATTTTGAGTTTGTATAATTGTGAGATCTTGCTTTCGTTGTTTACTTAAATAAAATGGCAAAACCATTAGATATTATTTCAGCTGTCCAGCCCAGTAGTTTAAACTGGATACTATCTATACATCCCAAAGGGAGAATTTACCTTTCTTCATAGAAGGTAATAGGAACCACGCTGACGGTAGTGATGATTCTGCTTGTTCTGCTGACTTCCCACTCCTGGTCAGAGGATGGATAGCTGAGGATTGGCTGAGAACTGCCAATCCTTAGCCATCTGGTGGCAGAACAGGGTCCTGATCATCAAGATTAATTTGACTTGAAACTGGTTATCGCAAGTTACTATAAAGTACACACACAGACCTGTGGGTGAGAGGGTCCTTGAAAACAAATTATAATCCTACGAGGGCCTCAGAAGGTTTTCCCACCCTCTTGGGGCTCCACAGGAGGTGTATATTGTTGTGTGTTATAGAAATAGAAGGAAATCAGTAGCAAGAATTTTTCAAGAAATCTAACTCAATCCAGTTTGAGTTCTTATGATTTTTCTATCAAAATTACATGATGAATGATTCTGGCAAATTTTTTAAAGCTAATACTAGCATCTGAATGGTTTAATTTCTTTAGTTTAGACCCTTGACTTATAACTAGGCTTATAAATGCTCTTTCTCCCCTACTCCAGGGAGAATCTCTTCTTTGTCAAATTTTGTACATCAATATACATAAATAATCTTATTCTTCTGCCCTCAGAAATTAATCTTAAAGTACAATATAATTTATTTCTTTTTATCATATATTTCTAATATTACTGTAGCAGTTTTAAGTTTTTGAAGTGAATTGAACCAAATCCTGGACTAGGGCCACATAAACCAGGAAAACTAGTATCAAATCATTAATTTGTAGTTCTTACTTGTTTTATTTAAAATTGACTATGCTAAGCATGTCCCTAACTTTGAAAGTCAGTCTACTATTTTCATAGTCAAATATTGTAAGCTAAGAAAAAATATTATTCTTTTATATCTTAAGTTTTTATTTCTTAGAATATAAAATTGACTTTTATTTTTTTTTCAGGGTTGAGCATGTATTTATTATTGCACCATTACAGAAATAAAGCATTTTTTTTATCTTTGCTAATTTGTTAGTGAACATACATATCACTATTATTTTTTAATTGGCATTTCTTTGATAATCACTGAATTGGGCTTTTGCTTTCATATTTGTATTTCTATTTTTGTGAATTAATCTTGAGTTTACTCATATTTATATTGACTTTATGTATCATTGATTTTTTTTTTATTTTGGCATATTATGGGGGTACAGATTTTAAGGTTTCAATAAATCAATATGGTATTGGCACAAAAATAGGAATATTGACCAGTGGAACAGATGTGAGAATCCTGATATAAAACCATCCTCATATAGCCATCTAATCTTTGACAAAACAGACAAAAATATACGCTGGGGAAAAGAATCTCTTTTCAATAAATGGTGCTGGGAAAACTGGATAAAATTGACTTTTAAAAGATCATTTTGCCAGTTTATTTTCTTATCTAAAGCAAGACCCCACATAAACTATTTTAAGACAAATGAAATTCTATTCTTCTAAAATATCTTATTCATTCACATATTTATTTAACACATATTGCATGCTTACCAAATACCAGACACTGTGCTAGGTACTGATGATAGAGTAATAAGAGAGAAATGGATTCTGCCTTCAAAGAGCTTAGTGGAAATTATAAGTACCCAAGTGACTATAATATAGTGTCATGCTGTCCAACATGGTAGCCACTAGCTAAATGTGGCTATTTAAATTAATTAAAATTAATAAATGAAAAATTCAGTTCTTCAGTTACCCTGGCCACATTTCATATACACATGTGGCTAGCATATTGACATACACATATTGACAGCACTGATGTAGGATGGTTCATTATCTCAGAACGTTTTCTTGGACAGCACTGGTATAGAGTGATGGAAGCTAAAATGGCACCACTAGTAAATGTGTATCTAATTTTACAAATTGTCAGGTAATATAGGGTAATTGTCAGATAATGTAGAAGTAAAGTCCCCATCCTCCAGTAGTTCACAGGGCAGTATAAGGAGAAACAAAATAAGCTAATTATTATAATATAGTTGTTATACACTATAATAGGTGTGCCCAGCCTGGGAGATTAGCCAGACCAAAAAAGAGAACAAAGAGGAAAGGAAGGCATTTGCAAGGCTTGAAAGGTGAGCATAAATGGTTCAACTAGAGAACAGCAAGAACCTCAGTAGGCCTGAGGGGAGGCATGGTATGGAGTGATGGCAGAAATAAGCCTAGAGAGTAGGCAGGAGCCAGATCAAGAGTCTGGCACCAAGATAAGGTGTTCAGACTTTATCCTGAATTTGTGTGAAGTTACTGAGTGGCATTAAAGCTAGATTTAACATCATTAGATGTGCTTTTATAATGACCATTCTGGCTGCTAAGATGGAAGATAAATTGAAAGGGGAGTGAGATTGGAAGCAATTAAATGAGTTGGAAAAATATTACCATTTGAAAAATAACAAATACATTAAGACAGAAGCAAGAAGCTAGGGAGGCACAGTGAGATTAAAGTGGTATTTAGGGAGTATGCTGCAGAATTTAGTTATTGGCTGGGATGGGAGATGTAGCACAGGGAGAATGGGATGGCACCAAGTTTCTGACTTGTATAACTTTTAAATAGATAATATGGAAAGAAACACATAGAGTTCCTTTTGGAACACATTGAGCTTGAAGTACCTGTGGGACCTTTAAGCTAAGTTGTACAGAGAACAGGTCTATAAATGGATCTAGATTTCAGAAGGGAAGTTTTCTACTAAAGTTAAGAATTTTAAGGTAAGGGAAATCATTTAGGAAGAAGAACAAATGAAAAAAAAGGATTGAGGTGACATCCCAAAATGTCAAAATTTAGTGGAGAGAGCAAAGGAAGAAGTGTTTAGAAGCCACAGCTAGATAGAGAGGAAGAAAGCTATGTATAGAAGTAGCTCATAAGCCAAGAGAGGACAGATTTTTTGAGACAAAACTGTGTCCAATCCTCCTTTGAGGCCAGCGAGATCCTGGGCCCGGGTGTGGAAGCCTAATCACTAGGGTTGGTGCAGAATGCTGTCCTGTGATTTCTGGGATCCATGGAGAAGTCTGAAAAACAACATCACAAGGAAGCACATATAACCAAAGCCAGGTGGGCTGCAAGGGCTGAGCATCAGTCAGCCAGGGCGAGGCAGGGAGGAATGGTCCATAATCAAAGCCAATAGGCAGGATACAGGGGACCTAAGGAGAGGGAATAGCCATTGTGGGAGTAAAAGGCTATGTCAGGATGGAAGAGTAGGTGGCTGCCTCTGCTGTTTAGCCATTGGTCAGCCTGAGAGAGCACAGCAATATTCATAACATGTAAGAAGTGCAGACAGGGTTTGAGTGCAGGCTCTGGAAGCTTACCCTTTGTAGCTAATGGTGACTGAAAAAAAATGTGAGGAAATTCTGGGACTGATAATGTTTGTTTCTTGATCTGGGTTCTGACTGTTTTCAATCTGTGTATTTATTCATGCAGCTGTATATTCATGTATGCATTCTTTTCAGCAGCTATAATTCAACAAGGAGTATAAAAATTAAAAAGAAGTCCAGAATCTGGAGTCAGATTGGAATCAAATCCCTTCCCTACCATTCATGAACTGTGCAATTCGGGGCCAATTATAGAATCCCAATCCTACTCCACAAGTTTTGTGTTGAATATAAAATAACATCATATGTGTAAAAGCATTTAATAATTGCATGATAAATTTACTTATAAGTGCTACAAAGAAATCAAGTAGGATAAGGACTGAAACATGTCCATTGGCCTTGGCATTTTTGATGACCAGAATGAGAGCTGTTTCTGTGGGGGAGTGGAGGGATGGATTGCAGTGGGTTGAGGCCTGAAGGGAAGCTGCAGAAGTGGGGGGTGTAAGTGGACACAACTAGCAAGGAGCTTATCTCTGAAAAAAGGGAAAGCTGTGGTGATGGAGTATTTGTTACCTTTTTAGTTTTTTTTCTCTCTCTCTCTCTCATTTAAGGAAGGGCTTTATATATATGAAAGAGTTCAGTGGATTTTTGAGCCAGGGGATTAGCAAGAATAAAGATTGTATATTTTTCTTCAACTATGTCTACCAGTGTTAAGTCTTGAGGAAGAAAGACATCATCTAAGGCTGGTGTAGCAGAAGGACACAGAAATTGAAGTTAAGAGGCAGAAAGAACTTGAAGTGTACAATCATACAATCTAGGTTTGATAGAAAATATAAAGTGAAGTCAGGATAGCACTGGCAAATTTGAGGAAAAGGATGTAGGAATTTAGGGACAGGATGACGTTGAGGAGATTCATCAGCTACACAGGAGTGCTGGATGGACGAGAGTTTGTGCTAGGAGTACAGGTCGTTAGGATTGCAAAGATGGAACCATGCAGGGTGACCACAAAATCCAGTAGCCATGATAGTGAGTACCGGAAGTGGAGAGAAGGTAAAAGGACCAATGCCTGGGTTTGGAGAGAGAGGAATGCTAATCCATGTGCTGTACTCATTGATAAATATGAGGAAGTGATCATGAGATGGTGCATGATAGCATCTCCTGAGACAAGCTCCCAAAATATTCTTCAGTCACCCATTCTGATGTCAGTAATCCTTGGGTTTTATAAATAACTTTAAAGCATCATTCTGTATTCTAAATCTATTTCATCTTGTTCCAGCATGAATACAGATAGAGAACAACTGATTACTGTATCCTATGACGGGCCTGCCTTTTCTTAAAATCTATGAATTCACTCTTCAAGGTTCTCTTGCATTGATAAATCTAGTTTCTTTTAATCTAGTTCAAGGCTTTCTTTCTTCTCTATGGACATGATTTTCCATTATCCTAAGTTTGTGAGTATTCTGGGCTTTCCAGAATAGGACTTAATCAGAGCTGTTGAGATTGTTTTTTGTTGTTTTTGGTCTCTTTGGGTCTATTCCTTTATGTCTATTCTGTAGATAGATGATAAGGTCTACAAAGAAATATAATTATTTTATTGTATTGTAATATAATGTCAGCAAATAATTATGCATATTTAACTTTATGGTCACCTTATTATTTATTCTTAATTTTTACATCACAATGTTAATTCTTTACAAGTTAATTATCCATGATGACCCATTCTTTTTCATTCTCATCTGTTCATAGTCAATCCTGAGATCCTCTACATTAACACTACAGCTTGTCTTTAATGTGGTTTCCTAATTTCCCCCAATTTCCAGGAAGAATTTGAATTCTAATCACAAAACTATACTCTTTCAACATCTTTTAAAAACATTTTTAAGTAATGTTGGACCAAATATATACCATATCTATTTGGCATCTTGCATCAGTATATTTTAGCAGTAAGTAGCAACTTTGACTGGTTTTGCAAATTATCTAATTAAATAATTTTCATACTGTAGCTGAAGAATTTTCATATAAAATTGCTCATGGAGATATCAGTCAACATGTAGCTGCTGAAAACCAAGATATGTATGTGGACCAGTATTTAAGAGACCAGATACAACATAGGTTAGTTTTTACTACTAAATGCCTTTCTTCTTATTTCTTGCCCATTGAACAGAATGACAGTTAGTCACTTTGGAATCATCAGATTGAGAAAAAAGGTATATTGCATAGTATTCAATCATTTTAGGTAAAACAAACTAAGTAGTTTTGATGATGAGGGAAATATTTATGTGCTAGCTTTCATATTCAGAGAACAAGCTATTATAGTCTGAGGAAAGAAGAATTAAATCAGGCAACACTTCCTTTAACACAAACTTGTAAGTTAATTATATGGAATCCTCATTTAGCCCTCATTAAGGAAATGCCAGTAAAGAACATGAAACTTCAAAGAGCTAAGCATCAGACTAGAGAGTGTAAACTACTTCTGTTTTGCTAAAATAAAGTTATGTGACATTCTTTTAGTTGTGTGCAATTTACCATTGGAAAAGAAAATTTAGACGAAATTAGACTATTTTATGAAACCTGAGAAATCTCATGGTAGGAAGTAAGCCAGGGAAGAGTAATTTGAGCTACATTAACGCTGTATACTCTCCAGAAAAAAAAAAGTTTCAAGAATCATTCCCAAAATACTTTTAGTAAAGCAAATAAGTATGAACCATCTATACTTACTCAAAGATCTCTTCAATTTCTATCTCTAAGAAAAAAAAAAGTAGATAACTTAGGTGGATCAGGCTGCAGCTACCATCAGAAGAGTTCTCTCTGTTATTGCATCATGAGTACAGATGATATTCCCTTAGATTTTTACTTAAAAGACCTGAATTTTTACTAAAGATTTCCTGGGTTGGTGGAATTTTCCTTTTACACGTCTTTAAAAAATGGCTATAACCTATTATTTACTTTTCATTGACTGCAGATTTATTTAAGTTTCAGATTCAACTGTATTGACAGTCTATTATTTTGTTTTTATGTCAAATAAATTATGCTTAATGTCACTCAAATCTTTCAATCAGTGTGAGATATCATATAATATTTTGATTTTGCAGAATTACAGGCTTCTTGGACAACTGGCCTTTATTGGAGCAGTGGTTTTCAGAGCCAGAAAATATTTTGATAAAAGTCAATGCTGAAATAGATAAAGAGTTTTTATACCAAACAGTAAAAGATATTTTTACAAATGAAATAGTGAAAAAAAAGAATAAAGGTAATGTAACTAAATGTGTGGTTTTAATGAGTTTAGAAATGTGTGATTTTAATGTGGTTTTAATGAGTTTAGAAGGAAAGAAAAGTGTGATTGTAAGGTTCTCTCTTGTATTTGAATTATACTATCTACAAGTACATTCTACCTCTGACTTTAGCTTTCTGCTGCTTATGTTTCTGATAAAATATTTTTATCTTTTTATCATTTAATTTAATTTAATCAAAGAGAGATTATGTCACTGAAAGCACTGCTTTCATATAAAAATAGTAACCAAACAAAAATAAATAAATAAAAAAGAATTAAGGATGCTATAGAGAAGGGTAAAGATTTCAATTTGCTAATTTCAGCAATATAAGGAAACTGTGTGAATTCTTTTAGGATATAAAACACTAGGCAATTAATTTTCCCCAAATCTACATATTTTGTTATGAATTTATTGATTATTAATTACTTATTTATTAGCCTATTGCTGGAGTATGTCTCACTCACATCAAACCATCCAGGATTCCTTCATCCTTTATTCAGCCAGTAATAATTGCCCATTAACTTTGTATGCTATTAACTTTGTATTGGAAACTTTTATTGAAAGGGATCTAAGCTGAGTGCAATGCCAAATTTCCACTGGGATTTTGCCTTTGAGAAGTGGCTTGAGAAATAAATATTTATTTTTTGTTTATCTATCACTCCTAATTATATTGGCAACTATAGTTTCTTGGTGTAATAAAAATGGTTAAAGTTAATATCAGAAGGACTCTGAAATTGCCTTGATAGCATTTTGTCTCCTGTCACTAGATTTATGACCTACCTACCATGATGTATCAGTTAACTGACATTAAAATAGCCCATAAGTATGAGCCACAATCACTATGGGGAGGCAGGAGCTCACACTTAGAAAGACAAGCTCCTACATCTAAATGTCAACTCCATAAAAATGCCAATGTGAAGCTTTCAGACAAAACAAAAAACAATTGCATAGCATTTTTAAAGGCTTACTATGTCACTTGACAGAAAGTAGACTGAGAACTGTGAGGAAACCTTCCATAGAAATCACATAGAGTCTTGGTTGGAAGGCAGAATCAAACTAACTCTAACTTGTAAAGACTTAAAGCTACAAGTTAGGATCAGTTAGTTTTTACCAGCTACCAGACTCCACTTTAATATTTTTCTAAAGATCTCACATTCTAACCACTAACTACATGTATAGACTCAACTGTCCCTTAAGATTTACATTCCAATCAGTTAATTGCTGTAACAAATATTTAATCATTAAAACAATAATGTACCTAGCTCATTGCTCTGTATTAAACATTCCGATTAATATATATATATATATAATAGTGTGTTTTCTAAAAAATTATATATGTATATATATGTATTAAATATATATACACAGAAAAGAGTCTGACAGTATGTATAATAATTAATGGTGGGTGAAGGAGAAGGGAAAAGATGTTTAACAGCCAACTCTTCTTTCTACTTGTTTGCCTTAATTCTTTGATTTTTTAAAATAATAATTATGTATTACTTTTATAATCAGCAAAAACAAAAAACCCTCATTTCCACTTAGAAAGATCATTTAACAGAATGAAACCTCCTTGCTTGTTGAATTGAAAAGAACAATTTAAGTCTGCTGTCCCCAACCCCCAGGGCCACAGACTGGTACTGATCCATGGCCTATTAGCAATCAGGCCACACAGCAGGAGGTGAGCAGTGGGCGAGTGAGCAAAGCTTCATCTGTTTTTACAGCTGTTCCCCTTTGCTTGCATCGCTGCATAAGCTCTGTGTCCTGTCAGATCAGCAGTGACATTAGATTCTCATAGGAACATGAACCCTACTGTAAATGGCACAAGCAAGGGATCTAGGTTGCACGTTCCTTATGAGAATCTAATGCCTGATGATCTGAGGTGGAGCCGAGGTGGTGATGCTAGTGCTGGGGAGCAGCTGCAAATACAGATTATCATTAGCAAAGAGGTTTGACTGCACAATAAATGTAATGTGCTGGAATCATCTCCAAACCATCCCCCATACCCAAAGTCCATGGAAAAACTGTCTTCCATGAAACCAGTCCTTGGGGCCAAGAAGGTTGGAAACTGTTGATCTAAGGGAAAATGGAGCATATGTAAAGAGAATAGTCATATAAGAATGCAGGCATTTATTGCCAGTGGCACAGTCAGTAAAGCTGGGGCATTTGCAATGTGGAGGGCTGGAAGGGCTGGGGCAGTTGAGGAGCATGTTCTAGGAAGGGTGAAACTGCATTATAAAAGGAAAAGAGGTATCACAATCATGGGTGCCTAGAAAGAGGAAAATCAGCCATGCTCCGTTCCCCAATGCATTTGAACTGACTGTCTGCTTTGCCTGGAACACTCTTCCATCAGATATCCATGTGGCTCATGCCCTGGATTTCTTCATGTCTTTGCTCATATGTCAACTCCTGGGTGGGCCTACCCAACTTAGCACTCTCTCTGAAACTTCAAAAGCTGCCCTACCACACTCCTTATCTCCCTTCCTGTGTTCTATTTCTTTTCTGCATAATACTTGTCACCTTATAACCTCTTATACATTAATTTATTCATCGTAATTATGGTTTGTCTCCTACCACTACAGAATATGCTTCATATAGCCACTGATTTTTCTCTATTTTGGTTTATTGTTCTATCTCCAGCAACCAAGACTGTGCCTATTGTTGTTTGTAATATTATTATCATCATTATTAGTAGTAGCAGTTTTACTTTATTATTGTAGTCACTCCTATTCTTCAAGGCACAATTCAGGTTCAATAGATAGTTGTTGCATGAATGAATCAATTGCTAAGGCTTAATTGAGGACATGTGTACTGTGTACATAAGTGTTTATTTATTGAAGGCATTGCTGCACATTTCCTTCCCTTCTCACCCTTACCTCTTCTATTACATTGCTCTTTACCATCTCTTTATGTTTTTTTTCCTTGCTTTCCCACTGGAAAACTTGAAATAATCCTTTATTTTCCTATTTGTCATTATTAGCGACTTTTAGATTGTTACGTTTACATTTGACACCCATTCACCAAACCTTTATACCTGTTTCATACACACACAAACACACACCCCCTCTACCACCACCTTCACCTTCCCCACCATCACCACCATCATCACTCCACCACCACCATTACCACCATCATCACCCTCTCCACCAGCACCACCATCTTCACCATCTTCGCCACCATCTTCACCACCACCACCATCTTCACCATCTTCACCACCACCACCATCTTCACCACTACCATATCCACCACCACCACCATCACCAGACATCACCACCATCTCCACCACCACCATCCTCACCATCTCTACCACCACCATTACCACCTCCAACCCCATCACCATCACCACCACCACCACCACCACCACCATCATCACCATCACCACCATCACCAACATCAAGAGTCAAGGGAAACTATATTTCTGACCAGGCATAGAAGGCTTGAAATCTTAGCTTTAAGTACTAGCTAATTTAAACGAGAACCCTAAAACATGGATTAGACTTAAATCAGTAAGTGTAATTTTGCATTAACTTAGGTTTCTCTTAATTCAAATGAAATAGTAGGAGTCCCTAATGAAGGTCTTATCATCCTTTTGAAGTTGAAAAAGAATTAGAAGAAAAGGAAGCTGAGAAAAATGCAGCAGCCTCTCTGGCTGAGCCTACACCTCCTCCCCCTCCTCTTGAACCAGAAAAAGAGAAAGAAATTCATCCTCATCATGAGCCTTCAAAAACTACTGCTGCAAAAGGAAAACCACAATCAGGTGATTGACAGTATGATTTATAACCCTGTTTGCCAGTTTCTTATTTTTACTTAGTAAAGAATTATAAATTATAGTCTATTTATATAGATTTAGATTTGGGGCAAATTCAATCATATGAAAAACAAAGCTCTACACTCAGATGAAAGTGGAAAAACCCTCTTAGTACCTAAGAAAGTAGTTGCTACAAAGCCCAGGTTCATTACTGTGTAAAAGAGAACATGAAATCATCACACTCAGGTCTACTGATTAGAATAAGACCACAGATGAGAAGAGGAAAGATCAGGAATAGCAAAAAGTAACTTAGGGCAGATCAAGAGGACAGATATCTGCTGAACTGTAGAGTTACATTTGTGTAAAGAGTGAAACCATTTTAATAAAATAAAAAATAGCTAGCCAGTTTTCCACAAGAATAAGGGAAGAAAACGAAAGCTTTCATTAGTGACAATAATGGATATGTAACTGTAAATTTTCAGAACTATATGATTATAAAAAGTTAGAAACCAGCACCTGATATCTCAGTAAACATGTATTTATAGATATATTAATAAAGAGTCTGGGCGGAGAACACTTTTTAGTTTACATTTTTTTCTAGATACTTACCTGTTAAAGACCATGAATATACCTGCATTAAATAATAGACATTGCATATAATGAAAACAGTAAAGTGTATAATTGTTGTAATGCATGATATTGATAGAATGTCCATTTGGTGTGTGTATATGAAACAAATATGACTCTAGTTTCTGGTTTTAGCTTTCCAAATGGCTGACTTCACAGTTTCACAAGTCTACCTAGGAATCCTTGATATGGTGTCATGATTTATTTCTAAATTCTATTTTCTTTCTACTTCGTGGAGATTTGAGATAGGTCTGAATGTTATTAAAAAATTAAATTTAGGCCGGACGTGGTGGCTCACGCCTGTAATCCTAGCACTTTGGGAGGCCGAGGTGGGCGGATTGCTCAAGGTCTGGAGTTCAAAACCAGCCTGAGCGAGACCCCGTCTCTACCAAAAATAGAAATAAATTAATTGATGAACTAAAAATATATATACAAAAAATTAGCCGGGCATGGTGGCGCATGCCTGTAGTCCCAGCTACTCGGGAGGCTGAGGCAGTAGGATCGCTGAGCCCCGGAGATTGAGGTTGCTGTGAGCCAGGCTGACGCCACGGCACTCACTCTAGCCTGGGCAACAAAGTGAGACTCTGTCTCAAAAAAAAAAAAAAAAAAAAAAAAATTAAATTTATTCATATGAAATAAAGGAATCTGAAGACTTTAATAACATATATTATGGTATATTGAAGACCATTTTACTCCAATAAATTAGAGGTTAACTAAAGGAAATATACATAAACCCTAAAAATGTTTCTATCATATGAACAGTAAAACACAAAGCCATGAATTAAGTATATACCCCTTTCCCACTACCTCATTAAGAATTAGAAAAACAATTCGGAGGTCTGGAGGAAAAATGGAAATCTTTAAATTGGTTTTCAGAAATGGAGAATATAGTTTTCACACTGGGTAAATGAGCCTGGAATTATCAAATTGGTTCTTTCACCTGTGTCTGTGGCTATACCCACCTCCTCCTCCTCCTCCTCACCTAGCTCACAGTCAGGAGTATCTATGTATTTAAGCCATTCCCTGAAACCAATCTCTAGTGTATCTGATTATGACACAGTTTAGTCTTTAAGTTTCTGAAGTGTGTTTGCTAGTTTAAAATTGTATTTTGAATAATGTGCATTGGAGGAATAATAAATCTGTTGTTGCTTCAAAGAGTGGTTGTACCTGTCTCTTTTTTCCCCCAAGGGCCGGAGTAGTGCCTGATCTTTAAAATGTGTACAAAGGTTAATCTCCAAAGGCTTAGTTACCTCTGTCCAACAGCAGTGCCTTCCTGATAGGAAACCTGGACGCAGTGGGCACTGGTGGGGCAAAAGAGCAGATGGCACTGTCCCTGCTGCTCAAGGAAGCTTGCTTAAGTGATTTTAGGGAGGGACATTTACTGCAGATTTTTTTAATAAAATATTTCCATGAAAAATTTACAAATTTTGTTCAAAAGAGAACATTTTTAGAACTGAAATCCTGAAACTGCTGAACATGCCCAACTCAAACATCCAATCACAATCTTTTATAGAAGTTGAGATGGAAAGAGGAATTATTTACTAAAAAACAAAACAAAACAAAAACATTGGAATGGAAATGGGGTAGAGGAGGCACAGTACACTGAGTCCTAATAGTCATTTTGTCCCAAAATAGTTCTATACTGCATGTACTTCTACATTTTATATCTGCTTCAACTGCACTTAGGATTAAATTTCAAAAACTTCACAGTTATGCCCCATTGAATGGTCTATTATCACATCCACTATCATATGTCAGAATTTAATTCAGAACTAAAGTTCTCAGTATGACACAATAGAGTAGCACTGCTCATGCTTCTATTTAAGAATATTTTTTGAGACTTCAGAATATATTTTTGGAGCTAAAAAAAAAAAATAAAAAAATGAGCAGACTGCATACTACTCCTGGCAGCAATGAGACTTGCCCACAGTATTTTATGAGTTTAGTATCTTTTACTTTCTTTTTTCTGTCATCTTGTACTAAAGTTTAGAGCTAGTTAAATATTTGGTTACCCAGAATATTTTTGGTAAAGAAACTAGGAGTTTATCAACACTTTTGATTATTAAGCTTATTTCTAAAACAAACAAAACTATTCAAACATTTGGGCCAGCTGGCCGACCTGCCTCCCTCCCTGCCTGCCTCCCTCCCACCCTCCCTCCCTCTCTTCCTTCCTTCCTTCCTTCCTTCCTTCCTTCCTTCCTTCCTTCCCCCTTCCTTCTTTCCTTGCTTCTTTCTGAGTTTGATGGTCAACTGTTTGGATTTTTAAATGTTCTTTTAGAGAGCTTAGAAAGTTCCAAGGGTGATCCTTCTCTCTGTCATTCACTTGTTTTATTTCTATGGAATCTTAGTTGTTAAATCTGAGATATTAAAATGTAAGTGATATGTGCTGTGCATTTACACATTCTATGACTATCAAATACAAAAATATAGGTCAGATGGGATCTCTCTCCATCACAGATATTTAAATTGCCATACTTGTCCATCCTTCCAATGGTGGAGGGGGACTATAGCCCAGAACCAAGGGAGGAAAATGACTGAATTAGCTGACTAGTGCAGGATGAGAGAATTTTTCCAAGGAACAAGTTTATTACTTAAGTCATCTACTGACCTCAAGGTCATCAGTTTCCTGTATAAATATAGATTATATATTATCTACATTCCAGAAATATACTTCCAGGATAAATATACTTGAACCATCGTTTGCATTACAAATTACAGTCCGTGCAAAATGCAAATGTAGAAGGTAACCAAATGTATAGTCAAAAGAAGTTCAAGGATACACAATATCCAAACAATATGGTCATTTAACTCTTCTTCAAACTGTTTTGGTATCATTGTTTTTACAGATCTAATTGTCTTATTGTATAACCACCATTCAGTTGAAATAAATCCAAATAGAGCTATGTGCTTCAATGGATTTTTGATTAACTTTTAAAACTTCACAACTAGTTCCATTAAAGAGTTTATGATGAAAGCCATTATGAAATATTTATCTTAAAGCTAGTACTAAATCTCTCAGGGTGACAGAATAGTGCTACCATTCAAGAAGTTTCAATCCATAGTCTATCTTCAGATTAATTTTAACTCATAGTAAAGACCTGAGCCATTTTATGTGGCTCACAAACGTAATGGTTTATCCTTGAGAAATAACATTTGATTGGTTAAAAATCATATAGCCAAGTCTATTGAAGTAAATAATCGATGATATTTGTGTGTTGAATTTTGTTTAGAAACCTCACATGGTAAGCAAGAATCTCTTCAGGAAGGAAAAGGGAAGAAAGGTGAAACTGCACTGAAAAGAAAAGGTACAACAGATAAAGATAGATATGATTACATGTAATTCTGCATTTTATAACTGTCTCAGTGAAAATAACTAGATTTATATAGTAGTACACATTGACTACTTCTCTTAGGCATTTATAAATCATAATCCTTTGACAAAGAGTATAACCTCAAACTTTCCACATCCTGCTCTTAGCAAAGGTCCTACTGAGAAAAGTGATGTTTGTAGGCATAATTTAGAGAAAATCTAATATGCAGAATATCCATTCATCATAGATATTATAGGTATTATCCTATATGGCTAAGCTGTGCCATCAGAAAGTAAATGCTACACACTGAACTGTATTTTCTTGGACCCTATATTGAATTTCTTTTATTGATAAGCACTTTGGGAAGAAGTCTTCAACTTTTTGGTAAAAAGTCCTCCACCACATAACATAGTAATGGAGGTGAAATGTTCATGATACACATAATAACCTGGTATTATATTTTATGAAATAAAATATTATATTATACCCAGTATATGATTTAATGGCCCTTAAATGAAATCCTAGGTGAGAAATTTTATTGAGGGACAGGAAAACATATTTTCCTCTTAGTGATTAAATAATGTGTACCTCTAAATGATAGCATTTCTCTTTTTGTTTTGGCTATTTGGAATTTCAAAACCCAACTAGGCTCAGGCTTAGTATTTATGAAGGACCTAGAGCTCAATATCTTCCTTCCAGTTCCTCTTCTGGTTTTGACTTTCATTTTTAAGTTGTATTTTTCCTGACCCTAGTTTTATTTATGTTTTTTTTTCTATTTTACTTTAACTATTTCCTTGAAATAAAGGGGATACATTTTTTAAAGTAACTTTTCAAAGTTGGTAAAAAAAAAATTCCAGGCTCTAAAAATCATATTAGTTAGATTTATGTTGAAGCTGCTATAGCAACCAATTAACTAAATAAAGATGGAAATATAGTTGTACATGTAGTTGACATCTTCCCAGGTAATTCAAATGGCATTGTCGTGAGGTGTGTGCCTTTGTTTAACTATTCATCATAAAGCACCAATGCAGTTATAGTCCAAGAGTGTGCAATGTCCACAAAATTACGTGTTAAGAGATGTTTATTCTGGCATTTAAATACAAATAACTATGATTCTCAAAGAGAATCTCACGGTTCTCTGATTATATTACATAATGGGTTTATATAACTAGAGCTCATTGTTAACACAGATAAAAAATTTAGCTAAAATTTATGTTCAGGGCTACAATTTATGCTCAGCTCTCAATTGTTTACTAATGGAATAATTTTCACATATTACATTGCTCATCCCTTGGTTTCCCATCATTATCAAAAAGAGCCAATAAGTCATCACGGTATCATCAAAAATAGACATTAAATGTACAAATGTATATTAGATGTCAAATCGTCAAAGTAGACATAGTAAAGCACATGTTCTAATATCATCCTTAATTAAAAGCATACAGACTCCAAACAAACCATAAGCAAACACACAAGTTCCACAGTAAAATGTGTATGTGTAGTGGTGTGTATAGATATATATATATAGAGAGAGAGAGAGAGAGAGACAGAGAGAGAGAGAGAGACAGGGAGAAGCCATGTAGTTAGCTTAAATTAACTAACTCAGAAGACTTCCTAGTGATTTTGGCTTTTATTTTGCTATTCTATTTTAAATAATATTTGAAATAGGTGAACTCTCAATCAAGATCTAGTAGTCTTCCTGTTATATAGAAATGGTGTTGTTTTGGCATTTATAACCTGATTTCCTTCATGGGGAAGAAGTTACATGATTGCATTTCTTAATATTTGAAAATAACACAATTTAGGGTGAACACTATTAATTATATGTTATCTCACAGGCCATTTGATACCAATTATATTAAAGCATCTCTTATGACTTGAGGGACCATCTCTTTTCTCCTTTTTTCAAACTTCTTATTTCCTGCATTGTTGTCTTTGACTTATTAATATTCTTCTCTGCATATTAGATCAATCTCTATCCTTCTCCCTCCAAAATCTTGACACTGAGATGCCATTCACAGTTGTACTTCTGGTGTTCTAAAGTGTTTCTTACCCTCTTCAACCCATTTGCCACTGTTCCATTATATTTCTTAGTAAACCAATGGCTTTTCAAACATATAGCCTTACCAAAGGGACGTTAATTAGGAGCTAAATGAAGAAAGTTTTCCGTGATCAACTATGTTCCGTGTTCAGAAAATGCCAAGTTACATTACGTTAAAATGTTTTCAATTACAGCATTTTTTCTATGCTAATATGCATCTCTAAGGGAGTGGGAGATGCAGTATGTAAGATCTTAGGACATTTTGGCTGCAGAATTCTTCTTCTTTGGAGAAGTATCTGTTGGGACCAGAGTTCTGTGGAACAAACACTTGGAAATAATGTCATCTTTGGTTCCAGTGTCCTACTCCATGTATTAGTATTAGTATTGCTCCAATGTTTGATTTCTGGCTTAACTTATAGCTTTAATTTTTATAGATGCTACCAGGCCACTTAAATAAAATGTAGTATCAATGTTATAAACATTAATGACATTTAATTTGAAGGATGTGGAAGAACAGAGAAAAAAGACAAGGTGAAATGAAATTGACATAACCAGATGCATCTATGAGAGCAATGGCTCTCAAAGTGTGGTCTCTGGAGCAACAGCATCTGTAACTCCTGGGAACTTGTTAGAACTACACATACTCTGCCCTACCCCAGACCTACTGAATCTGAAAGCTCCAGGATTGGGGCCCAGGAATTTGTGTTTTAACAAACCCTCCAAAGAGTTCTAATAATCATTGAAGTTTGAGACCTACTCTACTGGAGCCCAAGGCTTACTGCCCTATTAGATCCATTGGAAAATTGGAAACATTCAATTACTTCTTGTGTCTTATTTATAATATACCTCTTCTTCCAAATACTTAAGTTAGATTACATTAAAAACACCTGTATATACTAACACTTTTGAAATAGAAATAAAAATACAAAGCCCTGAAATGAGGGAATTAGCATGTCCAGATCAAGGACATATGCTTATTGTGATGACTCATTAAACTCAGAACAGCCTAGGTTGACAATATGAAGAAGGAAGCAGGATGGCTTTAAGCTTTTCCAGGATAAATTTCTAAAATAGATTTTTATCACCAGGGACCTTGAACCAGTATGTGGCCCAATGTACAAGGTCTTAATAGGTTTTATAGAAAATGCAATTTGTATTAGGTTTTATCTAAAGGTTGATGCATATCCAAAAGTTGATGATTAATTTATAATTACAGTTCAGGTAGTGAAATTCAACCATAATCTTCTTTTATGATAAAATACATACTCACAATAACAAATTACCTCTTATGTAGTACCTATTATGAGCCAGGCGCTATATAAGGTAATTTACATATATAATAATCTCACTAAATTCTCACAATCACCTATGAAGTAGAAATTATGATTTTACTACTTCAAAGATGAAGAAAAGGGGAGTCAAAATAAATAAACAAGTATTTTGTTAGGAACTTTTAACCTATGAGAAAGGAAAGTTGAGCCTCTTCACTCTTCTGGAAATGTAGTCTATACTCCCACATTAATTTGCAGCACCAAACTGTTTATAGCTTCCCTGGATTTTGCCTTAATACTGTCACCATCCTTTAAAAAAATTAAATAATACTATTTGCACTCTTGAGTTTTTTTTTTTTTTTTTTTTTTTTTGAGACAGAGTCTCGCTTTGTTGCCCAGGCTAAAGTGAGTGCCGTGGCATCAGCCTAGCTCACAGCAACCTCAAACTCCTGGGCTCGAGTGATCCTTCTGCCTCAGCCTCCCGGGTAGCTGGGACTACAGGCATGCGCCACCATGCCCGGCTAATTTTTTATATATATATCAGTTGGCCAATTAATTTCTTTCTATTTATAGTAGAGACGGGGTCTCGCTCTTGCTCAGGCTGGTTTTGAACTCCTGACCTTGAGCAATCCGCCCGCCTCGGCCTCCCAAGAGCTAGGATTACAGGCATGAGCCACAGCACCCGGCCACTCTTGAGTCTTTTAATGAATCTATTTCTTAGCTTTGGTTTTTAAAAATTTTACCAGAAAATTACCAAAAAGAAAATTGGCATGCCATATAAATAGAAAATAATCTTAAATCAATTTATGAACCAAGTAAATAGAATTAAAGAACTGCTCTAAAGTTTGCAAATCTCTAAATATCAATCTAATGAACATTTATCAATATGAACTACATCAATAGATACTAAAAGGCAATGAAGAATGACAGTCAAAAGCACAAAGGCTGGAGCCAGCCTACCAAGCCTGAAGTTCTAGCTCTGCCATCTACTATAATAGTTACTTCAGGGAAGTTACTTTACCTTTGTATGCCTCAGTTTCCTCATCTATGAAATAAAGTCAAAGGATCATCTGCTCATGTGGCTATTATAATTGTCAGGCTTTAGTCTGGAATGTCAGTTCTTGGTGCACTCATGGCCAAAGAACTAGACGCACCAAAGTTAGGAAGCATGAGGTGAAGTTTATTGAGGGGGCCCAAGATAGGATTATAGAGCAAGAGTGAGATATAGGTTTGCAAAGCATGATACATACACCACAGTTGACGACCACACCCCTTGTCACAGCAGGAAAAGAGAAAGCTTGGTTATGGTCTGGATCTTGTTTCATGGTGTCCGAATAGGGACCTCTCCATGGTTCAAATGTCACCATAGAACCACTTTCATTTGACAGTTGGGGAGCTGCATGGCCTGAGTCTTGCTTTGCATGTGGGTTCCAGGTCACTTTCTGGACTTTAGGTACCCATGTGGCTTGGTCCCGTGGGCTAGAGAGTCGTTTGCACCAAGTTCTGATTGGCAGACTCATAGGGTATTCCCTCCTCCCGCAGGTGTGGAGAATTAGGGTTGGGCAGGACCAAGATGGGGGCAACAGCACCCACTTTCATCTCTAGGAGGCCCAGAATCCCTCTCTACCTTCCTAGCATAATGAAGAAGTACAGACACAAAAAATTAAATAGAACAGAGTCTGGCTCAGAGTCAAAGTAAACTCTAAATCAATAAAGACTTGTATTAGTGGACCCAGACCAAGATCCTAAAGACAGTGGGCAGAAAGGGGAATCCTCTGCAGTTCCTGCCACTTATCACTAATTATAATTATGATTATAGTTATAATTATGCTAAAATTAGGTCTTAGGAGTGATCCCAGATAACCAGTCTCATTACTTTATAGTTGTCCACATTCCACATCTCCAGTTGCACACAGAGTAACAATGTGAATTTTAGGGCACTAAGGAGAGAAAACTTTCCCTCCATGAGCTTTTCCAAAAGAGTTTCTCATTAGTGAGTCAGAGAATACATGTTTGGTCTCTGTCTCCTTGCTTAACACTGGCCCCCTTGTCTTCCTGCTTCCATTTGTAAGCTAAAAGTTTATTTTCTAAGACATCTTGAGTCTCAACTTTGGTTGCCACGTTGGCAGCCCAGACAGCCATCAGCACTATCTTTTAACAAAAAGATGTTTTTTTTGCTGAACTTGGCTGACCCCAAAGGCAATAAGAAAGCCACCAGTGTTAAGTGATCTTCTGGTTTATACCTAGTGAGACTGTTAATTAAATAAAATACTATGGAAAATATTTTAAAACTGAAAATAATATGGCAAGGTAATAATAATTCCTTTCTTTTTAAAAAAAATCAAGCTTTCCATATCCTTTCCTCCATCCTACAGTTCTCACCTCCCAATTCTCTCACCTCCCTGAGTAATGCCAATTTTATTTCAAAGTGTTCTGTTTTCTTAATGTCTTTTCATCAGTTGATATAGTTTACTCTTATTTTAGAATTAACTATTCACTTTCTTACTTTTAAATTTTGGTTCTAGCTCTTGACTTTCAATTAGTCAGATCTTTACTGAGTTCATACTGTTATTATCTTTGCTCAAATTTATTGCATCTTTGGTTGATCATTCCTTAATTCCTTAATTGATTAAAAAAATTCTGTCTTAAAATTGAATATTTCTTTATCTTTTATTTTTATTTGTACCTGTTCTAGCTCCATGGGCTTTTGTGTGATAGTGTCAGATTCTTATAACAACAACAACAAAAAGCTAATATCTACTTTTACCATATGCCAATCATAGTTTATTTCCCAAGCCTTTTATCTATGGGAAAATGGGGATTCAGTGATCCAACTTTACATGTGAAAGCAAATGTCTTACAGAAAATGAAGCTTTCTGGTGGTTGTATGGGTGGAATGCCCCTTGTTACATTTAAAATGCTGATAAAGGTTTTGTTCAAAAGTGAAAAATCTATTTTCATTCATTAAGGCATAGACATATTTTCACTTATTCAAATCTTTTGTGCCTTAGCATTGTTAGTGTCAGAAATTAGATGAAAGTTGTATAGACTCAAACCACAATGGTCCAAAAATATTCCTTGGCTCTCTTAGTTTTAACTGAATGATCATGATATTTAAGGAAAGAAGAAAAAGAAACTCATTTCAGTCTTCAATTTTTAATTACAAAGTTCTTATAAATTTTGTTAGAGAAATTCATCTAAGGTGGTCATACAATTATCACTTGGACTTCACTAGATATTCAGGTCAAAAGATGAAAAATCATCATATAGAAATGTATATCAAATTAAGAACATTTTCAGTTACTGCCTAACCAAAGAGATTCACTTAAACTTTTCTAAATTTTCACAAATTTAGATACAACTTCAGATCTATGGATAATGGATACTGTTTTTAAACACCTAAACTGTCCACAAGACAATTAATGATTTCTCCTCTACTTATAATCTACTTATTTTTAACTAATGTAAGAGTGGAAGATGTATTTGCTTTTCTAAACAGCATTAATATTTAATAATACTCAATAAATAAAGACATATATTTTAGGAAAAGAAAGTGCTCCCAGTTCTACGGGCATTTTTAAACTTTATTTACAAATCCCAATAATTAATCTAAAGATAAGTGCAATTTTAAACTGAGTGAATTTCCGAACTGTAATAACCTTGATCCTTTCAGAGAATTTTGGTGCTCTCGCTTAATAAATCTAGATTTCCCTCTTGATGATGTCAGGGAGAGTGAGGGATACACCTGTATGAATTCTGAATTGAAAATTAGACTTCCTCCTCCTCCTTTTCTCCCTTCTCATTTGCCTTTTCACCACTCCCCATCCTTCTCTTTCCCTTCCCTTCTCATTCTCTCTTATGCCTTGACTCAGTCAGGCTCATGGCCCAGCAACTATCTTGATCCTTATTTCCCTCGACTGTGGCAAGAAATATAATTTCCCCTAGAAACCCTGTGTCTCCTGTGGGGCCGTGGGGATATTCAGGAGCCACAGTACCCCCTCTTCTTTTTCTTATACAAGATAGAGAGTTTAATTTTCCAGTTTTTGAAATAAGAAATGAAGTACACTTTGCTCTAGAGTCTAAACTGTGTAAGAGCTACATGTTCATTGTGGCAGCAAAGACAGAGATGAAAACAAAATATCAGGTTGTTTTTAACACCAATCGGACAAGAGAAGTTGGATTGCTTAAGAAGAAAGCAACTCACTATTATTAGTATCATTGGTTAATTTTGAGGCTGTGGAAACTGAGGCTTTTTCTTAAATTTTTGATTTGATAAGACTTCCCAAAAGGAGCTTATAAAGTAGTTAATGAATTGCTGAGTTTATGGCGATCATATATTTATTGATCCACCAAAATCCTGTCTCATTCATCTACTTGTATTGGAATAATTTGATATGCATATTTAAGGTTCTCCTAAAGGAAAATCGCCAGGAGGAAAAACACCCGTAAAGAAATCACCTGTGACATCTACAGATATATCACCTACTCCAGTGGTGCCACTACCACCCAAGCCAGGATCAGAAGAATGGGTCTATGTGGATGAACCAATTCCTGAGGTATGGCAGTTTAGAACCAAGCTGGTAGAATCCATTCTTTCTTCTATTTACAGTAAGATTCATACTGTTATTTTCAATATCCAGAAGGCCTTTCATATCTGGTAATATATATGTATTCATTAAAAAGCTAAGATGATATTTTTCTGAGACTACTCATTGAATGACATCCCATCCTTTTTCCTCCTCATCTAAATTTCTGAGTCATGCTTTGAACTGCTGTTCAAAGTGCTAAAACTAGGGGAACAAGTGGGTTCTGTGAGGACCAATTTTCTCCCTGAGGACAAGCAGAGATGCAGTTTCCTGGAAGAATGACTTCCCCAGAACACATATCCAGCAAATATCCAGCCCTCTATCCATGTTCTAATACCCACATCATAATGCTTTTTAGTGAAGTTTAACCTCTGACTTTTTAAAAGTGGGAGAACATTTTTGAAAGTAACTCAGAACCAAGCTGGTAGGATCAATCATAATAGAACAACAGCTATCTGACCTGGCAGCTTTACCTAGGTAGGCTGGTGTAAGCCAAGGAGATGACCCAGGGGAGCCCTGGAAGCTCCACCCAGCTCATTGTTTTCTGACAACTGCAAGGCCCAGTCACCACCTAGCACTTCTGGTTGCTTTATCAGATGAATCCTTGGGAAAATCACACAGAATGGTCCTTCCTTTAAAACTTTTTAAAAGGCAAAAGAGTCCTTTTCAAAAGAATATGTTCCTGTCTCCTTTATTCTGGTCCCTAGTGATCTCTTACTCTGATGAGCTCAGCAAGGACCATCTGTGCCAGGCAATTGAGACTCAATTATGAAATGGAGCAATTGTGGGGTGGCTGTTATTATTGAGCTTTCCTAGGAATATGTCTTATCTCCTAAATTAGATCATAAACTCTTTGGAGAGGGTACGAACATATGGAATAATTCATTGTATTCAGCACAAACACAATGCAGAGTGATGACAGATTCTTTATAGCCTCCTAATGAATTAATTAATTAGCACTGAGGATGAAATTATAACTGAAAATATTTGAAGATGAGAACATTAAATGATACAATTATGGATGTTATAATTGACATCACTCAACCAAACAGAAGCTACTTTAAATATGTGTATATATATATATATATATAGTGTATATATATATGTGTGTGTATATATATATATATATATATAGTGTATATACACACACACACACAAACTGTCACAGAAGCAGGATATGGAATAGAAATGGTTTTTGAAAAGGAGGTAAAATTAAAATGGTATTACTTGGTAAGGAATGGTGATTGCAAGGCAAAAATACCAAAATCCAATCCTTAACTCCAAACCTTTAAGCCCTTGAAAGAAAGAAATCCATAGAGGATAGGAGGGAAACAGAGGACAGGAATTAAAAAAAAATAAATAACACTGAGATATGGTACCAGTTTCCATATAGATCTTCTAGCAGTCGGAATTCTGGGAATAAATAGATGATAATTTGAAGAGAATGAAATAAAGGACTATTTAAAATATGTAGGCAGTAAGTATGGAAACTTACAAGGATTAGATTATGTACGATCCCCCTCAGCCACACACCCCCACCAGCAAGGGACAGCTGGGGGTCATGCTGGCCCCCAGGCCAAAGGAGGTGAAGAAAAGGAGCAGATCCCTGGGCCTCAAGAGGACTTCTGCACGCAGAGGGCCATCTGACAGGAGTTGTGGCCTTCTGCAGAGGGAGGCGGTGCCCCACAGTGACCCCGCAGAGAGGAGGGGCAAACACTCTCCCCAAGAAGATGGATGGCAAGGGAGCTTCCTAACAGAGTTTACATATGTTAGCCTCCCACGGCACTGAGCAGGGTGAAGGACAGGAAATTGGTCTGGAGGGACATGTGGGGATATGCAGCACAGACCTCTGCTTACCTAAGACTGACCCTTTCGCTACAGCAGATATGGTCCAAGGCACTCCCTGATCCACCTATCCAAACTTCCTATCAAGGAAAAGGGATAGGACAGTTCAACAGGACTTATTCTTGCTGTACAGGCTACAAGTGATCATTTGTATGTTTTATAAGTGCTCAGAAATCATGTGTTTAAGAATTTGATCTTGAGTTTTGTTTAATGTATAAATTATTAGTCTGTATGTTACTAAGTATCATTGCCTTTTCTTAAGTATTATAGGCATTTTCTCTCTTCCACCAAGCTCTACCCACGTGAACCTGCATTCTGCCCCATAAATATGTCAAGAACATTCCCACCACAGTGCCTTTGCACCTGCTGTTTCTTCTGCTCAGAGTGCTCTTCCCCTAAATCTTCCTTCTTCTCAGTGCCAACTCCAGTGACACCTAAACAAAGAGGCCCTCCCTCACCACCTCCCAAAAAAGCAGTACCTCTGTTGCATCATAGCACTTAGTATAGGAATTACTTTTTTATTAGCTTATTGAATTGCCTAGGTCTTTACTTACCTGCTTACTGATTACTTAACTACTTATAACTTCCTTACTGTTTCCCATCTCCCACCAGAATATAAGCTCCTAAAGCTAGGGACCCTGCCTTATTTGCCATAAAATTCCTAGTCCCTATAACAATGCCTCCCTACATAGAGTGACAACTCAATGAATAATTCCTGGTTGGTTTACTCATTGGGTTGGAAAAAGTGAGACACTTAAATAATGATAGAATATCTTAGACTGAATCTCATATATCCTGAATCCCAGTTTAGCTCCCTCCTTCCTAGTGATACCTGTCCTCAAATATTTGACAGGCTGTCATAGGGAAGACAGTAGGCATAGTCTGTCCTTCTCCAAAGGAAATAGCTAGGCTGATAAGTGGAAACTACAGAAAGGCAAATATCTGCCTAACACAAGGAACAATTTTCCAATAACATGAGTTGTAGATCACTGGAAACTGCCTTGAAATATCATTCTTCAGGCATCCATGAGGTCCATGGAGAGACTGAATAATATATCTCTAGGATTTGGTATATTTTGGAGAAGAAACTAGCCCAGAATATCTCTAAGGTCCCCAGGTGTGATTCTTTGAGTAAATAAATACATGGCCAATAAGGGAATAATTAGTACAGCAAGTTTATATTAACTATAGTATGAATTCTTAATTTTATTTCATTAGGATTATTTCTTATTTTTGATTGTTTATTTACATTACTAAATATAACAAAAAAGAAACTTTCTAATTTTATGGTGCACACAGCGAGGATAGAATCTCCTAAGTGAAATCAGAGAAGTAACTCATCACCACCCTGACACAAACACTAGGTGTTTGCCATTCCAGGTAGTTTTCCAACAGAGGCAAAATGTGTTATCTGTGGTTCATTCATTCAATAACTATTTCTTGAGGACTTTCTATGCCCTATGCACTGTGGTAATTACAGAAAAAAATTGTATAATGGTAAACAAGACAACCATAGTTTCTGGTTTTTTGAGATATTCTAGAAGTGAATATAGACAAATAAATAGGAAATCACAATTAATGTTATCAGTGTTATAATGTGAGAAATACAGGGTGCCAAGGGAGAACCTAAGAACATCAGAGGGTGACCTACAGACTTATTGGGTAAGGGAAGGATTTCTGTAATAATTGATGTCTGGGCTGAGACATGAAGAATTATCTGGAATGGGAATTAGGTGGCGAAGGGGGAAAGAAAAGGAACAAGAAGTCTCACGGAGAATGGGGGCTGAGTAGTTGGAGTTGCATCTTCATCTTCTTGCTTAGCACTGTACTTTTGACTCAATTATTTGGAAGATTTTCATTTTGAAATAACAATGCTTACACTTTACTATTTAACAGGAACTACCTTCATTTTTAGTACCTTACTGGAAACTAATAGAAAATTCTTATATAATTACCATCAAAACAGCACTCAGACATCTGAGAGAATACCAGAAGACTGTGTTTGTTCACTTACATGAGATTAGGTAAGTAAAGTTTCCAAAGTCAGAATTTTATAGCTTACAGGCATGACATATAAGATCGTTCTCATTCTTTTATTGTCGACAGAACAAGTTTCCAGGAGTTTCTAAGGCGTCCAGATTACAAGCAAGATTTTGTAGCTCAGTGGCAGGCTGATTTCAACTCTCTTCCTGATGATCTGTGGGATGATGAGGAAACAAAGGCTGAACTACACCAAAGAGTGAATGTAAGGAAATCTGTGACCTGCTGCAACAGGGTTGTCAGACTTTCATGCCTTGTCCTGCAAAACACCAATTCATTCCCTTCTTACCTTCATGAAGTATGAGGATGAGAAAGGAAATGGTTTGAACTCTTAACCAGATAACTTTCAAGATCAGTAGCTTTTCTGCACTTTGAGTTCAGAATGAGAAAACTTTGGCAATGCTTCTGGAAAGAGGAGCTGGGGTTGGCAGTCCAAGAGCCTTATTGGCATCTGTCTTGTAGATTAGATTCCTAACCTCTTTGTTAGTCCACACAGCTGTCTTCATCCCTGGTGTTCATCCCATTCCTATCTTGAATGCAGTTATAGGGTTTGTTGATGGCTATTGAGCTAGAAAGGGAGTAAGGGAATTGCATGGAAAACCTAAAGGATTGTCTCTATTGAATATATCTCTTGAGAGAAGATACTAAATCTTACACATCTTTGTGCCTCCAGCAAGCACAATGCCTGGCAGTTGGTAGACAGGCAGATTTTCATAACTTCATGAATGAACTATATGTCCCTGATACTTTAGACTATGGCCTGTGATGTATGAGAAGCTTGATTCCAATATCTTACCCTTCCTCTCTCCTGTGTAAAATGGGCAGACCTCCTTATTTCTTCAGGAGGATCCTGTGCTGCTACCCTAAGTACAGGCTACTAACAAACAAATCTGATTATGACCTCAATATTTATTTGTGCAACAAAGCATTGCCAAATTATTTCTCATGGTCTATTCATCTGCTCAGTAAATATTTATTAAGCATCTATCAAGGTCCCAGCACTGTTCTAGGGGCTAGAGATTCAGCAGTGAACAAAACATCTGTGACCACACGATATTTATGTTCTAGTGGCCAGAAGACAGAGAATAAGCAATAAACAAGCGAATATTTAGAGAATGTGTCACTAGTAATAAGAACTATGTAGAGAACAAGAAAGCACAGCAAGAGGAAAATAACATTTGATGTACCCTTTTATGTATGGTGGCTGTAGAAAGTCCTACTGAGAAGATGGCATTTGAACAGACTCAGGACAGAGTGATGTAGTAAGCCATGTAGCTATCTGAAGGAAGGGTGCATCAGGCATAGGGAAAAGCAAGGGCAAAGACACTGAAGGGGAAGGATGTGTGGTGTGTTTGAAGAACAGTGGGAGGCAGGTGTGGCTGGAGCAGAGTGAGCTGGGCAAGAGTGGCTGGTGATAAGTGGGAGAGAGTTGAAGGGGACCAGATTATCTAAGGCTTTAGAGGTCATTATGAGAATATCAGACTTGATCTAAGTGAGATAAAAAGCCTTGGCCTCTGGTTTTAAAAGAGTCAATAGTAGAAGGAAACAAAAACATCAGGGAGACCAGCAGAAAGAACAATTGGAAGACCAATTGGGAAGCTCTTGCAATAGAGGCGAAGCATCATGGTGGCTTGGGTGATGGGGCAGGGTGCTGAAGGGTTTACCCTACAAGGTATTCAAATGTTCTGGTAAAACTGAAGTATTTCACATGTTCTTAGACATTCCTCAAATCGTAATTAATAAATGTAAATCCTAAAACTATCTTTTTTCTATCTTTTCTATCTTTTTTTCTACCTATTCATAAAGCAAACAGCTTTCCTGTATACTTCTTCCCCGTACTAGTCAGGTGATTGTTGGCAGAGACTGAGAAGATTCAGAAATATAAAATATCTTATTTGGTTTTTTTTTCCTAATTGCAAATGTACCATATGTTTATTATAGATAAAGTAGACAATAAAAAGAATCAAAATTGAAAACAGCAAATCTATAATCCCACCACTAATAGTTAACTATTGTTACTACCTTGGTGCATATCCTTCCAGATTATTTTTATAAAGATATGATAGCAAAATACATTGTTTTGTAACATTCTTTTTCAACTGATAGAATATGTTTTCTTTTTTCAATAAAGATTCATCTAGAACATCATTTTTATGACTAAAAGATATGCTTAATGGACTATATCATAATTTATTTAACATATTTCAATTTTTAGTCATAATTTTATTAAAAAATTTTGTTGAGCAGCAACTTTTTATTATAAAGACTTGTATAGTAAAGTGACCACATCCTTAATTATATCCATGATATAATATATTATATCCATGAGCAAATTTCTTAAAAAGTTGGAACTGCTGAATTCAAGAGTATGCTTATTTTTAAGGTTTTTGAAATATATTAAAAATTTAAAAATTTGCACACTAAACTTGTAAATTTCACTTTAACTAACAAATGATGCATATGCATCAAATATTAGATTTTATTTTTTATTAATCTTTGCCAAGTTAAAGGTAGAAATATTAATATTTTCTTATAATTTGCATTTCTGTTTTTACAACTAAAGTTGACCATTTTTTCCTAAATTTAATGGTCATCTGTTTTATTCCTCCTGAAACCTGTTTGTAATTTCTGTCCACTTTTCTATTGAAGTGTGCTTTTTCTTACTGACTTCTAAGATCTCTTTTTATTTTAAGGAATAAACCATCTGTTGATCATATATTGCAGATATATTCCTAATTGATATTTGAGGTGAGTTTTAATAAGCAAAAGGTTTTAATGTTTATGTAGATAAATACAGAACATTTTTCTTTATAGCTTATTTGTGGTCAGTTTAAAACACTTTACCCCAGAATTATATATAAATATAACACTATTTTTAATACTTTAGCAGTGTGATATTTTACTTTTAAATATTTAAATTATGTTATTTTGATAGGGATCACATTTTATTTTTTCCAAAAAGCTAATCAAATGGTGTGAGAAGATTCTCAAATGTATCAGCATAGACTTATATATGTTTGTTTATATATGCGTGGATATCTGTCTACCTAGTTATATATGGTGGACATAGTCTCTTTTTTTTTTTATTTCTGACTTTTTATTAGACATGAAAAAACAGAAATAAATATAACTTCACAAATAGCTATAAAATAAGCCTGAGAAAAAAAGAAAGAAATTAATAAGAATAAAAGCAAAAATTGACAACTTGGCAAATAAAAAACATTAAACTTAAAATTCAATCCAGATAATAAGAAAGAGAAGCCTCTGGCAAGAATCATCAAGGAAATAAACAAGCTTCCTTTGTGTAGAAATTTGGATATTAGAAAATATCCATGGATATTAGAAAATAACATACAGCTTCTACCTGAAAAGTTCAATAAGTTTTGGCCAAATCAAGCTCATTAAAGATATTACAACTTTTTTAGTAGTGGAGCCTTAGCAGAAGTATATAGTAGAGAAATTTGTGAAGTTTGAGAAAAATAAACCTTCCTTTGCTTCCTGCCCTATGACCAAACTCAATAGGTTTAGGATGGGCCCTTATATCATATTCATTTGTTAAAGTATTATGGGTAATTTTGATTGAAACAACTGCTCTGTTTCTTTTATATATTTTTATACCTAGATGATCTTGCAAAAACTGATGAAAGTAATCCAAAAACTCCTGTAATTCCTCCATTTCTATCCATTTTCCTTGCTACAGTTTTTGACTTAACGATTTTAATGCAGCTGCAGTAATAGCTAAACAGTGAGCATGTGCTCGCTATGTGCTGACACTGTCTTTCTTCATCCCCACAGCAACCCCGAGTAGCTACTAGTAATATTCCCATTTTCTAGGTGAAGAAATATGGCAAAGAGGTCAACATAGTAAGTGCCAGTAATGGGATCTGTACCCAAGTTGGCTGGCTTCCCACTGTAGTACAAAATAACTATTTTTGCCCCGAAGTGCTTTTTGTCTTGAATTTGACTTTTATCTGATATTAATACTATGAATCGTATTTTATTTTTAATTTTCATTTGCCCCATTTAAGTTTTTATATTTGACCTTTTTGTGTGGTTTTGTTTTACATGTTTCTAGTAAGCACCATATAAGTTGAATTTGGGTTTTTTACACAAAGGATAATCATGACAACTCTTATAAAAATGTATATTTTTAACAATTTTGTCTGCATGATCTTCTCAAGTAATACTCTAGTCTTTCTTAAATACAATCCACCTCTAATTATTCAGGGATGTTTAGTAATTCCCTAATTCTTGCTAAATAAAGATGAAAACCAGCCATTCCTCTCTATAAGTCCATAATAAACACTGTTTTAATCCCTAGTGATATTCCTTGTTCTGGGAGTATTTCATTCCAGTCCTGTGAAGTTAATGGAGAGGTTCTGCTATTGCATTTTCCTCATTTTGCTCATTAGAAAACTGAGCCACAGACATCTTGTTACTTGCAAAGGTTTCACAATGAGGCTGTAGCAGAAAAAGAACTAGAATCAATGTCTCCAGACTCCTGCTTTTGTCCTTTTTCCTCTGCTGTGTCCTCTCCTGTCTATTAAAAATATATAAATATTTGGTAAGCACAAGTCGGTACTTATTGAATGCCTGACAAAGCATTTGTGGGGACATCATGGAGATATTAATAGTAAAATCAGCTCTAAAATAATGGTGCATTGTTCTGATACTTAGTATATGGCAGTAAAAATGGCTTGTGATATTTTCATTTTATGTGCAGCCGCCACAGGGTAACTGAAATGCAAAGTTAAGAGTTCAAATACAAAGTATTCTGTAAACACAACATCATGGAAATAAAATTCACCATAGGCATAAAACTGCTTGAGTTCAAATTCTTGGTTCCACTCCATTGAAACTATCTGCAAGTAACTTAATCTCTGTGCCTCAATTGTCTCACCAAAACCCAGCCTACCATAGAGCTTAGAAGGTAATCACGGTAAAGCACTTAAAACGGTGCCCAACACATAGTAAATGTTCAATGAATTATTGGGAAAACTGTCAAATTTTATCAGACTATATATGGTTGATTAATGAGATATATTATTAAATAATAAATATTTTATTGCTATAATATTATAATAGTTTTCCTTAATTGATGAATTATCACATGCTAAACACTGTGCTAAGTGCTTTACATACATAAGCTAATTTATTCTATATAACACATCCAAAAAGTAAGTAGTGTCATGCTCATTTTATAGATAAAGTAACTGAAGCCTGATATAGCAGTGCATATTACTCAAGACCACAGGTTCATATCCTGGCTCTGCTACCTTCTGATTGTGTAACCTGAGGAAAATAACCCCTCTGTGACTCAGTTTCCTTATCTGCAAAACAAAGATATTAATAGTATTTAGCTAAGTTTGTTGTGAGGCATTTAGTCAAAACAAGTATAATGACTTATGTACTGACACACTCAGAACGAACTTAATGTATGATAACCATTGTTATTTTGATTGTATTTATAGAATATTAAATATATAAATAAATTATATTATATTCAAAACTATCATATTATAAATGTATCAAATTTTATTATTATATATAAATATGTTATAAATTATATATTAAAATTTATCATCTTTATTATTGCACAGATCTGGTAAGTGGCAGAGCTGAGATCTTTAAAAGATGCTTTTACTGCTGTTTAATACAAACCTTATTTTTGGACCATCCCATTAACCTTGGACAACATTTTTTGATGAATAATATGTTCCACTGGCAATATGAATTAACAAGTCTATGCACTTGGTTTAAATATAGTTGTGTATTTCTTCTAGCAACAATACACCATTTTCCCAAAAAAATTCACTGAAAGGATTTTTCAACCCAACAAACTTTTTGAGGAAGGAATAAAATACATAAAACGTAGCCACCCATGGATAAAGTGTACTGTAGTGGATTTCTGGTAAGCAGAGACATATGATTCGGCGAGGTAGTCTTTGAAAGTGAGAGCCTGATACAATAGAAGCAAAATAAGTATTGGTTGAATGAACAAATACAATACATGAGTACATTAGCTATAAAATTTCTTTAGAGAAATTTTAAGTGGGGCAAAATTTTAGTTTTATTACCCTGAGGTGATTTGAGCCATGGTTCTAAAGCATAACCACAATGTTTCTCTTCTGTTCAGGATCTGCGAGACCGCCTGTGGGACATTTGTGACACCCAGAAGGAAGATGCAGAGCAGGAGCGGCTGGACATCATCAATGAGAGCTGGTTACAGGACTCTCTTGGAATAACAATTAACCATTTCTTTACACTGATGCAGGTAAGAGCAGCTGGTCACGATGACACAGACTCTTCCCTTCGTAGCCACGTCCCTCATGTGACAACTCCTTTGGGAATATTCAGGGTTCCCTCAGGGCTCATTTTACTCATGGCACTCTGCCTGGTGTGAACTCCATCCATCTTGCCAAGGAAGTTAGCTGAAATAAAACATTCTGGTCTGGGCCAAACAAGCACCCACACCGGAAGTATCCCAAGCAACTAGTCACCAGCCTTGCTTGCAGGTGGCCTAGATATGTAGAGAGTGACAGCGAAGAGAGTGTCCATAACTGAGTTGTTTACCTTGTCAGCCTCTCAAAGCGGACACCCTAAGTGACCAGCCAGACAAAGCCCAGGAAAGCAGCCCTGCAACAAAGCATGGGCAAGGTCAGACACAGCAAGCCTTTGATTCCTAACAGTAAAAAGTTTTCCAATACTGGACTGGAAAAATGGACCATTCATCAGAATTCACAACCTATTAAATAAAAAAACTGTACAGGGCAAGATAAGATGACAGACATTGATTTTATTCTGATACCATTGGCGGCAATGAGGAAGAGAGCACAGACCAGGTCTTGGATTCCCAGCTCAGCTCTGCCAAGACAAAGGGCACGAGAATTTTTAAGAGCTGGTGTGGTGTGAAGGGTGGAGGGTCATTGGCCGTCTCTGTTTGCTAATCAGCTCTACCCAAAGGAGAAGTCAACTTTCTACTATCTTCATCATGGAAGGTAGTTTTATAACTTGGAGCCAGGTACCTGCTGAAGTTAGGCTCCTACCCTTCAATGAACTGGGAGACAGGGGCACTATCTTTCCTGATAATTAATTACATTCTAAAGAGATAGTTCTCAGAGACTTGAGAAAGACATCCCTGGGCTGTGAAACTGGTAAAAGGCTTTTAAAAAGATTTACATCTCAAAGGGACAGAGAAAGGATTTACAATGACAAGCTTTCTTAAAGTAAATGCTCTAACAAAAGAGAGGTCATGGGCCTAGAACCAGGAAGAAGCCTGTTTCAAATTTAGTCAAATTTTAAGGGAATATTAAGGCTGGTTTGGTCAACCTGTGTCTACATAAGTATTTTTTCATAAGAGAAGAGCAATGAAAATAGAGAGTAGAAAAGAGTACATTTCTAGTCTTCAGTTGATTAACTTACATGAAGAGATACTATAGGAAATGAAAATATTTATCTGTGGTTCCTTAGAGCTAGCACACAGTGGGTGTTCAATGGAATGTTTGTTCAACAAATGACGAATGACAGCTGGTACTTCCAACCTGCAAAAGGACAATTCATGGTGCAGGGACAGGCTGCAGCAGAAACTTGAAATATCAGCAGAAACTTGAGGAGCAGGAGCAGTCTCTCAGGAGGGATCTTTAAAGATGTCAAGATACCAGGGCAAGGAAGCCCAGTACAGGAATGTTAGGAATCTGCATTGCAAAGAGAAGGTGGAGTTAGAGTTTATCTAAAGCAGAAGACAAAGATGGGCCATAAACAAGGCAACAGACAGATCCACATGGCATGGGTTGTGCAAAGGATTAAAGTGAGACACCCAAGCTGCCTAAACCAGTCTGGGTAGCATCCCCAAGACACTGGTCTGGGCAAGCAGAAATCAAATATTGCAAACAGCTGTGTCAAAAGCTTATGGCAAAAGTCACCGAAGTCCAATAATGAAGGCACAGAGAGTAGAGAAATGTTGTGAATCATTCTCGATTTAGAACAATGCATGCCTTTTATGGAAATAGTATGACTCAAGACTCTCATCCTGAGAAACTGAACCAATATCTAACACCAACTATTAATAAAAGTGAGGAAGATAATTGAAGAGCAGCAAATAAAAGCTACCATTTATTAAATTCTTACCATGTATGTGCCAGGCACTATTCTTAAGACTTTCATACAGAATATAATAAACCTTCACAGCAACCCTATGCTGTAAATTCTATTACCTTCATTTCACAGAGGAGGAAACTGAGGCAAACACAGGTGAAACAATTTGCCTACAACTAGTAAGTGGAAAAGCTAGGATTTGGACTGAATCTGATTCCAAAGCCAGTACTGTAGTCCTCCCTTATCCATGGCTTTGCTTTCTGCAGTTTGAGTTACCCACAGTCAACCACACTCTGAAAATATTAAATGGAAAGTTCTAGGAATAAACAATTCATAAGTTTAAAATTGTGCACCATTCTGAGTAGGGTGATGAAATCTAATACCATCTGTCTCACTCAGGACGTGAATTATCCTTTAGTCCAGTATATCCACGCTGTATGCACGAACTGCCTATCTATCAATTAGTAGCCAGCTCAGTTATTAGATTGTAAAAAACATAGTATATATAGGGTTCAGGACTATCCAAGGTTTCAGGCATTCACTGGAGATTTGGGAACATACCCCTAAGGATAAGGGGGGACTACTGTACTCCTGACCACTGATTTATTGTTCAAATAGTTGAAAGCTTGCCACAGAGAACAGAAGAGAGCCTGATTCTACACTGATTAATAGATCCTATAAAAACCCAAGGTTGAAATTATAGGAGAGTAAGCTTCAGTTCAGTCTATGAAGACAGAGCCTATTTAGAACTGCCCATCAAATAACAGACTTTTGAGGCAATGAGCTTTTATCCAGAAGCCCAAAAGCAGAAGCTTTCATATGTTATTGGAGGACTAGGAGAAAGTACCCTCAAGAAAGTCTTCAAGGGCCTGTAATATTGGGTAACAGACAGTTGGATAAGTATTTCCCAAAGTTAGGTAAGTATTTTCCGTGGAGTATTTATCCTACAAGATGTTTCACAAAACAAGGACTCTGTGATCAAATGACTTTGGGATGTGCTGCATGTTCTACCCTTTTCTCTCCCCGGGAGATTGACAAGCATATTGACATATATAGACATCAGAATGCTTTGTAGTAAAGAAATCCTTTTGGTATGTTACCCCAGCATTTCTGAAACTATCAGACCTTGGAAAGTTTTTTATTGTTGTTGTTTCATCCCCAACATAGTATTCATTAACAACCTATAGGACAAGCTTTCTATACACTACATTTTAGGAAATGCTATGCTAGATTATTTCTAAAATTCCTTTTATATCTCAGATTCAGTGATAATTAACAAGAACCTTAATAAAGCATTATTTACTAGTTACCACAAATGTGAGAGGGATCTTGATTAATTCTGCTTTTATGAAAATCCTAGATTAGTATGGCATCTTATCAGATTTAGCTATATAGTTAATCAAATTATACCCCTTTAAATAAATTAATTTTGTATATGAAATAATTGTGTAATAAGGTAAGTCTAAGGCACAGATACCAGCACTGTCCCAAATACTAATTGTATAAAATAGGCTCTGCTAAATCTAATCATTATTCAAATTCAGTTCTCTAAGGAGGAAATAATTTCCTGATTTCCAAATTTATTTCCCAAATAAGATAATGCTATGGTGTAATGACTAATGATTTTTATGTCTTCTCCATGCTTTTTTTCAGTTCTCCAATTTTATTTGTCAACATCCAATTTGTACCATTTGGGTTTACACTTGGGTTTACACTTCATTATAAATGTGCTATTGTGTAAGTTCTCATGAGTATAATTTATAGGACTCATTGTGTCTCTACTGTTTTACCAAAGCTAAGCATGACAGGTGCAAACACTTTTTGTTAAACTGTGACATTAGTTCATACATGACTATTTTAAAACCAAATTTGGTTTATTTGCAAGGAAAGAGAAAAATGTTTAGTTTTTCTAGTCATTTCAAAATGCTAGTTTTAAAAATTATGTAAATATATATTTATGCCTAAAATCTTATTTAAAATGTATTCTGTAAATAATATGTGAATGGTAATTTTATTTTTAACATAGATTCAAATTAACCAAATGAATTTCTTTCTCAGTCATTCAGCTAGAAAAGTTCAATAATGCAGAGAACAGCAATTAGAGATAGACAGCAATTAGATAGAGGAGCAAGTCAACTTATCCTTTTTTATATCAAAAACAAGGAAAATGTTGAAAATACTTTTCTAAACCATTGACCTAGGCAAAGAATTTATGAAGAAGACCCCAAAGGCAATCACAGCAACAACAAAAATAAATAAATGGGACCTGATCAAACTAAAAAGCTTCTGCACAGCCAAAAATACTGTCACAAGAGTAAACAGACAACCTACAGAATGGGAGAAAATTTTCACAAGCTACACATCCAACAAAGGGCTGATAACTAGAATTTATTTAGAACTTAGGAAAATCAGCAAGAAAAAATCAAATACCCCTATCAAAAAGTGGGCAAAGGACATGAACAGAAACTTTTCAAAACAAGACAGAAGAATAGCCAACAAACATGAAAAAATGCTTAATATCTCTAATCATCAGGGAAATGTAAATCAAAACCACAATGAGATATCACTTATTTCCAGTGAGAATGGCCTTTATCAAAAAGTCTCAAAACAATAAATTTTGGCATGGATGTGGAGAGATAGGAACACTCCTACACTGCTGGTGGGACTGCAAACTAGTTCAACCTCTGTGGAAAGCAATATGGAGATCCCTTAAAGAGATACAAGTAGGTATACCATTTGATCCAGCAATCCCATTACTGGGCGTCTACCCAAAAGAACAAAAGACACTCTACAAAAAAGACACCTGCACTCAAATGTTTATAGCAGCACAATTCACAATTGTAAAGCTGTGGAAACAACCCAAGTGCCCATCAATACATGAGTGGATTAATAAAATGTGGTATATGTATACCATGGAGTACTATTCAGCTATAAGAAACAACAGTGATATAGCACCTCTTGTATTTTCCTGGATAAAGCTGGAACTCATTCAACTAAGTGAAGTATACCAAGAATGGAAAAATAAGCACCACATGTACTCACCAGCAAATTGGTTTCACTGATCAACACCTAAATGCACATATAGGAATAACATTTATCGGGCATCAGGCAGATGGGAGGGAGGAGGAGGGGATGGGTATATACATACATAATGAGTACGATGTGTACCATCTGAGGGATGGACACACTTGAAGCTCTGAATCCAGGGGGGAAGAGGGGGAAAAGGCAATATACGTAACCTAAACATTTGTGCACCCATAATATGCTGAAAGAAAAAAAATACTTATTGAAACTCTTGTCTTTTGTTGTAGACTACAACCAAATAATAAAAGCAAATAAAAGCAGACATTTATTTGTTCTAAACTGTGAATATGGCAGTGAAAAGACTACCTGGTGTTTTATGAAATAAATAGCAACACACTTGTTTAATAAACTTAGGGATTCCTTCATAAATGTCTTTGGGTTAGATTTAGCTAAAAGCTTTGAATACTAGGTCAGTTTTGCTCTTTTTTAAAAAAAGACACTTTCTGTAATTAACAGGGTATCATGGAATACATCTGCATGAGAGCTTTAATATTTAGACCCTCAGGTACTAGTTTAAGCAGCCCCACTAACTAAAACAAAGTCTAGAAATCATGTTTGCACTACCAAAGAGAAGCACAGATGTATACCATATGGTCTACTGTTCAGTAGGGGAATGGGTTAGGGAACTTATGGTCTATGTGTGTGGTGTTGGTACTATGTACAATTTCACTACACAGGCATATCACAAAGAGAAATGATCTGTGCTGACAGGGAGTCATGACTTGAATAATTAATTGATGCTCACCTTGCCACCAACTCCTCTGTGCTGCTCCATTTCCCTCAAGGTACTTCCTGGCAATGCCAGCAAAAGGATCTGGCTGTGAGCACAGGAGGAATTATCTCCCTTCTGTACATTTTGAGCAAGAAGGGAAACTGTAGGAAGTGAACTATTCCTTATTGCTTTTTATTACCGTTAGTCATTTCTCCACAACAAGGTTAAATTGCCCTAGAGGAACAGAACCTAGTATTGTATTTTTGTATTTGTATGTGTAGTATTTTTTAGTATCTCCCAAATCAGCTAACTTTGACCTATGACAAAGAAAACTCTCAAATGTTTGTTACTGTATTGGTTGATTGAATCTAGGATACAAGAAGAATATTCCTAATGTCAAAATAATGAATAATATACACTACTTCAAATATCATAACACTGTAACCTTTTGTCACAGTACCAAGAGGCATAGAACTGTCATCTTGTTAAGTGAACTTGTGCTCAATAAGAAAGTGCAAAATCCCTAGTTATCATTAATTTTGATGAAAATCTTAAATATACTCTTATAGCCAATACTCTTTCTTGATTTCCAGAAAATTCTTCCATTCTAAATGTTTTAAAAGTTGTGCTTACAGAGTCTTCTATGGGAAATATGTACCAACCAGCTTGTTTTTTCTTGAATATTAATATTCATATTTGCTGTTAAAGGCAGAAATGAACCGTTTCCAAGATACAAAGAGACTCCTTCAAGATTATTACCGGGGAATGGAATGCAAAATCCCTATAGATGACAACAAGAGATTTACTCGAATCCCATTGGTCCAGCTGGATAGTAAAGACGTTTTGGAAAACCAACTTAGGTAAGGCAGATTATCATATTCCACTGTAACTATTTTGAACATAAAGCTTTGTGATTTTAAATTAATTATTGCTAATAAAAATCACACTCCTTTATCCATAAATCCAAAATAGCTCTAAAAACTAAACATTTTTTTCTAACTTCAGTGTGTCATTGACTTAAGACTATTAATATACATATTTATATGTATTTATAGGGAATATTTACTAATTTTGCTGCAGAGATATAATGCATTTAATTATGGAGTCTCTCCATAGACTCTGCTGATGGTATTAGGGAATATATGATATATATATAAATTCTGAATTCTGTAACACTTTTGGCCCTAAAGATTTCTGGTAAGGAATTATGAACCTCTACCACTTTTATGAAAGGACTCAAGCAGTTCTGTGTGTGTGTGTGTGTGTGTCTATTACTCATTATATAAATGGAAGGAGTTCTGAGTCTTCTTTTACAAGTGAGGAAATTGAGAAATGGTAAAGGCTCAGTAGTATGTGATTATGACTTCATAAGACTGACTGAAAGACTTACTAATAGTCCAACATCACATATTTGCCAGCAAAAAGAAAAAAAAAAAAGAACCTGATAGTAGGGTAGAAGACAAATTATATTTTTAACCAAACAAATCCTGTGCAATATAAAAGTTTATAAATAATTTTTTTTATAGATCCAGTGGTTGGGGACAGGGCAAGAACAAGATCCCCAAACCTGAGAAGAGATAGAAAAATGTCTTCAAGCAATGGGAGTTAGGAGTGGTGGTAATTTCTGTGATATGGTTACCAACTATAAAACATTAAAAGAGAACTAAAAATAATAATTAAAATAAAGCCATTAAAAAATAAAATTCAAAATCCTTAAAAATTAAATTAGTTGATTAAAAATAAATTAATAAAATATAATGAAGAATTAAAACAATAGTTTCTCATGACCAGTAAGCAGGCCTGAAAAACAAAATACTACAGATATAAAGAGGAGAAAAAGGAAGAAGTTATATTTGTAAAGTAATATACAGGCACTGAATGTTAAATTTAGATCTCCAGGGAGGCGAGCTATGTATTTTATATTCAAAGAAGGGTACATTTTTTTTATTTTTATTTACAAGCGTGTTCAATCAATGCAGTTATTAGGAGTTGCACAAACTAAATGAATAGTAGTACATAATATTTTGAATTGAAACAGATCTGGTTTGAATCCTGGGTCTGTTACTCACTATCTATATGTAAATAAATTAAGACAATGTATTTGTCTGGTCAAGTGTCTCCAACTCTCTTAAGCCTCGGTTTCCTTATCTGTAAAGTAGGGCTTTTGTGAAGTTTACAGAAAGTAAAATCTTCAAGTCATGTGATGCCATGTCTTGGAATCAAAAGACTTGAGATAAAGTCTCCATAACTCCCCAAAAATGGTGACTGTTACTTACATGCAGTATTTTAATTGTGAGAATTGCATGTTGCTGCTTTATTTCTTTTGTTCCAAAAAGGACTTGAAGTGGCCTGAGCACTATAAGTTATGCAGTGATTCAGAGCCCATTTATTTTCTCTCTAGGCTTCCAACATATAGAACCATCATATCCCTGTCAGACCCGTGTACACAAGAATACATAAAGGAAATGTGTGTCTCCTCTTCTTGTTCTTTTTATTTTTTTTAGTCGGTGCTCAGTGTGAAATGTCTCCTCTTCTTGATACAAATACAAGAGAAACATTCAGCAAGCTGCTGAAAGAAAACTTTGAAATTAAAAACAGTCACAATTTCTAAAGGCAATATTAACCATCAGAACTATCAATAGAGGCCAAGTTTCAATGTCTAGAGGGGCAGTGCATTCTGTTCTTAGCACAAAACAGTAAGTCAGGCATAATGGGGAAGTTATTAATGTTGGTTAGTAGAATGAAACCTTCAAAAGAACAGCCAGTTCTTATTTTCTGCAAAACAACTCTGCACCAATCTCAACCTCAAATCACTGCTGTGGTTATCTCCTGGAACTATCAGTCAGTCAATATATCAACCAACCAACCAATCAACCACAGTCTCTGTAACATGTATAGGGCAAACAATCACAGTGTTAAGAATTTTCACATACTTTGTATACTTTATTCCTCCTAACAACTCTATAACAATATTTTTATAGTAATATTATTCATAATAATAGTAATATTAATAATTAATTGATAGTTGTAATAGTAGTAATTTTATTACATTTATATTATTTCAGGAGGAACTGAACCTCAGAAAGTCAAGGGACAAGCTCAAGTTTGTATCTACTAATAGTGACAGAGCTACCTAGACTAGAGTTTTTCCTAATAAATAAATTCTAAACCCAAATTATTTTTCTAAATCTAAAGCAAGATGTTAGGAAACACGTGTTGTACTGTGTTAAACAACTGGTGATGATCACACAAACTTTACCTTAACTTATTGGACACATGCATCACAGTTGAACCAGAGTGACTGTGATTTAGCTTTATTTAATTAATAAAATATAATTTAAGCCGGGCGCGGTGGCTCACGCCTGTAATACTAGCACTTTGGGAGGCCAAGGCAGGCGGATTGCTCAAGGTCAGGAGTTTGAAACCAGCCTGAGCAAGAGCAAGACCCCCGTCTCTACTATAAATATAAAGAAATTAATTGGCCAACTAATATATATAGAAAAAATTAGCCGGGCATGGTGGCACATGCCTGTAGTCCCAGCTACTCGGGAGGCTGAGGCAGTAGGATTGCTTGAACCCAGGAGTTTGAAGTTGCTGTGAGCTAGGCTGACGCCATGGCAGTCACTCTAGCTTGGGCAACAAAGCGAAACTCTGTCTCAAAAAATAATGTAATTTTATATATGGGTAGATGAGTAGTGGATCCTTAATACACTGCCTTTTCAGGCACAATACACTGTCAAAGGTTTATACACTGTTAGAATCAGAGTGCCAAGTTCAAGAAACCTTGTCTGATGCTTCAAAATAAGACCGAGCTAATTGTTTGCTGGAGTTCAGAATCATCTTTCAGAATCACCACTCTGTGACTCCAGCAACTTGAGTCTACAAAACCAAGTGCTCATTCTTATTACTGATTCTGACTCTCCTCCTCCAGTTTCAACAAGGGCATCTTTGGAGCTTCTCTCTCCTCATTCCTTCCCCAGTATGAGAGCCCTTTGTACTTCCTGTCACGGAACATGGATCTCAGTCACAATAAGCAATCTACCTTGTAGATTTCTTCCTACTTCTGTTAACTTTTCAGATCTTGAGATCCTTTGGGGATAGGGTATTCCTAGGGACAGTTCTAAAATTTCTACGTGGGAGCAGCAATATGGGAAGGGAGAGAGAGAGCTTGAGTCTGTGTTCCCACGGCACTTTACCAAACCAAGAGAAAACCTCCCCTTCCACAGTAAGGGAGGGGAGGACTGCTAAAGGGCTACCCTGCCCAGCACTAAAACCTCGCTGCCTCCATGTGGTAGCCCCTTTCAGACTTCACACTGGTCACGCCCTACTTTCCACTGTCCACTTCAGGATGCCAAATAGTACTAGCAGAGAGTACTCAGAGAAGCTTTATTTGGTTTGCTTTTTCAAGATTGACTTTTTGACTTATCACTCATTGAAAATGTATGCCCTAGAAAAATTTCAAAATTGAATTTCTTCATAATCTCCATTGTTTAATCCTCCACTTTATAATGGCTGAGGGTCAAGCCTGAAAATTATATTTTGTTGTTGTTGTTTGAATTTCCTCTGATTAACAAGATTTCTAGAGCACAAAAAAACTGAATTCAGTCTTTTACAATCTTTTCCCCATTAAAAGAACTATCCCAGGAAAATTTTGAAAATTGAGATTAAAGCAAGACAACGAAATGTCTTGAAAAATAATATGGTCACAAAAATAGAATTCTGTTAAATAAAATCTTTATATTTCTTTTGTTTGTTTGTTTGTTTGTTTGTTGTTCAAAGAATTCCTCTAGTTCCTCGAATATCCATTTCTCCAGATGCAGTTATAAATAAACCGAAAACAAAAACAATACTGAAAGGCAAGATTGATTACTCACTAGAAAACCTAGAGTTAAACTTTGAAGCAGATGAGAAGTTGATAATGGACACCTGGCAGCAGGCTTCTTTAGCAATATCTCACATGGTAAGCAGTGCTTATTACATTTTTTCTTTTAGTAATACTCATTCATTAAGTACCAAGGTTGCTAATATGCTATATAAGTAGAAAATTTATATAGTGTTCTCAAGCATTATATAAATTTATGCCTTCAAGACTTTTTTTCTGAAAAAAATAGAAAGAGAATTTATTTAGTTAATGAATATATGTGGTCAATGAAGGAATGAACCAACACTTAGATTATTTTCTGTGCTGGACCAGGGTCCTAATTGCAGGCCCTAAAGAGCCAGTCAAGGAATGTTAATGAAGCAGTTCAGGTATAAGACAATGGGGGGTGGGGGAGGACTGTGGCCAAGTGGAAGTCACACACCTGTCTGCAGAAATATGTGTTACTCCACCCTGGCCAACTTGGCCATTGAAGAATGAGGCCCAGCATGGCCAGATTTTCCAATTTTCCAAGAAAAGCCATAAATTCTGATTTTTATGTGAAATTACTGATTTCAACATGTAAGAAATAAAATAAAAAATTCTTAAAAATACTCTAGAGACCCAAGCATATTTGGCCTATAGACGTCTAGTTTGCAACCTCTCTGCTAGGCATCTTTTCTAAGTCACCTATGAGGTACGTATTATTATCCTCTTTACAGTGAAGAATTAAGGTTCTGAAAGGCTAAGAAACTTAGTCTCCTAGGTATCCCAAGGTCTCCAAGCAGGTAAGCATTGAAATGAAATTTGAACATAGGTCTGTATGATTTCAAAGTTCACACCCTTTCCACCCAAATTGAAAGTGAAAGGAAAAGCATAGAGATAAATTTCATCCAAGCAGAGGTGTCACACCATACAGAAGACACACACAGAGTTTAACTCAGATTGACCCCTGTTCCTTCATTCACCAGGTCCTGGGTCCACCAAGATGGTTTCTCTTTGCATTCTGCACCAAGCCTTCTTGGAGCTTTTCCGAAATATCCCGCTCAAATAGAAAGCAGTGTCCACTTTCTAAGAGATAGAAAAGTCAAAGAAGTAGAAAAAGGAGCTTGCATCATAAATCTCACAGCAAACAAAATTTCTGATTGGGCATATTCCAAGTCCCTTCTTGGCCTCTCTGCTCCAGCCTTCTTTTTCTCTGAGCTTCTCACACAGCAGCCTCTGTGTTTTCTTTCTTTCCCCCCCTCTTTCTTTTGTTCTCTTCACTTTTTTCTTTCCTCCCTCTTAGAAGTGATTATAAGCTCCTCTCATGGTCTTGCTTCTTTTGAAAAATATTTAGTGTGGATTTTGACACACATAAGAAAATTGCATGATTTATAATTGCATGGCTTAATGAAACCACCTAAAGTAAATACTCAGGACACCACTCGACGGGGCAGAATTGGAACAAGGGCTGCACCTGCCTAGTCCTGCTGTGCCCCTTCCCAATGCTACCCACCTTCATACCCACTAAAGGGGACTGCCATCTTGCCTTTTTATGAATCATCTCCATAATGTTCTTAAGAGTTTCATTATCCAAATCTATATCTCTAAAGAATGTAGCTTTGCCTGCTTTCGAGATTTAAATAAATGGACTAATATCTTTTGTCTTTTTTATGTCTTCTTTTGCTCAATATTCTCTTTGAGATTCAGCCATATTGTTCATTTTTGTTGCTGTATTGTGTTGTGTTACTTGAATGTATCATGGTTTATTTAACTAGCTTGCTGCTGATATATATTTGGGTTTCCAGTTTGATGCCATTGTGGATACCGCTGCTATAAATATTGCTTATACATATACGCTGGTACCCTTGTATACACAACTGTGGAGTATTTATCTAGCAGTAGGTGCTGTCTTCAATATCAGTAGACAATACTATACATAATACTTCCACTTTCAAAAGTAATGATAAATCCTTTCCCTATTTCACTGCACTGTCATCTTTGTCATAAATTAGATGACCCATACGTGTGTCAGTTGCATTGCTCTATTTGTCTAGTCTTGTACCAATACCACAGCAATATCATACCACTTTTTGTTATCTGGATGACCTAATCTTCCCACTTTGTCATATGCCAAGAGCATTTGGGATTTTCTTGGCTCTTTACCATTCCATATTAATTTTCAAATCAGCTTGTCAAGATTCACAAAAATTTTGGCTGTGGATTTTTAAGGCAGCATTTATCAGATTATGAACATTCCTTTTCATGTACAGTTTACTATTAATGTTTTTTATGAGTTATATTATCAAATGCTTTTTCTGTACCTATTAATATTATCACATATTTTTTTCTCCATTGTTTGTTAATGTGAAAAATTATATTGATCAATTTTCTAGTGTTAAACTTATATCGCATTTCTGGAATAAGTAATGTAATGAAGCATCATTCTTCTTACATGTTGCTGGATGTGCTTTGTTAGTCATTTGTTTAGCAGTTTTTAATCTTTTTTCATGTGTGAAAGAACTCTGTAATTTTTCTCTCTCTTACAAACCCTTGTTGGTTTTAGCATCCAGATAATAATACTAGTCTCTAATATGGATCTAGATATGTTTCTTCTCTTTCTATTCTTTGAAAAATTTTGTGAAAGTTGGGAATATTCTTCTTGAAAGGTTTAGTAGCATTCCTAAGATGCCATCTAGGACATTTGTAAGAAAAGTTTTTGTTGCTCTCCTCAACCCAAGGATTTATTTTCTTTAACAGGTGTACAATACTTTCTGTTTGTTCTGTTTCTTTTGTTTTTGTTTCTTTTTCAGTTGGTTTTGGGAAATTTTATTTTGCTAAGAATTTTTTCATTTTCAAATGTTTAAACTTATTGGCATAAAGTTGTTTAAAATATGCTCTTATGTTTGTGTTAATATTTATATTATTTATTTGATGTCTACTTTGCCAATTCTGATCCTGATTATTTGTGCTTTTCTTCTTTCTTGATCAGCTTAGTGAGGTTATCAATTATGTCTTTCCAAAGAACTAACATTTAACCTAATTGATTCATTTTACTGTGTTCCTTTTCCTTTTCTTAATTTTATTTTTCCCCCGCTATTTTCTTTGTGTTTATTTTGCCAGATGGTAGATTTATAGCCCAAATATATCTACAATTACATTAAGTTAAAAAGGCAAATCATCTAGTAAAAGAAAACGATTGTTAGATTTTTTAAAAAGAGGCATATGATGCTTATAAGGACACAGAAATGGTTTTTCCTCATTGACCCAGGAGGAGAAGGGGGTGGTGTGATGACCTCCACTTGGCCACCATAGACTCTTATACCCTTGACCTAGGGGCCCAGAGGCTCATCCCTCCATATCCTGGCCAGTACCAACTCATGAAACCTTCTCGTAAACTGACTGAATATTGCTTACTGAATTTCTATGGGTGTTACCAATTTCAATGCCTCGGCTAGTGCCATTTTTCCTCCTGAAATATTCTCCTCCTTTCTCCCATCTGTTTAAATCCTATCCTTTCTTTGTCTTCAGAACTAGTTCTTACCTTAATTCCTCACCAGTTAATTGCCTGTTTCCTGAAACCCTAGCCTTCTGTGATTGTATGCTCTTCCCATCCTTTTAGCAGTTACAGTCTCCCCCACTCATTTGGCTCTTAGTATCTAGTTATTTTTTTGTAAGTTTTATCTTTTTAGTTGTTTGCCTGAATACTTAACTGGATTCTAAAACTTTTTATATGCTGTACACTTAGCATAATGCCCACATCTAAGGTAATACTAAGCCCTCCATACAGTCTTGAGATGCTGATCATGCTATGTTGACGATGCTGATGTTGATATTAATGATGATGGTAGTTACAGTGATGATCACTGCAAAGACCACAATAAGTATCCAGCACCGGAGAGTGGGAAACTGGATATAGATGCTCTAGAAAATAATATAAATTATTCTTATTGTTAATTGAGATACATAAACATAATCTGCAAGTCTTATGAATCCTATTAAAATAATCTGAGGGAATAACACTGAAAAATATATTCTTAGGAAAAGAAGATCATATAGCACAAAGAGCACTAGTTACACCTCTTGATTAAGTGTGATTTTAGGAAAATCACTTAACCTTTCTGAGTCTTTAATTTCTTATCTGTAACAAAGATATTCTAATTATCATTCTTTTATTGAATGGTTGAAAAGATACAATGAAATAATATATACGAAAGTGTTTTAGAAACTGTAAATTTTAACTGATCATTATGTTAAGAAATTTATTTAAAATTGTATCATTTTCCTTGTGAACTTTTAAAAACCTCATACAAAGCATAGGAAGAAGGACTGTTCAGTTATTAATATTACTAATAATTATATTTGAGTCCTGCTTTTATATGTTCCTAATATCCCTTTATGACTTTGATGTCATGTGACATTGGGGACCTTTGAGTTCCAAATGAAACAAATGTGATTCAGTAAATTGTTGTGGGGCAAACAGTACCAGCTAGATTAGTGCAATTGAAATGAGAGCACTTTTATGCAGGCTTTTTTCTACACAGCAGTTTTACCAGGAGCTATCCATTAAGTAGGCCATGTTAATTTTTGGCAAAACTTTCTTCTAATTAGCAAGCATGAAGTGATTTCAAAGAAACAAGTCATATTTTTAATGCCCACAATGTCAGGGCATTATGTCTAAAGTTCTCTCCAACCTTCTAAGCTAGATTGCTGAATGAATTGTAAATTATGTTAATTTTTGATAGAGACTCAGAGATCTTTGAGGGAAGTGGACCAGAAAAATGCAGATAATTATTATATATAATTATGCAGATAATTATGATAATTATCATCGTCATCACAAGGTTGTTTACAAAGGAGAAAAATCCAATTTTGAAGGAAATTGCTAACTTACTGTGCTTTGCAGAAACAGATTAAAAAATGAATTGCTTGCAATTTAGTGGAGAATTTTAACAAGTCTGCTTTCAGCTTTACCAAGAATTTTCAAGTACAGTATATAGTATGAAATCCATTTTTATCAAAAGGGCATCTGATAAAAAAAAAAAAAGAAAAGATAAAACAAAACACTGACTTGCTCTCTGAAACTTTTCTGTATTCCTCCAAGGTTCTGCTGATATTGAAAAAAGTGTGGGTACACTCTATGGAATATGATTATTTTTAAAAGAAAGTCCACTGATTAATAAGCATTTACGAGGTATCCCCTTTGAGCATAGCACAGGTGCTCAAAGCTATGGAGAATACAAAGAAGTAGGACTGGCTTAGCTCTGAGGATCATCAAGGCCTATTTGGAGGCTGGGGTGAGACAACACTCACGGAACAGTTGGGAACAGTTGCTACCCCATGCTGTCATGGGGTATAAAGTGTGGCAGAAATGTGGAGAAGCCAGAAACTGCCTGGTCCATCACACTCACAAGATCATAACAGTCTTTGAGGATAGGGCCTGTGCCTTATTCCTTCTTCTGTTCGCCTCCATTAACCTTTCTCTTTCTCCTCCTATTCCCTCACCTCATTCTCCCCAGAAATTATATCAGGCTTGGACTCAGTAAGTACTTGAATAAATAAATAAGCCCTCAAGAACCCCCATTTTCTCACCAGTTGCTATTGAAATTTTAAAGTTTTCAACTATATGTTGCTGCTGCTTCCACAATGTTTTGTTTCTTCCTTTGGGATGGATCCTCAGCTCTCATTTCTTAGGGCTGTGCTCATAAATGCCCTTTACCTCTCCTGGGCCAGTTGGCCTTATTTCAAAAGGGTCCAGCATTTCTAACTGCAGGCACAACCTCAGTGGCACAAGTCCCAAGACAAGCCTATGCGTGTGTGTGTGTGTGTGTGTGTGTGTGTTCACATATATACACATGAGGCACAATGTGATGTTTCAATATATGTGTACATTGTAGAATGATTAAATCAAGCTAATTAACATATCCATCAAGCTAATTAACAAATCCATCCTTCATTTACTTATCATTTTTTTGTGGTGAAAACATTTAAAATTTACTCTTTTAGCAATTTTGAAATTTGCATTACATTATTATTAACTATAGTCACCATGCTATGCAATAGATCACCAGAACTTACTCTTCCTGTCTAATTGAAACTTAGTGCCCTTTGACCAACATCTCTGCTTTCCCATCCCACCCATTTCCCTGCCCCAGTCCCTGGTACCACCATTTTACTCTCTACTTCTATGAGTCCAACTTTTTTAGATTCTGTATATAAGTGAGATCATGCAGTATTTGTCTTTCTGTGCCTGGCTTATTTCACTTAGCATAATGTCCCTGGGGTTCGACCATGTTGTCACAAGACAAGGTTTTTCTGCTGTCAGAAGCACAGAGCCATCTTTAGAGGAGATGTGGCCAGATCCCAGCAGCTCCTGGCCCTCTTGGTTAGGGAAGGACACAGCTTCTCCATTCAGCAGCTGACATGGGGTGACAAAACAACTCTCGCAAACCAGGACATGTGAGAGTAAAGGAAGGGGGTTGCTGGGATGCAGAGAAGCTGGAAGTCAGTTGAGTAGAAGAAGCTGAGAACTTTGAGGTGAGGCTATGGGACAGGTCATTCTTATAGCACTGAGTCTTCCTGGGATGATAGCTAGTGTTTGGGTGGAATGAAAACCCAGGATTTGTGTCTATGATTCAATTAACCTAGGCCACACATTCCCAAAAATGAGTTGGTGGGGAGAACGAAACTATCTTTCTCATCACATATATAAAGCACAGTTATATACAGAGTACATAAACAAATACACTTCTGCAGTATTGAAATTTCATGGGAAGGGATGCAATTTAGTAGAAAATGTCAAAAAAAAAAAAAAGAACTCTGTAGGGAGTCAATTATGAACAAAAGGCTAAGAAACACTGATATAGGGAAATTCCCCAAATTGAAGGCCAAGAGATAACAGAAACTTAGAAGAATGGCAGATGTTAGATCCATACAATACGAGATTAAAAAGAAAGGAATTTTCACATAACTGTGGAGTAATTTCACAATCTGGAGGTGGCAATGAGGAAACAGAGAGATGCTTTTCAGACAGGGCTTCAGAAAGTGAGCAGCCTCCACACAGATGGCTGTAGGGAAGCTGCATCTTGGGACAGGGCCAGGTTTCTGCTTAAGTAAAACAGCACAGTGTGTGTTTGCAAAGATTGAGTACATGAGCATGATTATTTACAGTGGAATGAGTTTTCAACATAATCTAGTAATGACTAAATCCAAATGGTTGTCATATTTCATAAATATTGCATTCACTGAAATATTACTGTTGTACAACCAGGTGGCTGCTGAAATTCATCAGAGGCTTATGGAAGAAGAAAAAGAAAACCAGCCAGCAGACCCCAAAGAAAAATCTCCTCAGACGGGTGCAAATAAAAAAGCCAAAAAGGAACCACCCAAGAAAAAAAAGGAAGACAAAAAAACCAAAGGTAGTTATGGTTTTAGCACCCAGAGAAACCTGGATGCTTAAATCTCTCCTTGGTGTAGAACAAGCATTTAACCAGACACATTAGCTTCTAAGCCACTAAAATACTGTTCATCAGATTTAAACTAGAGATCCAGGCTTCTATAAACTGTGGTGTTAGTTGGAAAATTGTATTGCACACCAGTTTCACCTAATTTGTTTATCCAAAAAGCCAGATGTACCTGGGATAAAGTAAATCTCAATGACCGTTTTTGAATGTATTAAAAGAACTCCCAAGATGGTCCTGTGTCAATCTGAAAAATCTGTGTAAAAGGGCTGACACTAGCTGTAGTAACAAAGAGAAGTTTAAGATCTATATGTATATGTAAGTTTCAGAGGCACTTTAATTCAACAAGTCCTTCTCCCCTGGAGGCCTCCGACCGAAACCTCTGTCAGGAGCAGGGTGAAAAACAAAGAGGAAAGAAAACTCGGTTTGGAAGAGGCCTTTAATTAACCTTATGGATGGCTCTTGCACAAACATTACCGTCCCCTCTGAATGTTTCCACTTGTATATTTTCAGGCAACTTGAAGCAAAAGAGGAGTGGGAAGCACATGATCAAAAGTTACTCCACTCCTGATTGCTCCAGTGTCTACTAGGTACCTGATGTGTGTGAAACACTCTGCCATTGTGCCAAAGACACAATACTAAATTAAAAATGAAAAGCAATATGACAACCATGGTCCTGTTCTGATCGAGCTATAATCTAGTAGTAGAGACAATATTTGACCAAGCAGTGTTCTTTGATAGGGAGGTACAGGACCTTGAGAACAAGGTCGCCTCACTGCATTTCAGGGATTGGGGACACTTCCCAGATGGAGAACATGTAAGCAGACATGGGTAGGAGCTAAGGGAAAGTACTAAAGGCAGATAAGGGGGAGAGTCTATGGCACTTAAAGGAAAGGGAAGAGTCGTGTCTCCATAAAGAACACACCACTTTAGCCCATCTCAGATGGTAAAAATAAAAGAAATATGCAACATTTAAAGGAAATACCTCCATTTTCTTTAATGGAATAACTATTTGAGTCTAATCCCTTAATTTTACAGATGATAAAACAGAAATCCAGAGAGATTAATCTCTCCTTCCTCTGTAACTTATATATACAGCTGTTATTGCAATGAACACATCTTATTACAATTTCCTTATTTACACTTACGTCTTCTTCACAAGATTCGAACCCCCTGAGGTCAGACTCTCAAGAAAGGTTTGTTGAACTGAATAGAGTTGTGTAAACTGGGCCTGCCACTGGAATCATATTGCCATATCCCATGAGTAAATTCTTACTCAAGTACTAACAAACCCTTATTTTCTAATTCTCTCATGTAATCATTGATATAGTTAAGTTTGAATTGAAAGATAATTAGGTTACAGATTCTTGACCATCACCTACATTTCAGCCATATCTTTTTGAAGTTATTCCCTGGCATCTTCTTGGTGAAGAACTAGAAAACACTTTGCCAATACAAGCTATCCCTTATGGAGTGGCACTTCTGCTGATGTCTAATGGCGTCTATAGTATGTTGGGGTTTGCTAATTTCTATGCCCAAACTCTGGATTTCACTGTGTTTGGAGTCTGTAACCATCTCTGCACCTGCTACAACCTCATTTTTCATAATGCCACACAAATGGGGTGTTTTTATAGGAGTCCAACCCAGACGCCAGACAGAGAATTCTCAAGGAAGAAATATCAATATTCCATCACTCACACCAAGAAGACTAAAGTTTCTCATTTCCAAATCACTAGAAGTTTTTAGCTCTGCAGATTTTGCTTTGTACTCATTTTTGTCCGAGTCCTGTATACACTTGTATGCTGGTGGTTTACTCAGCATGCTTCATCGTCCTTTCAGGTAAATCATCACCTACGGCAGAAGTTGCTCCTGTGATAGTAACAGCAGAGGAAATCGCCGAAGTTGAAAAGAAAAATGAACTGAGGCTCAAAATAAAAGAAGAACACCTTGCTGCCCTGCAATTTGAAGGTAGCAATTAGAAATGACTTAGAAGATGCTTTTTAGTAGAAAGTAGACCCATACGCAGACAGTCCACAACTGGTCCATCAATTGCCTCGGACTGTCTGTAAGAACATACGACAAACCGATTAAAAGCAAAACATTCAACTGGCTGTTTTCATTTGACCATATGAGGACTAGATTTTACTGTTGGATGAGTCAGATGTTTTGGCCTCACCTAATCAGTCTTAACTGTCTGTGGGATCTAAAAAGAAACAAAAAGAATTTGGGAAAGGGTAAGAAGAGCAATGGTGGTAATTAAAATCACAAAAAATAGAAACATGTGTGTTTGAAAGTTGGTGTGATTTTATGTTAAAATAAGAATCATTTAGGCCTCTCATTAGGAACATAAATCCTGATTAAGGGTAACAGGCCCTGAAAGTGAGTTCTTGAAAGCAGAGGCCATAGAAGAGCCAGTCACGTATCTATGATGTTCAAAGGCCTTCTTCTCTCTAGACAGCAATGCCTTTGCAATATGTATTCTTCTTATGGTTCTTCTAATTGCCTTATGATACAACTCAAAATTAAATTTGAAAATATCAGAAAACTGAGCAAACATATCCTATGGAAGAGAACTATGGTAAAATACTAGATGATAAGACCATAAACATGCAGCATGGCGTAAGCTGAGACACAGTTAACCACTCAATGACCATTAACTATTAAGGATGCTTTTTATCCCTTGCTTCTCTCCTTCCCCCTCCCCTCCCCATCCTGCTACCACCTGCTTCTGTAATCCCAACAGTAATGCCTGAAGGGAGTTGAACACAGGGACACCTATGGCATCAGGAGAGTCAGGACATATGCTTCTCCTCTATTGCCTGTCCCTATATCTGATTTCAGTGGTTTTCAGTATACTTCATCTTTCAGTTCATTCATTCATATAATCAATGTTTGTTGAGTTTTTACTATGTGCCTAGTCCTGTGATAGTTGCTTGTACATATATGTACAAATATATATAGAGATAGATAGATAGATATAAAAACACAATACCAATCTAGAGAAAGAGAAATGCAAGCAATCACTTACACTATGTAGTGATACTGTCAATAGGCATATGGGACAAAGGGGACGGGGGCGGGGGGGGGGAGGCAGCAAAGACTTAATGGTGGATCTAATGATTGAGCTGAACTGGAAGAATGTGGAGAGTTTTCCCAAGGGACAAATAGGGGCAGGAATGGAGAGAAGGATGAGCCACACCGAGATGGAGGAGGAGCATATTTGGTGGCCTGTGCTGAGCAGCTCAGGAGTATGAGGCATGTTCTGGGAAGGAATGACTTGGAAGATGGGGAAGCTAGACCATGGAAGGGCATATAGGCCCTGCCATGAAAGTTAGATTTTTCCCTTATGGCAACTGGGAGCTAGTGGAAAATTCTGAGAGAAGAGTGATGCGATCCCCTCCGCAGGTGAGACAGATTACTCTGGATAGTGTGGAGGTGGATTTGGATTTGAGGTGGGGAAAGAAAGTTAGAAAAAGCAGGGTTGAGGCTATTGCAACAGTTTAGGTGAGAGATAATCACTGTCCAAACTGGGACAGTGGCAATGGAAAAAGCAAAAAAAAGAGGCTGGAAAGATATTTTGGAGATAAAAAGTGCCAGGAACAACAGGCCTGGGGACACACTGGTTTTGCCCATTTTAGCAATGCTGAGAAATACAAGGACATTGCGACCCCAAGGTTCTAAAGTAGGGAGATGAACAAGAGACTTTGTCCCTCCCTCCCTTTCTGAATTTCAGAAAATATCTGTGTGTTGTCACATGTCATTTATCAAAAAGTATATTGCTATAAAGTGCAGTAAATGTAAAGCTCAATTATAATTGTGGTTTAGATAATTTTTCAAGTGACTCTATCGTACATTACATTTTGTTTCTTAATGAGATGGATAAGACAGTACTTTATCCATAGTGGTATATATTAAACATACACCTAAAACAAAAAATTGAAACACGAGTGGTTTAAAAGTGAATCTATTCATTAGAAAAGTCATGTACATATACATTAAAGAACCCCTATTTCTCTTTTTAGAGAAAGCCACACAGTTTCGACTTGAACTGATAAAGGCAAAAGCATTGGCTGTCCTTGAAGATTTAGTAACAAAGGTGGTCAATGTATATAAACTCTTGGAAAAATGGCTTGGTGAAAGATATTTGAATGAAATGGCCAGGTAAAGTACTGCATGGCTTTCTAAAAATACACTTTGTTAATTCTTGAGTGCCAACATTGACATAGATTTTCAAGGTGTTTACAAATTTAAATTACATTTACAAATATAAATTTTGACCTTTTAGGAAATCACATGTATAAACACATAAAGTTAGCTTTACTATCACATTCGTATGGACTCTTCAAATAGTAAATCATGTATCAAAGGGTTCTATTGCAAGATCCAGTTTTGTACATTATTTATGAGTTGAGTTTTCACACTGCTTAATGAGAACCTTAGTTTACAAGGTAAGATTATACATAATTTTGAAATATTTTTCAGAAGTAAAATAATGCTCCAGATCTTTCTAATGCCAGACTTATTATTAGTTAGAACCAATTAATGGGAGATTAAAAAGTCATTCACTGGAATGTTTTACTGTTAGGCTGATTCCGCTATAAAGACAATACCCAGTTCTACTTTTCTGTTGATTTCCAAAGGTTTTTCAGATTCTCATTGCTAGTGAGTCTCATCCTCTTAGTTTTCCTCTACAAGGAGAGAAAAGGTAGCTCAGCAAAATGGAAATAGTCCTCATCTGAGAGTCAGGAGACATGATAGTCCGAACCAGGTGTCCCACATTATCCACAAATTAGTAGTATGCTTGATTGTTTTGGGCCTTGCTGGCTTCATCTATACAAGGAAACACTCCAGCCAGGCTATTTCAGAGATTTCTACTAGATCTGCATACTGTGATGCACTACAGTTTCCAATAAACATTTACTGAAAATTCAGAAGTTGCTAAGTAAATAGGATTCAAATGGCAGGTATTCTCAGAAGCAACAATTGTCATCTAAAAACAGTTGTTATAGTTTGTTTTCTCTGGTCCTTGTCTTATAATGAAAGTTCCCTTTGTAAAATCTTCAGCCTAGTCGTTTAGAATTACTATTCTGTGTTTAAAAATAAACAAACAAATAAATAAAAATACAAACAGAAACATATCTCAGTCTGGTAATCTTACCCAGTAATGCTTAAAATAATTTTACAAATGGATAACTCATCAGCATCAAAGAGCAATAATCAGTTCTGTTCTCTGACCCCCACTTACGAATGAAAGTGTATCTTCTTCATTCCTAGGATTCATGGCTCCCATCCATGTGGCCATCAAGTGTAAATGCATATTATTTTTATCAGATGTACTCGTATTTCTCAGATTTATATTGTATATGTATCTATGCCTTCTAAAGCTCAGATGCTGTGGGGAATTGTGACCACGGAAGTTAAAACCTAGAAATGTCATAATGGGGCGGGGTGAGGAGTAGGAAAAAAGCAATTAGATTCCTTTCAGCTTCAAGTCCTGCTTTTTATTTTAACCTTCCACTAGGTGGCGCGAATCCATTTTGATATCCTGGTTAAGGCTGGGTGTCAGTCTGTCTCTGGAATCCCTCCTCACTTATAAACTCAGTGCCCTTCTTCTTGGTCCCCCACCACCCAAAAACCCTAAAGCATAAACTAATTGGCTAGTATATACTATGTGGACACTCACAAAGACAGCATTCCAGGGTTGGATTCAAGGATGTCTTTTGAAAAGACAGCAACTAATAGTATTTTTAAAATTTTCAGTATATGCTATATTTGGGGTGTCTGAGTTATATACAAGTAGACTAAATATGAATTTTCCTGTGATGTTCAATCTTTCATTGTAGGATATAAACAATATCCTTTCTTTAATACAGTGATAATGTGCTTATTCATGTATAAAACTTGTCCGGCCTTTAAAATGACCTTTAATTAGGCCATGAACTATAAATATATCCCCAGTAAAGTTTAAATCCATGCCTCATTTGATTTCACATTAACAACCATAAGGTAGAGAGCAACATTTTATTGGCTCCATTGCAAAGATAGGGAAATTCAGAGAGCTTAGGTAAATTATCCCAGGACCTGTGGCTAAAGAATGCCCTAGAATAAGAGCTCGGCTCCTGAGCCACTGCACTGGGGTGGTTCCTACTGTTGTTGCTTGTAGCCACATGATCTAGCTAGGAATTGTTATCGTTGGCAAAGAAAGCAAAGGAATTTCAATGGAATATATGCATCAGAGGCTATTCTGACAACTGTGTCTTAGATAACATAAAGTTAGAGAAAAACACTCTTTATAATAGAAATGCATTATTGCATTTGATTCACTTTTAATTCATCTTGATTCCAAATAAATGTATTATTCTAACAGTCATATTTTACAGGGTATCGTGCCATATATTCTTATTCTGGTTTATACTTAGAATGAAATATAATCCTTGACATAATCTTACTTATATAATGAAATATGTTCTAATACTAATAAAAACCATATTTAACAGATTCTCTTTTTGTTTGGCTTTGTATAAATTGTGTAGCTATTAGCAGTATAATAAGCAAGTCTTTTGTTTTTAATATGCATTTATTTAATACCTTGCCTTTTTACAAAATAGATTTGAGAAGTCGCAGTTTTTAAACATGCTAATGGAATTATCTAACTTATCTATATAATGTTTTCACTTTTGTGTGTATGTCTTGTAAGCAGACACTGTGATCTAATAGTATCTTTATTAAGGATAACTTTATTCATTTTACCACTTTCAGCATAGAAAAATTAACTGAAGTAGCTCGCTATCACATTGAAACATCTACAAAAATTCAGAATGAACTTTATTTAAGCCAAGAAGACTTCTTCATTAATGGAGATATAAAAGTCTTCGCAGATCCTCCCCCACCAGTACGTCCTCCACCTGTAGAAAAGGAGGAAAATGGCACCCTGACCATCGAACAGCTTGACAATCTTCGAGATCAGTTCTTAGATATGGCGCCTAAAGGTAGGAAAAATAATTATCGTGAGAAGAGAACAAAAAGGTTAAGATTAACCAGGATGGAAGTCACTTTCCCACAGATAAAATCAGCTCTATGGGATTGTGTAACACTAAAACGAGCCCTTGCTTTGTTCTAGTTTATCGAATATTTGCTTCATACAACATAGGCCTTAAACAAACAAGAGAATAACAGTGACTAATACTTGACCAGTGCGTTGATCCTCACTCATGGTAATTCTCCATTCTTATCCTCTCTTGCTGGATATTTGGTAAATTTGAGTATTACAACATCTGGCAGTTGACCGCCTTTGTGTATACTTCTAGTTTAGCTTTTGTGTTGGGATTATGAGTGTGTGTTTCTGTCTCCTCCATTAGTCTGTGAATGGAGACCAGAGAATAGAGAAGTTCTCTTTTATATTTGTTTTTCCGCCTCAATGCTTCCTAGACCATAAGCAAAACCAAATAAACTGGTAACAAATATTTGCTTAATTGATTGATCAATTTGTGCACATTATGTGTACATGTTTTCCACATACATATTTTTTAATTCCTTCACATTTTATCATCATAGCTCTATGGCATCTGCACAGGCTCTTCCTACTTCTAGATATTCTTCAATATCCACTAATTATAGCACAAGTTATTTGGACAGATCACGTAGGATTATCATCTCTACTTTATAGGTTTAGACACTGAGTCGCAGAGCACTTGAGCAATTTGCCTGTGGTCATACATCATCAGAACTCTGCAAATCCAAAGTTCTTGCCCCTTCTCACTGAACTAAGTTGCCTTTCACAAACAGGTTTATTTTATCTTCCTACATATCCTACTTACTGGGAAATCATTACTTTTCCCTAGAGACTAGTCAACTTAACACAATGTCGCTTTTTTTTAAAGTCCAATATTTCCAGAAATTCACATCAAATATCATTAGTAAAAAGAGAATTACTCTATTCTTAAGTCCGAAGTCTTTCTTACCAAGCCAACAGGTGAAATAGGTGTGTATATGTGTGCCTAAGTGAACCCTAGTGCCAGCATGTGTCAGCTCATCAAATCAGCTTGAGTAGGCTTCACATTTCCAAGGTATAAAAGCACACACTGCGGTTTTGGATGGACATTGACTCTGTTTGGCAGCATATGAGCATGAAAGAAATGTGGCCATCAGCAGGTGAAAAAAAGACCAACTTTATAAAGTCAGCCCATGAAATCCTTCAGCTCTGCAGTCAGCACTGTGCTTCCTCTTCTCCATTGTGTGAGTTTCACGATGCCCTTTTATTACACACTTCCCTCTTCAAAGTAGCTTTTGCTCTTCATTTTATCCATGCTATTTTTTACATATAAAATAAAAAAGTGTGTGTGAAAAGATTCTGCACATGAAATATGATTTGCTTTAATCCTACAGTATGGTGACTGGGAGTAAATCACTCAATTAGTAGATAAAAACTAAAGCAGTTAGGGACATTTGAGTAGGTGGAAGTGGATTTTGGAAAATTATCAGTCACTTATAATCCTTTTTAGAAGGGACCCTAGTATCCATGATGATAATGGTAATACCTTGTTGGATCCATCCTCAAAACTAGAGCTCACATTTCCACTAGAAGTTTAAAAATAAATAACAAATAGCAGCTGTAATTTGGCATGTGTATGTCTTAGAAAATTAACTCAGGAAACCCTTGGGACAAAAAGATGTCAACAGATACATTTGTCTGTTTTCAGAATATAGTAGAGTAAGACAGTTTTCAGACTATTGTAGAAATATTAATAGCAAGGGAGGGTGAAGAAAGACAGAGAGGGAGGGAGAAAAGGAGAGAAACAGTTATGCTAAAAAAAGAAAAAACAGAGTAAAAGAAAACCACTTGCCCTAGGGAACTTAGAGTGTAGTTTGAAAAAGCAAGCAAAGGAGAAAATGCAAACAACTATCTGGGTTATTTCTAGGACACAATATGAACATTATAAAAGTGCTCAGAATGCAATGCAAAGGAGAATCAGTGTGCAGTGAGGTGGGTCAGGGAAAAGTTTGTAGAGTAATACCTTGGAGGGAGAAATTGAAGGTGGTAAAGAGTGACTTGGTGGCAAGGATACCAAGGATATTTAAAGTCAGGGATTAGCTGCTAGAAAACCTGTAGACATGAGGCATGAGTATGGGAGTATGGGTGTTCAGGAAATGATCATGGCTTCTAGGCAAACGAAAGAGAAGGTCTTCTCTAGCTGAGGAACTGCCTGTCCCACCCAGGCTGGAGAATTAACCCAAATGTAAGAATCACAGTTGGAATTACCACAGAATTTACAAAGCTGTATAATACTGTGGGATTTGGGGATTTTGTTGATTCAAAATGTTATGGGCTGTGTACCAACAGTTTAAATCTTCATTAGCTCAATTATAGCATTTGAAAAAATATATACTGCATAGGTTGCTTTTTATGTATATGTAAAATACTTATCACAGTGTTGGGTATTTTATCAGTAGAAGTAATGTTCATTGTTACTATTTTTGCTATATTAAAAGGAAAGGGAAAAGTAATATTCCATGTTCTGCATATCAGAGTCACAGAATTGGAGGTTCTCTACTGATACCCTTGAAGTCAGGCTGCAGATATTTTCCCTTCCCTAAGAAACCCAATAATTACCATTCACCCCTTCTTTCCTTCTCTTTTGGCCCCACAAAATATCCTCTGGCTTTAGTCTTTCTTCCTCAGTTCTGCAATTTCTGTTCACTTAAAAAACAATTGTTTAAATGATATACACCCCAGCATATTTTGAACAAAGTCGTTTGTTGTATCCTTTTCAAGAACTGGAAGGCAATCTTTTATAATTTTTTCCATTGTCTTTACCCTAGAACTCTACAATTTCAAAAGATAATCTTAGTTGAAGTGCTAACAGGTTTGAAAGTATGGAGCTACTGGCTGAATGTGGTACATTTCTAAATGTGTGATCCTGCATAACTTCCTGTTTAACCTGAAAGTTGTTGTTATTTCTAAGCCAAGAAATATGAACATTTTCTTATATTATTTAATATATGCCCATGTAACCCATGATATCTAAGATGCAACTTTCAAGTTTGCTAAAATATATTAAAACAGATGGATTTTTTTGTAGGAAAAAAGTATACATATTTGCATGTAATAGTCACGTTATTAGGCTCACATTAAGATCTTTTAGCAAATCCATACTTTAGAATCATAGGAGCAGCTTGAGTAAGAGACAACCAGTGAATCAGTTGAACCATTCTTTCCATTGACTGTCCTTGGAATCATTCCCATGAACATACTCCCAGTACAGAGTATGGTTTAGTGAATATTTTCTGAATTATAATTATAGACAATTTGGCATTGTTACTATGTGTCAGGCCCTGTGCTAGTATTTCCATATATTAATTCACTTATTATCCACCTCAACCTATGATGGGATGGCTGGAATCAGACAACTCTTTTTCAAGTTTACCTCTTACCAAATGATTGTCATATCATCTTTGGCAAGTTATTTGATTTCTCTGTGCCTTATTTTCCTCACCTGAAAAATGGTGATAATGATGATACTTACTTCATCAGGTTGTTATGAAGATTAAAGTAATTAATATATGTCAAATACTTAGAAAGGATATAGCACATAGAATGCACACTTTAAGGATACTATAAGCCATTATGATTTGCTTATATAATTAAGTGTCATATTAGTATATAATACATAATATTATACAGTATTGACACAAACTATCTCATTATTATCCAAAATATTATCTTAGTGTCCTGAAGGTGCAAATATCCTAATAGATACCTGCAATATTACCCCAGAGTACTTCCAAAAAAAGTTTACCCCCTGGTAGAATTAGACTGTGAAGTATTATGGCTCCCTGGGGACTATAAGCATACAAAGCAAAAACCACTCATTTTGTACAGTAAGCTCCGGGCAGGTACATCTTGTCTCCAAACATCAAGTGCCAAGTACATCAGGAAGATAGCCTTTCTCCAATGGAAGCAATCTGTAGTCTATTGAAATTAGAACACTTCAGCAATGTTCCTTTGTCCCCACTTAAAGAACTCTTTTTTCTTGTAAGCCCACTGGACTCCATGTAATGCCTGTAGAGATCAGTTCACGTTTATTTTGGCTTCTGCTGAGAAGCTATTTGAAGAGAACACAGTCCAGCAAATTCTACACCCTCACTTTTTCTTCAAAACAGGCAGCATTTAGTTGTGCAAGGTCTGTAACATTGTTTTAAAAACTGAGAAGGGCCCCTCCTTTGAACCCCTCTTGGAGATCCTTCTTTAATTACTGATCTCAGAAACAAGAGGGGACAAATTCAGAATGCTGGGCTATCATGGCTAAGCTAGATCATACAGCTACATGGGTTTTCCACGAGTTCTAAGGAAGGAGAGTAGCTATCCTACCTATATGAGTCACCATGGGAGTTAGCCCAGAGGCTTTTGAAACTGAACCTTCCAGGAAGAGAAACAAGGGACGGATATTCCAGGCAAAGAGGAAAATGGGACAACTGTGGAGATTCTGAAATTGCATAACATATTTAGGGAACAGCAAACAGCTGGGACAAGGGGCAGGAGGTGAGACCACAAAGAGCTTGTGGTCAGGTAGTGAAGCCCCAAGCCGCACGTAAGAGAGGATTATTAACGGTGTTTAGAGCCCACTGTCATGGAGAATGGATCGGGGAGGGAAAGAGACTATGTCTGTGTGAGTAGCAGACATTGCCAGTCTCTCTACAAAGCCTCCGGAAACCACGAGGCAGGAGAAAGGGCACCTCGGTGGTTGCTTGAAAGGGATAACTAAAAGGTTCTGTGGGTTTTTCCAGGCTTAGTGTCTCAAAAGATTATAAAAATGTGATATTTGCAGGTGAATATTTTGATCTGAAAACTGCTTAGTCTAACATTTACCCAAATCAAGAAATACAGAAAGATTTCTTAGAAAAGGGATGATATAGAAGAATGGATACTATTGAAAGAACTATCACACCAGGTGGCAAACCCCCAGAGATCACAGCAAAGAGGAGTGTGTACCCCCAAATCCCCTACTGCTCTCTGAGTGGGTGAAGTCCTTGACTACATCAGACTCAGATCACAGAAAAGCAATAGTGAATCTAGAATACTTTGATCCTATTAAAGCTGTTTATAGTCAGAGTTTCAAATGTGTCTTCAGGATGAAACATACAGGTAGTCTCATGAAGCCAGAAAACTGACATTAGATAAATGAAAGAATAGAATATGCTCAGAATTCAACATAACATCTTCTGGAAAATCTACCCACAAAACTGAAAACATAAAAGCTAGAAAAATCAGTATTGAAAGTTAAAACCCTTTCCTTTAACAACAAGAGGCTTATTTTTTCATCTATTCATTCATTTATTTGCCAACATTTATGTGTGTAGAGCAGGCTCCAGGCATGGTGTTACAGGCCTAGAGTGAAAGACTGCCCAATGCTTAGGTAAGAAAATAAAGAAAGTAGCTGTCAACTACAAAGAGACTAATTTTAAATTCAATACAGTAATATTTAGAATCTAAAAAATGAGGGTCCATTTTAACAACTGCAAAAAAACTTATTAAAAGGCAAAGTAGACGTGAAATAAAAATAAGTTATGAAAGGCAGAGAAGTACATCAACTAATGTCAAAGGTTTTCAATTAAAAATGATTAAGAGATAGGAGATGATAAAAGTCAGTGAAGAAAGGAGATTTATTTTCTTAAACACCTACCAAGTGCTTAGCATTCAGCTAGATGTTATAAGGCACAAAAGAAGTAAGTATAGTTCTATCAGAAAAATTTAAAATCCAATTGAGAGGTCAAAGCCTAGAACCATAAAGCATTGAACCAAAAAGATGGAGTGTATGTCAGCATGAGATATTTTAATATAATATTCAAATCCATATTCAATTTATTCATTATATGATAAATAAAACAATATAATCTAATCATTAATAGTATCAAAGATGGCCGGGCGCTGTGGCTCACGCCTGTAATCCTAGCTCTTGGGAGGCCGAGGCGGGCGGATTGCTCAAGGTCAGGAGTTCAAAACCAGCCTGAGCAAGAGCGAGACCCCGTCTCTACTATAAATAGAAAGAAATTAATTGGCCAACTGATATATATATATATATAAAAAAAAAAGTAGCCGGGCATGGTGGCGCATGCCTGTAGTCCCAGCTACTCGGGAGGCTGAGGCAGGAGGATCGCTTGAGCCCAGGAGTTTGAGGTTGCTGTGAGCTAGGCTGACGCCACGGCACTCACTCTAGCCTGGACAACAAAGTGAGACTCTGTCTCAAAAAAATAAAAAAAAATAAAAAAAAAAAATAAAAAAAAAAAAATAGTATCAAAGAATTTGCAGAAGGGACACATATATGTGGTCTAGGTTCTCTACCTTCAGGGAGAAACTGGTATTTCAGAATTTTGTTGTGTGTAATTTTTATTTTCTTAATGCTTCTCTTCAGCTAAATATAGGTTCTCCTCTCTGAAAAATAATCAAATGTGTGTCAAAAATGAGATCTTTAGGGAAAGAAAAAGGTGAGGCATGAAGCACAGCTCCTTTATGAAACCACCTGGAAAGGGTTTCAAAGCCTGACACCCTTTTTGTAAATTAACAAGTTTGCTGTACCATTGCCAGAGAAGGTAGGACTCAGGCAGGAGAAGAGACGTGTTCAAGCCAGATCTCACAGATGCACTACCATGCATGCCCTATTATTCCTTTTTATTGCCATGGGAAGGACATTTCGGTAAAATCAGTGTCCCTCTTATGGACGTGGAAATGGATTCTATAGTGAAGAAGACCACAGCACCCCTTCCCCCATACAGGAAACTCATAACAGTGAAGTGTTTAAACATGGGGACTGCAGAGCCTATTGGTGAATTTCAGCTCCACCACTCACTTATGAGCACTACAACATTGGACACACTAACTAACCTCTCTGTGCCCCAATTTTCTTATCCATAAAATGGTGATACTAATAGTTGGTCCATTTTCTTAACTATAACATAGGGATTATGGATTGTGAGGATTGACTGATATAAACCAGTTAAAGCGCTTAGCAGAATGCCTGGTAAGTAAGTAATAAGCATCAATATAATTTTTCCAAAAATGAGCCAACATGGGGGGCGGGCAGAGGTTAAGACCTTATGATTACTTAAAATAACAACATGGAGTTATTTTAAAGGCAGGGATCCTCCGGAGGATGTGAGTCAAGTCCCTGGAAAGCAGAAAAGGCCACGGAAGCTTGACCATTACCTCCCAGAGAGAAATCATCGATTTTTGAAAATTTGGCTAAAAAAATATCCTTGGCTTGTATATGATGAGTTATTAAATCTTATGTTCTGTGCCCTGTGTCGTAAGCATGGAGTGAAGTCGGGGGGAAGTCAGTTGAGTTTTTCTTATGGCACGGACAACTTTAGGACTGAATTTCTCAACGCACATCATCTCAGCGAGGCTCATGCCAAGGCTTCATTAAGGGAAGCAACAAGTGGTTCTCCAGTGAATAGAGCCACCACCAACCTCATGGTGAGGACCATGAGCAAAGTCACCCTTGGGAGAGTAGAGAACTTATTCAGATCATGCCATGCTATTGCCAAGACTGGACGTCCCCTCAAAGATTTTATTTGGATGTGCAAATTGGATGATATGAAGGGCATTGATATTGGCCCAGTATTCAGAACTAACAAATCAGCAAGAATATTTACATATTTTATTGCTGAAGTAGAACGGAAACATCTAAAAGAGAAACTAGAGAAAAGTAAATTTTTCTCTGTCATCAGTGATGGAATTATAGACAGTTTAATCAAGGAAGCCAAAATTGTCTATGTGCAGTTTGCACATGCAGGAAAAGTGCATTGTCAAATTGTTGGGGTACAGACAGTACAAAGGAAAGATCCTCTGGCAATAAAAAATGCCATTGAGAAAACTCTAGAGATAAATCTTCAACTTAGGCTGTCGAGCCAAGAGTGGGCAAAGAAACTGGTTGGTTTTGGAAGTGATGGCACCCCTGGCGTAGAGGGAGAGAACAACAGCATAGCCCTGCTTTTAAGAGAAATTCAGCCATGTGTGCAGACTGTACATTGCTTTGCACATCACCTTGAATTGTCTTACAAGGTGGTGTTTCAGAGCGTTCCACTGTACAACGATGTCAAAGACCTTCTTCACAGCATTTATCACTTCTATCACAATTCTCCTCTTCATAAGAATTCTCTGATAACTGCTTTCAAAGACCTTCACCTTCGACCTGTGATGCCTTCTCAAATAGGAGGCAGGAGGTGGCTTCACGGATTACACACAGCCCTCCAGGACTTTCTCAAGGGATATCCCGCAATTGTCCAGCAACTGCGTTCAGTAAGTAATTTTGAAATACCGTATTATTTTACTTTGTCAGAATAACAGGAAATACTTTTTTTAGTTTCTTGGAATAATAATTTTGAGAAAGATAACCACCATATTCCCAACCTGTTTTATAGGCAAGCAAAGGCAAAAGTGACAGCAGTCAACAGAAAGCCAAAGACCTTCTAGAATCCCTTCTCCAAGCCAACATTGTTAAATTTGCCCACTTTTTGATGGATGTCATTAATGTCCTTAGTATTCTGTCCCGTGTCAGTCAGAACAGAAATTCCTCAATTGCTGATATATTTTCCACCTTAGAGTCAACACTGGAAATGCTCCAAATGTATCAAACAAGGTGAGAGGTCAAGGTGATCTGAGGTCTGTCAAATCAGACAGTTTGACTTAGGGATTTATTTAAGCCAAATGCTTTTTCATTTAATTCTTTACTTGGACAATTTTTTTTTTCCTCCCAGACCAGGGCCAAAAGAACGCAGGGTGAATTCAGTCACATATTTTCATGGTAACTGCCTCAGAGGTAAAGAAAACATTTCTGCCATGAGACGCATGGTTTTAACATGTCTTATCAAGAGGCTGCAAGGCTGTTTCAGAGATGCCAGCCAAGATGTGATGAGGGCCACCATGATTGGAAGCTTTAAGTTGTGGCCCACAAAGATAAATCAAGGTAACCTATATACACTGATATTGTCTATTTTTTTTTGTTTTTAAAATTTTTTTCAGAGACAGGGTCTCATTCTGTTGGCCAGGCTGGGCTCAAATGATGCTTCTGCCTCAGCCTCCTGAATAGCTGGGACTACAGGTGCACACCACCATGCCTAGCTAGTTTTTAAATGTTTTTGTAGAGATAGGGTCTTGCTATGTTGCCCAGGCTGGGCTCAATCTCTTGACCTCAAGCAATCCTCCTGCCTCAGTCTCTCAAAGTCCTTAGATTATAGACATGAGCTGTCACTCTTGGAACTCTAATTTTGAACCTATTATTCTTTGCTTGTCTTTATGAGTTTCTTTTATATGTGACTTTTCTTGTATATTGATTGCAGAATTTGGAGAAAGAGAGGTATCTATCCTGCTTGCACATTATGAACCAGTATTAGAAGCTGCCAATGTGAAACTCAATGAGGTGGACACTGAATGGGGCATGTTGAAATTAGAGATTTATGCCAGGTAAGCAAAAAAGCAAGCTGAGGAAACTAGTTGATATTTATAAATATTTGGATAAAGCTTGGAAATCTCAACCTTTGACATTTTTCATCTTCCCTCCTAGATTTCAGAACATTCGAAAATTGACTTGGGATTTTGTAAATTCCATTTACTTACACAAGTATCCAAATATCCTGACACTAGTTGACCTAGTCCTGACGCTTCCTGCAAGTTCAGCTGAAGCAGAACGTGGCTTTAGTCAGATGAAACGGACCAAGTCACATATGCATGCTAAAATCGAGGATGAAAGCATGACGGATGCCTTGATCATTCATTTGAATTCTCCAGATATTAATAATTTTGACCCTAGGAAAGCTATTCATTTATGGAATACAAGAACACTATCTTCAACTGGTGACACAAGACCTAATTCAGATTGCTCATCAAACTCAGAAAGCCATTATGAAAGTGATTAGTTATGTGACAAATGTTGACATTGTTATCGGTCATAGCAATAAAATAAAATAAATGATTTTCAAAAACCTAAAATTTAAAAGTAAAACATTAACCTGTCTTCACATCAAACATAAGAGACATTTGGCATCTTCCAAACATACAGAGTAACATTCCAAGATTAATTTTTCTGTAACTTTCTGGCTCTACTTATGTATTCACATGTTCTTTTGCATTCTTTGGGTAGAGCTGTATGCTTCTAAACAATGGTTATTTTAATGTCATCTTTCTGAGAGTTATCACTAAGGGTGACTGGATTATAATTATGGTTTGAATTCTCTTAGGTTGGCATACAATTAATATTTTTATTAGATAATTCTAAATGATAGTTACATTAGATAACTAATTTAGGGCCAGATTTAAAGAGAGCTTTTCTTGTTATCCATAAACAAAATTTATAAGAGAATCTATTTATGTTATTGTATTAGGTATGAAATTATATCACTACGTGCCGTGGCCATTTAAGTAACAAGGTCAAATATTAAAATAGTTTTCACATTTCATACTAAGAGCCTGAGATAATAAATTCATATGTAAACTGAAAATATTTTCTTAACAACATTTTGTTTTATGCTGTATCCATTAGAGACAGTGGAAACATTTGCAACTTTCCAGAATTTTAAAATACTTTGAATATACTCGTGGTTTCAGTAGATTTTATTTATGATTGTATCTTGAGAAACATGACTTATTTGTGTCTAACCTGTCTGAAAACCAGGATGGTATCCTATAAAGCTTAGTTTACTGGAAATTCTACTACCTGGAAAATATTTTCATCTCTATAAAATTGGTTACTCAGATTTGATTGAAAAGGATACAGAATTTATTTCTGAATAGCCTACTAGATGGCCTATTATATCAAAGAAAGAAAGATCCCGTTCTTGCTACCCAGAAAATTATCTTCCAAATATCAAAATCTTATATTTGGCTTGAAACATTGGCATTATAAAAGGATTATTGCATTTCTCTAGAGGTTAGAGGAAATGATAAACTTCATGTGGACTTTTAGAAATGCTAAAAACTTAGATGTAAAAAGAAAACTTTGGGATACTATGTCTATGTTTCACTCTTTTTATTTCTAAACAAAGAAGAATATCTATGTACTCTGGATGTGAAATATACCTGGATACACATTAGGAGTCTTTCCTGACTCTGGAAGGTATCTCTGCTTTGTGGGTTAGCCAGACATGTTTTTAAGCATATTCATTCATTTTGTTTTCCTATTTCTTTTTAGATGCATGTGCATGCAATTTGAAAGTAGATATCTCTTTTAGATAGGGTTAAGTAGATTAGTGTATAAGAGGAAAGCATTTAAACGGTTAGTGATCTTTTAGGAAATATTGAGCCAATTAAATGATTATATTAGTACTTTCAATCCAGTAATTTAACAATTCATATATCCTTATGTCTACAAAAGCAAATATATTCTGATCTAAAGGGCAAAAGGAGGATGAATGTGTTACCTTGATTGCAGTGGTGATATGTATGCATTTGAAACACCTTTATCTCACATTTACCAAAATATATTACTCTTGTGCCCTACTCTATATAGGAAACCTTAGAGTAATATTTTTAAAACTTCAGGCTATTTTAAGTAAAAGATCAAATAAAACTCTAATTACCGTTTAACAATTTTTCCCAATCTGAAATAAATTATTACTAAACCAAAAAAGGTATTTTGAGTCAGTTGAGAAACAATAATGAAAGCGCATCAGGAAGTTGATTATTATTTTTATGTTTTCAAAATGGCTTCTGTTTCTCTAAAGTTTACAGTTTCAAATAATATGAATAAAGTGATTATACAAATACCCATGATTTCTTCTATTTTAGCAAAAGAAAAAAAAAGCCCTGTCATATAATATAAATGACAAAATATTTTTCATTGTGTTATAGGTATGATAGGAAATAAAGCATTTACTGATATTTTGCTGGATTTGGTGACCCTGAACCTTGGAACCAACACCTTTCCTAGTAGTTGGATGCACCTTACCCTACCTGAAGTAAGCTTTCATTTTGTTTGGGTTTTAAAGATTTGAACACTCTTCTAATGTGATCAATGGGTCAATAGTTCTAAAATAACCAGTACTTGCATAGTGTCTGACATGTAGTAGGCAATCCGTGAAATTTGAGTGAATAAAAAAATGACTGAACTTCAAATTCAGACACATATGCACATGCTCAGTATTCTAAGAATGAATGATAATCTAACAGTCAATGAAACATTATAGAGACAGTGAGGCTCAGCCATGAGTTTGTATCCATAACTACCAGATGGAATGATCCTAACTAGTATTAGTAGGTGATTCTGGCAGTTCTTGCTTTTCATCATAATCTTTTTCTTAAGAATGTATCAGAAAACAAGGTGGTTAAGGATCATTTCTCCATGGGTTGTAGAGCCCCTGCAAGGACACAGCTATTAATATAATCTTTATCCCTCCTTTGTGGAAAAGGTACAAGATTAACTGGAGTCATATGAGTAAACTGATTGTGTAACAGTAAGCAAAAAGCATGCATGTCAAAGAAGCAAAAAAATGAAACACTTTCTAGGTACTATCTGACATGGATTGGTTAGAGGAACAAAGGGCACAAAAGGGAACAAAAGTCAGAACTGGTTCTATTTCCCAATATAAAATTCTACTTCTTTCATCTGAACCTCTTACTATGAAAACCTAAGCAAGCAGAGCTTCAAGATAGTGTCGTACAAATATTCCAGTACTATTTTCTCTTTTCTTCTAGTTACAGGAATTAACATCTCTATTAACAGTAAACTCCGAGTTTGTTGACTGGCGGAAATTCCTGTTAGTAGCTGCAATGCCTTGGCCCATCCCGCTGGAGGAGGAGCTCCTTGAGATACTGCACAGGTTCAAGGCTGTGGATGAGGAGCAGAAGGGCACCATCACTTTTGAGCAGTATATACAGGTTGTTACCAGCACCTGGGGCAGTAATAGCATCAGAACACTGTTGCTTTAAGAAGTGAATTACTTGCTGATGCTACATTGCCAGGTTTCAGGCCAGTGTTTTGCACCTCAGCACCTCAGAGGCCCATGTCTGGGCACCCAGAGGCAGCAAAGGCAGTGTCAAAGCTCCAGGCTGAAATCTGGCTTCTATCTCTAGGGAAAAGATTTGGAAAAGTCAGAGCTTCCAGGAGAACTAATGGCTCTGAAAGAAGTCACATGAACTTCATTGTTCTGAGTTCCTAACCAATAGTTCTTTTCTTTGGCTGTACATTAAGAATCATTTGTAAAGCTTTCAATAAGCCCAATACCTAATTCCCCAGGAGTGGCAAGAACAGTGATAAATAACACAGGAAAAAAGAGCAGGCTTTGTCTTCAGGGTGAGAGGCTGGTGAATGATGAGATTGTTTTTGACAAGCTGGGTTTGAAATGTCTGTGGTAGTACAGATAGAAATGTCCAATCTGATATGGCAGATACAGAAGGAAGTGCAAGTCACTATAATATGGCAGTTCCTGAATTTATGAATGAAGATCATCCAAGAAAAGTGATGGATAATCCAGTAACCATAATACCTGGCCATTGAACTTGGCAGGTAGGATGTAACTAGTGACCTCTGCCAGAGAAATTTTGGTGAAATAGTAAATACAGAAGCCAGATTGCAGAGGGTTGAGGAAATGAAAAGGTCTTTAGGAAGTGAAGACAAGAAAAGCCAACTCATTTCTGAGAAGTTTGAGTAAGAAAGGAGTGAGAATAAAAATCCATAACTGAGAGGAACCTGAATTACTTATTTTGTTTCTCCTAATTGAAGTCATCCTACTGCTCACCATTTCCCTTTGCTGGTAGACACAAAAGAAGGAAATGTTCGTAAGGAGTGAAATTTGAAACAGGATGATACTCTATAAGTGCCTATATCTCACATATATTTCATCACTAAAAGATCTCTTTCCCTCCTGCTTTTCTTTTCTTCCTTAATTAATGGATGCCATGCTTTTTATTTATTTATTTATTTAAGATAGCCCTGAAGTTCCCACCCTGATACAGTTGAGCCAGAGGAAATAACACTTGAATAATGATGAGGCTCTTTCAGGGCTGATCAAGACAGGTGTTTGGCCAATTGAGCTCTGATATATTTATTTCCCAAGTAGAGCAATTTATAAATGCTGTCATTGTCCTGGATTTATAATTTGTTAAGGTTGTTTTGTTTGAAAACAATATCAGCAGACCAAAACGTACTATATTTCCATAGATAACTTGAGATTTTAAAAGATGGGCACTTATGAAATTACTTACCTTCATTATTTACTGTATGTGGCAATTAACACAGGATATCATTTGAACATCCTTTTACACAAACATGAGAAGAACAAAGGGTGTTGGCAATATTTACCAAAGTGCTGAGCCAAAACCAGAAAGTTCCTTTACCAAGGTGTGAATTTCTTAGAGAAAGTGGATGCTGCATTGAATATAAACTCAGAAATACTTATTTGAACCCTGCCATGCCTTGGGAACAGTTATTGCTAAGCTCTGCCCTCTCCCTTTGCCTGCTTAGCTCCCACTCCTCCAAAGCCCCAGGACACTGAGGCCATTTGGAGAGGCCTCTTGAACATCCTGCCTGCCTTGTACAGATTTCCAACACTTGCCAGCTTCCCACCCCCCCTCCCCCAAAATGTTGTTTCATGGGGAAAATGAAAATAGCTTTGAGGGCAAAATTTTATAAGATTTGTTGAAAATGCCACATTAGAACAGTAAGATAGCATAACTGTCTTGCTGAAATGAAATTCTCTGGGAGAAAAGGGCTGTCTCAAAAAGACAAAAAGGGCTTTTTGTCTGTTTTTCTTTTTATTTCGATTAATTGCAAGTTCACCACAACAGCCACTTAAAAGTGAGCTGATTCTTCCAGCTTCTAAAATGGAAAAATATACAGTATTTGTGAATTCAGTTGGGCCGTGTATCTTGACTAAGCAATGACAGCATAAAAGCCTATTTGCCCTTTGCTCCCGGCTGGGCTGCAGCTGTCTCTGTCATGTGTGGATGTGTAGTCACACTCATGTAGAAGTCTTTGATGTTGAAGTATTGACTCATCTTCTATCAGTGAGAATGCATGTTATTATAAGCTTAATGAGTCAGATGTTCTAGGATCTAAACAACACAGTACATATTCTCTTTAGTAAAAAACCTAAAATTCTTTGGCCATGTTTTAGCAAAAGTACAAGGATGATTTCCATATTTTAGAGAGAAATCACTTAATAGTCTAGTGAGGCAGGATGTGGTTGGGTAAACCTTGCTTATCAATTTAAACTCCTTAATATATACATTCACATTTAATAATCAAGTTACTAGAATTCTTATAGTTGATATTTTAGAAAACAATATTTTTTCTTTCTAATTTTCCCCTTTTATATGCAAAAACACTTTGAAATTGTTTTCTAATTAATAAAATATCATATATTTTAGAAAACCACTAAAAAGAATCCTTGGTTTTAAAGATCATGGAAAATCTTGTGCATTGTAGTGATTGGACATAGGATTGATAGTTGATTGAGAAATGGGGAAGAAGAAGGGATCTTTGTTTCTTTTCTTCTTCTTCTAGCTCTTTTAATATTTTCTCTTAATCACTGGTTTCAGCAACTTGATTATTGTGTTCCTCACTGGTTTTTTTCATGTTTCCTCTATTTGGGGTTTGTTGAGCTTTTTGAAACTTTGGGCTTATAGTTTTTTTCAAATTCAGAACATTTTCAGGATTGTCTCTTCACATATTTTTTCTGTATCCCCCTTCTAAAAATCGAATTACATGTTTGTTTATTAGTATTGTCCCACAGGTCACCAATTCTTTGTTTATTTTTTTACTGTCTTTTTTTCCTCTATGATGTATTTTGCATTCATTTCTATTGCTTTGTCTTCAAGTTCACTGATGTTTTCTTCTGTAGAGTTGAGTCTGTGGTTAATACTATCCAGTTAATTTTTTCATTTCAAATGTATTTTTTATCCCTAGACATTTAAGTTGGGTTTCTATTATATATTTCATTTCTCTCCTCATTTTGTGCATGTTTTTCTTTATTTCCTTGAACAACTGAAATATATTTAGAATAGCTGTTTAACATCCTTGTCTATTCATTTTATCATCTGTCTTATTTCTGTATTGTTGTTCTTCTGGCTATAGGTCATATTTTCTGTCTTTTTTGCATGCCTAGTAATTTCATATTGGATGACATATGATGCGAATTTTATATTATTGAGTGCCCAGTTTTGTTGTGTCCTTTTAAATATTGTCAGACACACAGTGATGTTACTTGAAATCAGTTTTATCCTTTCAAAGTTACATCACGGCTAATCTGGCTTCATTACTAACTAAAGTAATATCCTTCTGGGGGCTCTCTACCTAATGTCCTGTGTATTCGGATGTCCTTCCACTCTGGGTGGTGGTAACACAAACTAATCCAAGCTCTGTGTGAATCTCAGGAGTTGCTGACCTTACTACTTTCCAGTGGCTCTTTCTTCAACTTCTGGTATTTTCCACATACACATCCACAGATTGGCTCTCAGTCAAGACTTGAGGAGACCCTCCTCTTCACAGCTCCAGAGCTCTTTTGCTGTCTGTTTGCAACTTTAGTACCCTGCCCTGCAAATTCTAGCCGCCATGGACTCCCTCAACTACAAAATTTGACTTCTTAAATCAGCAGTACCACCAGGCTCTACTCGGAAGCCCCTCCTAGCCATGCAGGCTGAAAAGGTCCTCCTGGCTGGAATACTAGTACGTCCTCTCATTTACTTTCCTTCTTTCAAGAATGACTGTCCTGTGTTGCCTGTTGTCTAATGTCTGGAAAATCCTATTTAATATATGTTATCCATTTTTCTTATTGTTTAAGACAGTAGGATAATTCTGCTGTTTATTACTCCATCATGCTCAAAAGCATCAATCTACCTTGTTCCTCATGTCTCTATTCTCGTATAGGTGGTCCTTACCCTCCACAGATGAGCCTTCAGGCAAGATTTCTTCCTGGCTAGTGCAGAAGTCACTTATGTTTCAAGCTTGTACCATGCTAGGCATTAAGCTTCTTCTGGTTCTTCTCCTTCACAGGCTTCCACATAACCAGCATTTCTTTTATTCCAAATTAAAAGAAAACCCAATCCTCACCTCTAGGGGCTGCACACCCTTACAAACTATCCAATGTCATTCCAGGCATCTCTTGAAGCACATGTGATTCTTGGAAGGAAGGAAGACAGAGAGCATAGGACAGAGTCAGGTTAGTCACTGCCAATGGCTCTTGGCAGTAGGCAGTGCTGAGGATAGATTGTCACTCTTAAAAATGGTAAGGCAGCAAGACCTAGGAACAAAATAATTATGTAAATGAAGAGTTTACTCTGTATATAAGTTAAGATTATCAAGATACATTCTTTAAACCCAAGGATTTTATACTTGATGTTTAACAGCAAACACGACTGACAACACCCAAAGGAATTAACTAAATGCCAAATATTTGGAATAAACAAGTAAAATTGGAGTTCAGAAGAGAGATCAAGGAAAGCCTCCCTGGGGAGGTATGATTTGAGCCAGATCTGGAAAGATGTGTAGGTTTATCTGGGTGGAAAGGAGGATAGAAGTCATCTAAAGTAGCAGGAATGATGTGATTAAATGAGTGCGAATAGAAAATGGTTCTGAGCAGAGAATATTATATAACAACATTAAAATTATGAGGAAAATGCATATGGTTGCATAGTAAAAGCTGAAGCAAATAAGAGAAACATTGGAAACAAAAAAAGCTTGAGGTTACTGGAGTGGTCTGTGACAGAGGAAATGAGGCTCTACACGAGGGTGGAAGCAGAGGGAATGGAAGGAAGGGAGAGACAGGAGAGGCATTGCAAAACGGGAGCTGCCAAATCCAAAAGGATTTGGTGATTTGTGTTAGGTATGGACTGAGAGAGGGGGATGTCATATAAAAGAGGCCAGTCATTTAGTAACTCAGCAAAAGATTTTTCTAACACCAACAACATATCCCAGCACTAAGAAATTTCCAAGAATAGATAGGATATGAATAGGACATGAGGAATGGGAGCTATTGTTATGGGAGCACAGACCCTTCCAAAATACTGCTAATGCAAGCTTGATCTAGAGTAATGACCTCCAAGCTTCATCATACACCCCAATAGTTAAAATACAGCTGGCATCTCTAATATGTGGACTTGTATTTATAAATTATATACTGTACTATGGCACTAATACATTACATACATTATCAAATATGTAAAAATAAAAATTAAAAAAGAATGAGATAAAGAGTAATGTAAATGGAAGTTCTAGTATTTCTTTCTTACACCCCCATGGTGTCTGCACCCTACTTTGGAAACCACTGCTGTAGAAACTGGAACAGGATCGGTTCAGTCTCTGTTGTTTTTAGAGGAATGATCACATCTCTGCATAATACATACTTTAATGATTTTTGTTTTTATTTTTTTGTGTAGGCTGGCCTGTGGTTCACAGGAGATGAAGATATAAAAATTCCAGAAAATCCTCTTGAACCCTTGCCATTTAATAGACAGGAGCATCTCATAGAGGTAATGAACGAAATCTTTAAAAAAAAAAATAGCATTATAGCACTGGTCATTTTCTTTGTGTTAACTTCTATTTATAGAATTTTCTTTGGACTTTATCTCTGCCTCTCAGTTCCTTTTTTGTATCTTAAAGTGCAGACTTTAATGTTCACTAAGGAGACAGTGTGCAGAAGCCCTGAAGAGGAAGCAGGGACTGAAATCTTGACAGAGCCCTACTATTAATTCTCTGTGTGACCTTAGACAATTCCCATGGCCTCTTGCAATTCACTTTTCTCATCTCTCAGAGAAGCTACGTTGTTACTCAACACATTTGTTTCTAAATACCCTTCCAATTCTAAAAGCTTAGGGTATGATTCTATCATTTTACCAATATATGTTTTTGACTATTTCTCTTTGATGTTGACTAACACAGCAAGGGTTTGAATATAGCACTGCCCAGGGCTCGTCAGAGCTCACTGCTTTCAATATCATTACTGATAGCATTTTAATTAGCCTTATCCCCGAGGCCACATTGTAAAACAGGATCTTAAAATCTGAAAGATACTCTGACTTTAGTGTAAATGTTTAAGATATAAAAATAGGCCTAACACAGCCACATTCAGTAAGATATGAGGAAAAGTGAACCATAGATTTAGACTTCATAGCAAACTCTATATATAATATGTTGATTGTTCAATTTCTAACCAGCCAGTAGTTCACAATCACAGTACAAAATTGAACATGATTCCAATAATAACCTTCAATTGAGCACTTTCCTTCAATTGGGTAATATTTTTTGAGCACCTCTGCTAGATACTAACAGAAGAGAAGGTAAGAGGAAGGGGTCAGGGTGTTACCTAAAAAGTCCAAGGTATGAAGTTGCCAGTTGTTCTCCTTATTTCTAACATGCGACTGGAGTACTGAGATTGATTATCCTATAAAGCTTTTGAACAGTCTCTCTATGATTTTGTGAACAAATAGTCATTAACATAAACGTGTTCTTCAAGACTTGGGGAGAAACTGGTAGTTTGAATATCATGTCAAGTGAAAAGTACTTTCATTTTCAGCCAGAAGTTTTTAAAAATCTCAATTGAGGGCAGAGACTTTTAGCTATTCACTTGGCAGCAAAATAGGAAAGAACCTTTTGGTAAAAAGGACAGATGTGGCTCCCACTTTCTGCTGGGAAATTATAGGGAGAAAAGGGACAAAGTTGGGGACAGAGGCAGGACTGTGGACCCTGAGCAAAAAGTGCTCTTATGGAGCAAAAGATGGCTGGTAGGGGTGCGTGGGCACACGTGTGTATGTGTGAGCGCACGTGTGTGATGTCCATAGGACAGAGAAAGCGAAAGGAGTGGTGTTTTTCATCCTCCTCCAAGTGCCTCAAGGACTTGGTGCCCAGTGTTACAAAAATCTTAATGTTCTTAAACTGGGGGAAAAAAGCACACATTCCACTGTGTACAAGCTGTGAGGTCTCCATGGCATGATCCAGCCTCTCTGTGCCTTGAAATTTTTATCCCTTTCTGGTGGAGCTGTTTGTGCAGAGTGAATTCATATGTGTGGTTCTCTTACAACAGTGATTGGTGTATAGTGAGCCCTACATGTTAGTTACACAGAAGCTGACTGTGGTAACTATGCATGGTTAAACAGTGGTTAATGTCTAATATGCTAAAGAAAGAAGGGCAAGGAGAAAACATAAAGCAACAAAAGATGTTTACTTTTCTGGCTGGTATTAGAACAGGAAAGACCAAATCAGGGGGAAAATGTCCCCATTAAGAAGGAACTCTGGGGGCCAGGAACCCTGGGCTCTGTTCCCAGTTCTGTCACAATTCATTGTGGAAACTTGGACAGGTCTCTTCACTTCCCAGGGCCTTTGTGTCCTCTTATAAATAGGGCTAGGGCTGCAATTTAGGGTTGCTCTCAGCTCCCCTGCTTTGTCATCTATGCCCCCGTGACCCAGGGCCTTCCCCTGCACCATGTCCTGCAGGGTTCCTGGAGACAGGCCATTACTACTGACCTTGGACTTGGGTGACCTCAGAGACCCAAGAACTGGATAAAAGGTCCAGCTGCACCCACATAAGGATGCCTGAGGCATCTCATGTTGCAATCCTATGGTTTGCTGACAACGACAGTGCACTTCCTTGTGACTGGCAAGGCCCAGCAGGCTGGGCCCTGGTTTCCCTGCTCCTCACACCCACAGCACCCAGTATTCGAGAGTCCTCAGGGTTCTTCTGAGAAAAAGTGCTGTAATTTTATCATATTTAAACCCACAAGTGTTGTCTTAAACTCTCTCCACAGCTGCTGTCCGTGTGACAGCATATGATGTCTTTCCATTCCCTCAGATTGGATAGTATTTGTTGAAGCCAGGATCTGGGTTTAAATATCAGCTACTTGCTAATAAATCCCAAATGTCTATTTCCACTGCAGACCTGTCTTTCAAACTTTAGACTCCTAGATGCAACTGCTGATTTGACAACTCCACTTGAATACTCCAGCAGACATCTCAAACTCAGCATGTCCACACTGGGTACCTAATCTCTGGTCCCCACCACTCCACCCCTACCATGGTCACTTAAAGTTATCTCCATCTCAGTCAATGACAACTCTGTCCTAGCTGCTCAGGTCAGAACCCTGGGAGCCAACCTCAATTCCTCTCTTCTCTCAAACCCTTCATCCAATCAGGAAATGCTGATAGTTCTACCTTCAAAATACACATATCCAGAATCAGACCACTTCTTCCTAGCCCCATTGCTGTCATCTGGATCAAACACAATCAACTTCACCTGGGTGGCTGCACCAGTCACCCTGATAGGTCACCCCGTCTCTCCCTTATCTTGCCCAGGTTGCAAAGCAGATCACAGCAGCCTCTTCTAAAAACTTCTCATGGCTCTGGAAAAGCCAAGGTCCTTATGTGGCCAACCAGGCCTTGCATGTTTTGACCCTATCACCTCTCTCATTTCACCTCCTGCTGTTCTCCCTCTTGCCCACTCATTGTTGATCAAACACACAGGGTCTGCTCTCACCTCGGGACATTGGCCTCAGTAGCTCCCTTCACCTGTCCTGCTGTCACCCTGGAAGCCTCCCTGGCTAGCTCTCTGCCCACCTCTTTGTTCAGATTTCACCTCAGTCCTGCCACCTTTTCCCTCCCCACTCTTCACTCACAAGTCCCCTTTCCTTGACCTACTTCTTTCTGTGTTTCCATAATCACTATATCATTTACTTGATTGATTTTATTTGTTCTTTATTGTCTGCCTTCCCCTTTGAGAAAGAAAGCTTCTCAAGAACAGGGATCTCTATCTTATTAGCAATTGTATTTTAAACCAAAAAAAAAAAAAAGAAAAAAAAAAGCCCATGTATAGTACATTAGGTGCTCAATAAGTACTAGATGAATGAACAAAACAATAGCATTGTGTTTGTTTTTGATGCTGTGTAACAATCAGCACATCTTTAGTGACTTAAACCAATACCCATTGATTATCTCACACTTCTGCAAGTCAGAAGTGCAGGAATTGCTTAGTTGGGTTCTTTGCTGAGGGTCTTACAGCTGGGGTTGCAATCTCAGCTTAAGATGATTCCAGGATTGGATCCAAGATTGGCTTCCAAGATGGGTTGTTGACAGAATTCAGATCTGTGCAGTTGCAGGATTGAGACCTTCAGCTACTAGAGGCTACCAGTTATTCCCTGACACATGCCATCTCCAGAACATGACAGTTTGCTTCTTCATGGCCAGGAGAAGAGCACCTCTTTGGCTTTAAATATGTCCCTTAAAGCCTGGGTGGTCCTTCTTTAAAAGGACTCATCTGATTAGGTCAGGGCCAAACTCAGGCTTCCTTTGTATCAATTCAAAATCAACTGATTAAGGACCTTGATTACCTCAGAAGATCCCTTTATCTTTGCCATAGAAGATCACCCACTCAAGGGAATGAGTTTCCCATCATATTTACAAGTCCTGCCCACACTTAAGAGCAAGGAATCATAAAAGGTATATATTCTAAGAGGTGAAAAACTTTGAGGCCTTCTTGGAATTCTTCCTACCACAATATTTTAAATGATATTCAGAATATAACAACCATTACCTTTTCTGAATGCTGAATCCATTGATTTAAAATCAAGCCTGTTTAATTACAGAAAGAGTCCATCTATCAACTTATTTTTTTTTGCATACCTTCTTTTAATATATATTATTCAGTCTCTTTGTTAGTGGAAATAATGATGATTTTTACCTACATATCATTTATAAGAGCAACTCAATGGAAATAATACTAACGGAAAGCTCTTCATGCCTAAGAAATGGAAACTAAGCACCCAGGAACAATGCTATGGTTGTAGAGTAATCAGTCCCACTTCTCCTTCTGGTCTTACTGGCAGTCCCTGAAATAACTCAAAGGCAGGTGGAAAGAAGAAAATACAATAGCCTGAAGGAACCTGCCAGCTGGATCATGACTTCTAAAAAAATCAAGGGATACGTTATTGTCAAAGAGTTTTCTTAAATGTCTCAGCCTGACTCTGTGCCTGGCTTATTGCAGACACTCGGTAAATGTTTGCCGAAAGGGTGGCTGAATAAAAGAACTTGTAGATCCCACTGACCTCTAAAATTCTTTTCTGCTTTGTAACATAACAGATTTTACACATTTTCCTATCAAAGTTATTTTTATTTAAATTTTTATTGGATTTGTCAAATATCAGAAATTATTTTTCCAACTGTTACCTTCACGTATGCCTAATTTGTTCACAGTTGTAAGGGAGGTTAGCAACAAAGAATAACATGGTGGAAATATCCTCTGGATCTAGAAATTTGATTCTCAAAGTGTGGACCAGAACCAGCACATCAGGAGCTTGCCAGACATGCAGAGCCTGAAATAGCTCTAGAAACATCTACTTAATCAGAATCTACATTTTAAAAATATTTTGCAGGTCATCAAGAACACACTTAAGAAGAGCTGGTCAAGGAAGTTAGCAGGCTCCCCAAACCAGGCTATATAGGTGTTTCAGTGTGACCAGTGTGTCCCAGGGTTTGGTCCTTGCCTTTGCAGGGCCTCAGAGGATATTAGGCTCCCAGGCACTAAGTCCTCGCGCTGCCACATGCACAAGACACCGCGTGAATGTCAGCTCAGACATTCAGAATGAGAGAATTGCCAAACAAACTGATACTTGGTGGTTAGCACACTCTCTCCCCAGATGTGAATCCACATTGTAAGAAGTCACTTAGGGTCAGGAGGTTGAGTAGAAGTAACCTGGTTCAGCGCCAGTGAACCAGTTTACAGGTGATAATGGCTAGAATTCCAGGGCTTTGGGCATTGCTCCCTTTGCTTCCTTCCACTGCCCACAGAGTGGGATGGACCAGAAGTCTCATACTTAGGGTCGGGGCTCAGTTTGTCTGGATGATGCTGAGGACACACATGTGCTCTTATGGCTCCCTTTTCCTACTTGCTGCTTAGTCCCCACTACCTTTAATTAGTCCATTATTTCCTGAATATATTAACACCATTGATTAGCATTCAATTTATTTTACATTAGAATTTAGAGCCTTACATTTTCTGCTTCTTTACTTAGTTTCCTCTTCAGTTAATACCATTCATTACCTGGTACTTTACTAATTCAGTCCTCAGAAGACCACCTTATTCCAAAGCTCCTGGAGGAATTGTCATGTCTACCTACTGACTACCTGAGTGTACCCGTTTTCTCTTTGGTTGACATTCTTTTTGTGTGACAGTTTTTCTTTAGGATATTTGCCAACTATGAGAAGAATCCACCCCAGCTTGACTACACAGAGATGCTGCTTTATTTCGCTTGCCACCCAGACAGTGTGGAAGGGGTCTACAGGGCCCTCAGTGTGGCCATTGGGAGTCACGTCTTCCGAGAAGTTGAAATTTCTATTCCGATTGCAGAAAAGGTAATCACATTCCAGAAAGGGACTAAATTTCTGTTCCGATTGCAGAAAAGGTAATCACATTCCAGAAAGGGACTAACTTTGGGGTCTGGAGGGGGATGCTTGAAGATCCTAAACTCTTGACAATAGGGACTCTGTTCTTTTCATCTCCCATTTCCCCAGGTGCCTACCACAATGCTTTATTCATACCAGGTCTTCAACAAAGCCTTACTGAATTGAATTAAGAACCAGGGTACCAATTTCCATTGAACACTTTTGTAGTAAAATCAAAATTTGTTCCAGAATTTTTGGTAGAATCAAACTTTGCTCTGTAAAGGACAGCCTGGATCTTGCATGAAGTGCTGATCCTGATAAATGTAACAGAAGTGGATAGGAACCCAGTCTGTTTGTCATTGTGTGTGGAATTTGGATGCATCTCCATATATGTGACCCTTGATAGTGTCTCAAGCCAAAGCCCAGCCTTCTGAAATCCACAGGCACTTTGTATTACCTATATCCAAAGACTAAGAAGTTTATTATATAATCAAGATGCCACCTTATATTCCCCTTGAGGTTTCTGAGGTGTTGGCATTCCCAGGCTTTTTGGAGTGGAATAGTCTGTGGCAGGGTGCTAGCTAATGTACCTCTGGGATGCCCTTTGCATGGCTTTTGATTCTGTTTTGGGGGCAGAGCTGTGGCCCTCTCCCTGGTGGGAGGCTTGTTTCTGTTCTCTCCTTGTGGACACAGATGAGAAGGGCAGCTGCTCAGTCCAGACTCCTCAGATATCCCTATCATGCATCCATCCCTTTACACTTTTGTCAAAATAGAAGTAAGTTTGAAAAACATGAGAGCTTGTTGTGATAGCATTCAGGGGAGGGACAAGAGATACTCTCTTAGACACAATCCTAAAATTTGGGCCTGGACACGTGGAGAGGACAATCTCCTTCCTTTTCTACCAGGGCCAGGGCAAGGCCAGAGAGATGCCTAGTAAGCTAACAACATGAGGCTCTTCAAACCTGTGTGGTGTACATACTGGTTCAATACTTACACAGTGGCAGAAAGTTTAGTAAACAGTGTCTATTTCCATTCAAGAATGCTATCTTCTTTGATAATAGGATAGTTTAAAATTTCCCAGATAACTAAGGAATTAGGTATGGTCTGCATTCATAGGAACTGCATTTGCCACTTTCCCAGGGATGTCCCTGTGACCCTGTGCAGACTGGGGCTCCTTGACATAACTCTGGATCCATTATCTGAGCCAGTATCATAGCCTGCTGTGAGGCCTCATCAAATGTCTGTCCACAGGGAAACGTTCCCTGACCTCAAATGATGTCAGACCCCTGCTAAATGTTCCCACAGTGCACTGTTATTCCTTTACATGATATTTTCCATGCAGCAATGACTTCCTAAAGGTCTGCTTCCTCCCTGGACTCTAAGCACCCTGGGGAGGGGATATTTTATGGGGGGAGGCATCTGTCTTGTTCTGTATCTCTGAACTTACTCAAGGCCTGTCACAGAGCCCAGTAAACATTGCATTGAGCAGATTGATAAATTAAGATATTAGCTTTGTAAATAATGCTCCTTGCATAGTTCTACGATCTGTGCGGGATATAGAAGAAGCCAAATTTGCTCTCTTCTCTGGGGCCTCTGCCTAATTGCCCCCATCCATGTAGAAAAGAATGTGATGTTCCAAATAGTCAGGGAACACAGAATAAAAGACCCATTAACATGGAGCCTTGGCAACCAGACATGGTGTTTCTGCTTTCTTCTTTCCCACCTCCCTGCTTCCGCTCTTGCTATTCTCTCCACCTGGAGTACCCTTCATCTCATCTCCAAGGGTCTGTGGCCTCCTCATTATCCATGGCCTACAGCAACTGCCAGATCATTCATGAAGCTTCCCCTGACGACACTGAGCGTTCTTAGCTGGGCCCCAGTTATTTTCAGAACTTCTCTGGCTGGGCAAAGCACCCTCACGTGCACATATTCATTATTTCCACAAACATTTATTTAGCGTCTGTGTGTGCTGGGGACCACTCTTGACTTGAAGGTACAGCAGTGAACAAAAAGCATTCCAGGCAGGTGAAGACAGGCAACAAACCAATCAGCAAAATATAGACTACATCAAATGGAGATAGATGCTGTGGAGAAAAGGATTCAGGGAAAAGTACAAGAGTCGAGGTGGGAGTTGCAATGTTAAATAGGGTGGCCAGAGAAGGTCTCTCTGTGATGAGACAGGTAAACAGAGGCCTGGAGAAAGTGAGGGAGAGAGCAGATCTCTGGGGCATGAGCATTTGCAGCGAGGCCACCAGTGAATGCAAAAACCCTAAATTGGGGCCATGCCTGGTATGTTCCCAGAACCGGGCTAGCCAGTGCACGTGGAGAGGACTGAGCTGGAGGACAGCAGTAAGGAAGGGGCTCTGAGAGCCACCGTGGTGACCTGAGCTTTAACTCTGCACAAGATGAGAAGTCATTGGAAGAGTGCCGTTTCGTTTCCTGCCTTAAATATGTCAGGGCCTCTCTGTGCTGTGTTGAAAACTGACTGTAGGGGGCAAAGGAGGGAAGGAAGGAGACCTAGTTATTCAGGCAGGGGTCTGTTAATCTGTTGAATCCTACTGCTATATTATTCCTACCTTGAGTTTGGGACACATTATTACCCATCTTTATGTTCCTGGAAGTAGCTGCTATATTATAGCAAATGCTCAATTAATGTTTGTGAACATAGCAAGGATGCAGGGAGAAGGGGAGAGAGGGAGAGCGACAGGAGTGGAGTTCAGTCTCCATGGTAGAGAGGAGGAAGCAGACAGCCTGAGCAGGCATAGGCAGTAGCAGGGTCCAGGAGGCTGCAATGAGCAGGAAAGACCAGGAAAAAGGAAGCTTGTGCTGGAATGGTTGCCATAGCAACAGACAGCTGCCTCAGTGGCTGGCAGCCAGGCCAGCCAGCACAGGAAGCTGCTGCATCCCTTCTGTCCCTGAGCCCTTCATTCACCATATGCCAGTGTTCCCACCCGGGAAGCAGCTCCCCTTGAGTGCTGCTCTCAAGAGCTCTTTTAAAATCCAAGGACACTATGCAGGAACTAAACCAAGAACACTGCACAATAGAGACCAAACTGGTGGATGGAGGGTGAGGCCAGGGAAGGAGCAGAGGGCTCTCACACACGGGCCTGTTCTTGCCTTGGGGTGAACTCTAGGAGCTTTTGAAACACAGCAGCTACCTACCTCCCTCATTCTCACTCGCCCCTCATCCTCACCATCCTGTCTCCAATTATGCCACTCCATTTCTGTGCCCTTTCCAACTGTGTTCCAGTTTCCTGGGCAACCTCATCCCAGGAAGCCATAATGAGCCTACACAGAAATAACACCTCCAACAAATCCATGTTCACTCCCAAGACATTCAGTCATATCTCTGCTTTTGCGTTCTACATAAACAACTAGAAGTCCCCCTGGGATTTCATTCTTCCTTACTCTATTTCTGCTATTCACACTGATTGTGTTAGATGTGGCTCAGACCTTCTATTTAAAGCCACAGCTTTAAAAGAAGCTCAAGAGCAAGACATTCATCAGTAATGCACTAGTTCTAGTGGATCTTTAAATAAGTGACATTTGGGAAAACGGTTCATTCATTCTGCTGCCTGTGTGGCACGGGGTTATGATGTTGGAATACAGTAAATTGTGAGCTTGAATGTCCTACATTGTAAAAGCATCTTGGCAGGAGTGTTTGAAGCCCTGGAGTTCAAAACACATACATCTCTATTCCATTCTGCTCTTTGATGCTTTGCTCACATTAGTCCCAAGAACTGACCTCTGTTCTGCCTTCTACATTGTAGGACTGAGCTGACTAAATGACAGAAATGCATGGTCAGAACCATGCACAGGCACTGTTATGGGGACACATTTGTAGGAAGTCCTCCTCAAGGGCTACCTCTGAGAGTTAGCCAAGCAGGACATAGTGCTTGATGGTGCCACAATCTGGTCCCCTGCTTAGATGAAAATGTAACTCACATAGAGCTTTGATGCCATTAATAATTGCTCATTCAGAAGCACTGGCTTTTCTCCAAACTGGCCTCACTGGTTTTGTTCCTGCACCCACATTCTAAATTGCTGTCTTTCAGAGTTGCTGCTTGAGAAAACGGCATTCTCTTGCACGCCCTCTGTCCTCCTACAATGCTGAGCCAGCTTCTTTGGGCCAGTCTTGGCCCTTCTCCCTTCCCTCCCCTCCCACTGGGCCACAAAGCTTATTCTGTCCCAACCCCCTAGAGAGCAAAAACAGCAAAAATTTAAAAAGCATCCCCTGACATTAATAAGTTAAGGATCCTTCACTCTTAACATTTCACATGTTTAAATTGCTAACATTTAAATTTTTTAAAAAATCATCTATCCCATTATGCTTACATCAGGCCTTTGAAAATAAGTTCTTCCCTAATTATGGAAATAGTTACAGAGAGGCCAGATTCCTTCTCAGTTAATTTTGGTATCATCTGATTATCTAACCGGCTAGTCATTTGCTCGCCCACAGGTTCTCTCTATCGTAGGCACACAGCATTTATGCTCTACTCTGAATAGAAATTCATTCATCCTTCACTAACTCAGCAAGATGTTTTACATCCCAACTATGTTCATTTCACTACACTAAATGTTCTGTTGTCCTGAGAAATCATTGATGGGTAGCTAATGCAGTAATCCCTAAGATTTCTAGGTGGTAACACTAAAGCCAGTTTCACATTTCTGCCACATAGAATTTCCAATTGTTTAAAGTGAAGAATAGGCTGAAAAAAAATTATATATATGTATGTGTATTTATACTTAATTTTTAAATCTTTACCTTTTAGAGCATTCTCTCTCTCTCTCTTTTCTTCTCTCTTTCTTTTTTAAAGATTAGATTAAACTCCCAGTTTAGCAAAGGCTATAGAAACCCAGCTAAAGCAAGGTGAACACACAGACCTAGAACAAATGCAGCCTGCCTTCATTACTCAAAAATCCCTTACAGGAACATACGACTACAAGAGACTTAATCTTGTCTTGCCATAATCCTTTTATACACGGGACTTACATGATTATTTGAGAAAAACGTGCACAATCTATATACTTAACACTTCTACTAAATTGAATATTTATAGCATTGACACCCTCCTCAATTAGCATGTTTTTCTTCCTTGGGATAAAGGAGAGTCAGAATTGGAGTGTGCCCTGACATCTGGCCAGCCAACACTCCAAAATGCCCATTCCCGGTAGCAAACCATCAAATATTGATTACCTCATCATCAGAAACACACACACACACACACACACACACACACACACATGAATTTACTATAGAGAATGTAGAAAGTGCAAACTAAAGGGAGAGGAAACCACCTGTTCTACTACCAAGAGATCACCACTGTTAAATCAGTTTAAGGTATCTGTTTTCCTTATTTTTATTAATAAGTATAGATATATAAGAAAAGGAGGATACCATTATATTTATTACTTTGTTTTCTGTTTTATTTTTGTACTCACTCTGAGTGCTTTCTCATGTTATTAGGTATTCTTCTAAACCATGATTTTCACAGAAGTATAGTATTCTGTAACAGAATTATAATTTATGTCACAGTTCCCCTATTTTTGGTCATAGGGTCTTTTTTAAAATTTTTGATGTAACTCCAAATGAACACTCATATACAAAGATATTTGTGCTCATGCATATTTCTTCAGGATCAATTCCTAGATCTATAATTACTGGGCCAAAGGGTAGAAATATTTCTTAGGATTTTGGTACATAAGAAATTACTTCAGAAGCCATTTACTCTTTGCCATATTCAAAACATGAGCACCTCAGTTCATGGCTCTTGGCCAAGTTTCAAAGAGCGGCAATAAGAATTGCAGCCTGATTTTCTATACTTGATTTGTTTTCTCTTTTGCCTTCTTAGTGTTTAGTTGGGATATCCTCCAGTATCTAAAGACATGTTCCTGAAGCTCTTAAAATCTACCAAGCTTGAGAAATTAACTTGCTATAACCTCTCAACTGCAATTTCAAAAACAAATCCTGTTAAAAATCACATGTAAAAATCTGACACCAGTTACTCTAATTCATTCCAGTGTCCATTTATCAAGAAATGTAATGAACCTGGCAATGTAGTAGGCCCAAGTGTTGAGTATGGAGATGAATAGGACATACCCCACACTGTACACTACAAATCTCTGTACACTACAAGCAAAATCTGTAGGATTTTGAGGTGATTTCCAATGCAGCTAGCATATTCTCTTCTAAACTTTGTTTAGCTAGTTTGTGGTAGGCACTATCATTCCATTGCATGAAAAGTGTCTGATTATCAAATTGATGTATTCTGAATGTCTCTATTGCTGTAAAGACTTCAATCTGACTTGATGTTCTCTCATGTAATTTTGCAGACCTCCTCCTATACTGATATGAGTCCAGTTGAGGAATTTACTGAATTTGATGAACATGTTGCAAGAGAGGAAAGGGAATTAAAAGAGGAAAGAGAGGAAAGGGAACAAAAGAAAGAAGAAATCCCTGAAAATGCCAACAGTGAAAAGATTTCCCTGGAAACACTACTCAAAGTGTTCAGAGGAGGAAGTGAAGCACAGGATGTTAACAGATTTGGCAGCCTTCTAAAGCTAGAGAACATTTATGCAGAGGTTGGTTAGATTGCTTTGTAAAAGAGACAACCTGTACATCAGAAAAGTTGCCCTCAATTTTGAGCATATTTTCATGGAATTGCTCTTAAAATGTTTCGCTGTATAGAAATTATAGTAGAATCCTCTAGTAAGTAAAACCATTTTTTAACATCTGCAGGATTGTAAAGTTGATTAACTTCATTTTTTTCTTCTTTAAAGAGCTTCATAAAAACATTTCAGGACCTGGGTGCTAAGAACCTGGAGCCAATTGAAGTTGCTGTTCTCTTGAAGCATCCTTTTATTCAAGACTTGATTTCAAATTATTCAGACTATAAAATTCCTGTGAGTATTATCAAAAGGTGCTCTAATTCAGGTAAGCTCAGGTTCCAAGCATATTGTGACATTTCTAATGTGGACTATTAGGGAAGAGAAAGAAGGTGGGCTTGGCCAGGCCAGAATACAGTATGGAGAAACTAAGCTGGTAATCGCATCAGATCAGAAATGCCAGCCTGCAATACCCAAAGGGTGGGTACCAAGCTCAGGCACAGTGGAGGCAGGTCTCAGGACTATGGGACTACTTTGGATCTATAACAGAAGGCTTGGAGGTAGGTGGTAGTTAAAGCTGGGTGGGCGGCAGGTTTAGGATTTCAGATCATTCCAGCCATGTAATGACCCTAGCCTATGGTTAAAGAGTATGGAGAAGAGGATCCCTCCTGCTATAGAGGACTAACCAAGACCACGGTCTCCAACCAAGTGCTGACATATTCATTGTACTCTAATCATGGTATGTAGTGAAAATGATAGTGTATCCATAAGGTTGGCTGCCAGTTCCATCAGGAAAACAGTTTGTGAGTCAAAGAAACTGAAGACAAAAACCAGAGAGACTGGACCAACCTAGCAGAAGAAAGGAAGAACTGCAGCTCAGAGATCACACAACAGCCACGCTCACATACTAAATGTGCCTCCACCATGGCAAGTCCCAGGTCTTTAACGGCAAGGGCTAAGGAAGGCAGAGGCTGACACCAACCCCATTTCAGACTGTGGCAAGTTGCTACAATCCTCTCAGATGCCAGTTTAACAGCATGAAGTCTTCCTGGCTCCTGCCACCTGTTTATTGGACTACAAAGGATTTACTGAGTTTAAGATAAAAAGTACTTTGGTACTTCACTTTGGTTAAATGCAGGTGGTCTAAGATGCATTTCTCCTGACTTCCTCAGTGATAACAAATTACCTTTTATAGGCTTCTTTCTATGTCTGCAAATGAAACTATCTAGACTTAAATATCTTTCTTTGTGCCTAAATTTTTTTCTTCTAAATTGCTGATCCTTTCTTACGTAAATTCTAATACTTGTATTAGAATTAATTGAAATTGATTTCTAACAAGCTAGTAGCTATCAAGACACTAAGCCTATACAATCATGAAATATGATTATAGCATTCAAAAACACAGGCTCTGAAATCAGAAAGTCATGGGACTGAATCTCTAGTCCACCATTCACTAACTTCTCAACCTTAACTTTCTCCTAATCCTGGCTTTCTCACCTGTTAAACAGGATAACATTCATTCCTATTCAAAGGGTGATTGTGAGGATTAAGTTAATTCATGCATGTAAAACACTTGGCATGGTATATAATACATAGGAAGTGCTATAAAAATGATGGATATTATGACTACTATTCAAGAATGAGCACCTGCTACTAAGACCAGTAGTATAAGCTTCCATGGGAGAGAGAAAAATGAGTACCAAATTCGGCTGTTGCTCTTAAGCAAATTTCACTACTGATTGCATGATACTTTTCTCATGCAGGAATTATAAGAGAATGATATAACATACACCAACCAAGCACAAAATTATAGGAATTCAAAACTTGACATTTTTATAATATCTGAGAGCCTTTATTGAAAAAACTCCCCAATGTTTTTGAATCTCTTAGAATTTTGAATGTCTTAGAATGGGCCTATGAAACATTTTTACAAAATAGTAAGGTCATTAACAGCAACAACAATAAACTATAGGTTCAGAAACACAATTTATCAATCTAGATTTCAGTTTCTCAGAGCGATCCCCAAGAAATAGGTTTTGAAGGTCATGATATGCTCCAATGATGTCAGCCGTATGAGGTTACAGTCAGTCAGCTCAAACATCCCTCATTTCCCCTCATAACTTTGAATCGTGCTTTCACTCATGAACACATCTATTTCCTTGTGGAGAAAGAGTATTTCATCTCTACTACTTCTTGTTACAAATCTCTTATCTTTACTTCCTGCTGCATGATATATAAAATCACACCTTTTTTTAGTGATCCTAAAATTGGCTCTTCCAATTCCTTGAGAGTATTTAGTGAACAAATTCATATCGACTTTCCCCATCCTTTGAGATTTTACGACCCCCATTCTCATCCTGCCTCAGCCTTATAAAAGATGCTTTATGCATTTTCTCACTCCTTGTTCTGAGACCCGAATTTCCCCTAATTCATTTTAATTCCCCTTCTCTGGGTATGTTTTGTAACACTATTTTTTTTTCTTTTTTTATTTCAGAATATCACAGGGGTACAAATGCTTTGATTACGTAAATTGCCTTTGCACCGCCTGAGTCAGACATTTTTGTACTAGAAATGTGGAGGGAGTCTGCTTGAGAAGGAATAAGCCAGGTCTGGAAAGATGGCCAGGGTTTTGGAGAGTGGAGGGAGAGAAAAGGAAGTCTACATGGATTTTGCTATTGAGGTGGGGATGCGGCAGCAACCTCGGGGAAAGGGAAGCCTGGGCAGAGGTGCAGAAGCCAGGCTGCATGGAGAAAGTGGAAGCTTGACCCATTGATGAGCCATCTATGAAGGTGTAGTGTGATCCCTTTGATTTGGTAAGATCATGCCAGATTGCAAAGAACCCAGATGTCACACAGAGAAATTTGGATTACATTTGAAAACCAATAGAGAATGGATAGGCTTCTGAGCTTGGGTGTGATATGATATTAATTTCTTCCTCCCTAAGTTTTTTTTTTTTTTTTTTTTTTTGTCTCTTAGCCATATCATGTCTTTATGTCATCCTGCACTAGGTGGGTGCCATAGGCCCATTACTTTAGAGTGCATTTCAGCCTACATCCTTTGCCCCATGTGAAAGGGGTAGCCCTCTGATTTGAACCAGTAAAATAATCTGAAAAATCCCTTGGAATTATGTACAATAGGATTTATTTTATATTAATATTACCAAGAATAAATAGGGGCATAAAATAATACCCCAATTATTTCCTCCCATAATGGAAAGAAAACTCCCACAAAGTTAGGACAGTTTGGAAATATCTTCACTCTGACCACAGTGACTAAATATGATTAACTTGCAGAGAAGATTCTATTTGGCATTTTGCCTGAGAAAAGAAAGTAGCCAACAGATGACTGCCTTCAAGAGTCAGCCCCCTGAATAGGTGCTCTGACTCTCAGGGAAAGCTGGAATCCACAGGACTCCTTTTAAGTTATATATTTCCCTCATTGCCGAAGGAGTTTTATCAACTTGTAGTGCACCTCACCTAAGGTACTACTAGCAGTTTGGCTAATACAGTTACTCTTTGTGCAGGACTATTCCAAGTGTAGCAGGATACCTAACATTCTGGGCCCTACCCACTAAATTCCAGGAACACCTTTACACATTAACCACAAAACCACCTCTGCACAACCCCAAATCTTCCCTGATACACAGCAGCCCTCTGGCTGAGAGCCACCCAGGTGGAGGGTGTCTGTCTTCCAGTTAACCAGTCTTATAGAACCAGTAGCACCTGACACTTCCTGTAGCAGAGAGTTAGTTAGTTAGTTAATTTCCAGATGCTTCTTTAAGACATGCCTTAGTGATCTACTTTAATTCTTGCTGTCGTCGTCCCTCACATCTCCTCCCTGTAGCCTCACTGAGGAATCTAATGTGAGGACAGTAACCTACCACAACTGGGACTCATTTGTATGGTTGTAAGTCAAGAAGAGTTATGCCTGTGACATGAAAAGCGTAAAGTCTGATTTTTAAAATGAAAGAGGGTCCTTTTCCAGTAACATGCTCTGTTCTCTCTCTCTCTCTCTCTCTCTCTCTCTCTCTCTCTCTCTCTCTCTCCCCCCCCCTAACTAAAAAAAAGAAAAGAAAAGAAGGAAAGGAGACAGGGAGGGAGGGAAAAAAAATCCATGATGGCTTGGGAACCATTGCACTCATCCTATCATCATTTTTAATACATGTATAAGTAAATAGATCACGTTGTAAAAATAAACTTTAACCACAGTGATGTTATGTGAAGATCTTTCAAGATAAGTAGAGCAAAAACTGGAGTGTGGTTTTTCAAGTTAAAATGTTGTTTGCTATTATAAACAGTGGGAAGTGAAGGTTGTTGGCTAACAGCTCTGTTTACAAGGTTTGTGTTTAGAAGTAGCAACATTCTAAAATATGTATTTGAAAAAGCTGAGTATGCATAATTATGATGATTTATTTTAGTATTGTTCCTGTTATAAGGTAGACTGGCTGTGTGGTTATGAAAGTGGGCTCTAGAGCCACACTGATTAGGTGCACACCTATGAAGTGTGTGACCATAGGCAGGTAACCTCACAGTGTCTTGGTGTCCCTATTTATAAAATAGGGTTAATTATGATACCTACATTGTAGAGCTTTTGTACAGATTAAATGAGTAAATGCATACAACATGCTTATCTCAGTTCCTGGCAGATAGAAGCACTCAATAAATGTTATATGTTACTACTACTACTATTACTACTGCTACTACAACTGCTGGTCTGCAGTTGCAGTGCACAGAAACATTTCTGAGCCATGTGAAATTATATGTGGATGGACTAGTGAATTGGCATTTCATCTCTTCAATGCACATTGTCTTCTCTTTGGAAAGGAAGAAGACTTTCACTCACGCAATGCCACAATGATAAAGGGTCCAGACTGAAGTCCCAGGAAGCCCCCATGTGGAAGTTCCAAATTTTGTGATAGATTTTATAGTTATTCAGTTGAAGTCGCTTATTTAATTTTCATAGACCCTATACAAGGAAGTTATTTTCAAGTAATGTTCCTTAATTATTAAGAAACAAAATAGGCCTCTTGCTAGATTAATCAGAAACAGAAAAGAAAGGACACTCATAAACTCAATCACAAAGTAAAAAGATATTTTAACTGATACCACAGAAATACGAAATATCATTTCTGAATACTATAAAAATCTCTATGCACATAACCTTTAAAACATTGAGTAAATGGACAAATTCTTGGAAACACACAACCTCCCTTTGTACCAGACATACAAAGAAGAACTGGTACCTATACTGCAGAAATTATTTCATAACATACAGAAGGAAGGAATCATCCCTAACTTGTTCTATGAAGCCAATAATCACCTTGGTACCAAAGCCAGGAAAGGACACAACAAAAAAAGAAAACTACAGACCAATATCCCTTATGAATATAGATGCAAAAATTCTCAATAAAATCCTAGCAAACTTAATTCAGCTACAAATAAAAAAATAGTAATAACCCACAATGATCAAATGGGTTTCATCCCAGAGATGCAAAGTGATTCAACATACACAAATCTATATGTAATTCACTACATAAACAGATGCTAAAACAAAGACCATATGATCTTCTCAATAGACACACACAAAGCATTTGACAAAATTCAGCACACTTTTATGTTAAGAACTCTTAACAAAATAGGCATAGATGGAATATATCTTGATATTATAAAATATATATATAATATTATATATGAAGTTCATATATATTATAAAATTCAACAAACCCACAGCCAGCACCATACTGAATGGGGAAAAACCAAAAGTATTTCTGCTTAGAACTGGAACCAGACAAGATTGCCCACTGTCACCACTTCTATTCAACATAGTGCTGGAAGTCCTAGCCAGAGCAATCAGGCAGGAAAATGAAATTAAGTGTATCCAAATGGGGAAAGAAGAGGTCAAATTATAGCTCTTTGCTGATCATATGATCTTGTATCTATAAAACCCCAAACATTCTGCCAAGATATTCCTGGAATAGATAAATTCAGCAATGTCTCAGGTTAAAAAATTGATGTACACAAATCAGTAGGATTTCTATACACCAATAACAGTCAAACTGAGAATCAAATCAAAGACTCAATACCTTTCACAATAGCATCAAAGAAAATAAAATTCCTTAGGACTATATTTAACCAAGGACATGAAAGACCTCTACAGGGAGAACTATGAAACACTGAGGAAGGAAATCTCAGAGGCTATAAACAAATGCAGAAACATATGCTCATGGATCTGCAGAATCAACATTGTTAAAATGTCTATACTACCCAAAGTGATTTACAGATTCAATACAATCCCCATTAAAATACCAACGTCATTTTGTGGCAAATCTAGAAAAAATAATTATACTTTTCTTATTGAACCAGAAAAGACCCTGAATAGCCAAAGCAAGCTTAAGCAAAAAGAACATCAATAGGTATCACTTTACCTGACTTCAAGCTGTACTATAAGGCCACAGTAACCAAAACAACATGGTACTGGCACAAGAACAAAGACATAGATGAATGAATCAGATCAGATTCATTCATCTGATCATCAGATTCATTATATCACCCAGATATAAAACCATCCTCATATTGCCATCTGATCTTTGACAAAGCAGACAAAAACATACACTGGGGAAAGAATCCCTATTCAATAAATGGTGCTGGGAACATCAGATAGCCACATGTAGAAGACTGAAACAGGATTGACACTTCTCACCACTCACAAAAATCAATTCACAATGTATAGCAGACTTAAACCTAAGGCATGGAACTACAGGAATTCTAGAAGAAGCTGGAAAACTATAATAGACACCAGCCTAGGCAAAGAATATATGAAGGAGGCTCCAAAGGCAATCACAGCAACAATCAAAATAAATAAATGGGCCCTGATTAAATTAAAAAGCTCTGCACAGCCAAGGAAACAATCAATAGAATAAATAGACAATCTACAGAGTAGGAAAAAATATTTGCATGCTGTTCAACCAATAAGGGACAAATAACCAGATTCTACAAAGAACTCCAACAAATAAGCAAGAAAACATAAAACATCCCCTTTAAAAAATGGGCAAAAGACATGAACAGAAGCTTTTCAAAAGAAGATAGACTAACGGCTAATAACATGAAAAAATGCTCAACATCTCTAGTCATCAGGGAAATGCAAATCAAAACCACAATGAGATATCAACTAACCCCAGGGAGAATGGTTTTTATCAAAAAGTCCCAAAACAACAGATGCTTGCATGATTACAGAGAGAAAAGAACATATACACTGTTGGGACTGCAAACTAGTACAACCTCTGTGGAAAATAGTATGGAGATACCTCAAAGAGCTAAAAGTAGACTTACCATTTTATACAGCAATCCCACTACTGGGTATTTATCCAAAAGAAAAAAAAGACATTTTATGAAAAAGACATTTGTGCTCGAATGTTTATAGCAGCACAATTCAGAATCTCAAAGATATGAAAACAACTCAAGTGCCCATCAATTCATGAGTGGATTAATAAAATGTGATATATGTATACCATGAAGTATTACTCATAAAAAAATGGTGAACTAATACTTTTTGTAACAACCTGGATGGATCTGGAGACCATCCTTTTAAGTGAAATATCACAAGAATGGAGAAACAAACACCACATGTACTCACTACTAAATTAGAACTAATAGATCAACACTCATGTGCACATATGGTAGTAAAATTCAAGACAAATCAAGCAGACAGGAGGGTGGAGGAGGGGATGAGTAAATTCACACCTTAAGGGTACAGCACACATACTCTGGGTGATAGACACACTTACAACTTTGACTCAAACTATACAGGAGCAATTCATGTAACAAAAACATTTGTACCCCTGTAATATTCTGAAATTAAATAAATAAATAAATTTTTTAGAAAATCAGAATGACATAGGAGACTATCTTATAAACAAATGACTCAAGACAGAATTACATTAGGACAACATACCTATCTATACTGATAAGTGGAACTTGAAGGACAGGTTCATCCCACTTTGTCTTCAAGGTGTCTGATTTTAACATATTCTCCAAGCTTCTCCTGTATCCTTATAACAAAATACGACAGCTGTTTCATTGCTTTGTGTTTTCAAAATGGCTGTGTCAAACATTTTCTGAATCTCTCAGGCCTTTTCTCTATTCAGTGCTACTGAAAATTATGGTTCCTGCTTTCAGCTATAAATTTAGCCAAGGCTGGTTTAAATATATCTAGAGCTTGTCATTTTTTCCCACACTACCGAGTGTCAGATAATCACAAGTCAGCTCATTCTTTCATCCCTATATTAACTTTCTATGTTCCACATTATTTATTATAAATATAGTATTTGAAGAAGACATGTTATTTATTAAGAATTGTAGTGGGTAGGACCACAAAAGTCAATGAGAAGCAGCTTTTCTTCTCCACTTGTTTCACTCAAGGTTGATCTTTGACTTTAGGAGATCTGTGTTTTCAAAGAACAATGTTTCAGAAGAAGAAGATTCACTATGGCAGTGACTGATGTGAGCAGTGGGGATGCCAATCACCAGCTCAGGCAGTGAACTAACTCATGTCTTCATGAGTAAAATGACCACAGTCAAATTGAAACTTTTGGAAATCAACTCTGAGAAAGAAGAACTTATAATCTTAAAGCACTTCCCTAAATTTGTGAAATGAAAAACCCTAAAATCTATATAAATGTAATTCCACATGTTTCGTGTGTGTTCATACCTTTTCTACATTGTAATGATATTTCAAATGTATTTTGAAAAGTATCTGATTTAAGATGTAAGATAGCTTGATATTTTAGTAGATGAAAAACAGACCATTCTATCCCTAATATTAAAAAAAGAAAATGAAGGAATGAGACAATACCAGAAAAGCAATTCATTGTTTTAAAATTCTACAACTCTCTATACATAATTAACTTAGCATTAGAACTTTCCTTTCATAGAAGGTGAATACTGCTTTTTATTAATAATAGGGAAATTATCTTTGGCTTGCTCATGATATTCCAGAGTCTGTATAGTTGCTTTTACAAGTGTTATTTAATCTAATATGACAACTCCATTATTAGATAAGGAAAGGAAACCAAAGAATCTAAGGTTCTAGGGTCTTAGATATCTTTTCAAGGGTACAACTGGTAAGTTGCAGGGTGGGATTCAAACTAAGTGGAGAACAGTTTTCTCAAATAAAAAAGTAAATAAAAACAACTTAGTGTTTAGCCACTGCTATATATTAGGTGGTCATTAATCCTGAATCTTTGTTAATATTTGTAACTTTTCTTCAAATATTTTTTTCTTAGGATATTAAAATGATTCTCCAAAGAAGCGAACATGTACAAGGAAGTGACGGAGAGAGATCATCTTCAAGACTTACAGAGGAAAAGAAATGAAGATAAAAGAGCTTGATTTTTCTAATTTGGCAATGAATCTTCCAAAATTCAAATGAGACCATGATGTCTGTCATATGTATTATTACTGTAAGTGTAGAAATGGACCCTACTGGTTTATGAGAGGCATGGAAAAGAGAAGTTTTCTTAATTCAGAAAATATTCTGTAATAAACCTTAAAGAAAGAGAGCAAAAATCCAATGTAAGCAGGAATGCATTTTGAAGTAATTCTGAAAATAGAAAGGCCAGAACAATATATTCAAAAATAAATATACACATAAGTCATGAATAGCCCCTGTGAGAAGTATCTGCGTTAGGCAAATATAGTGAAAATTTCCCCAAAATTCCACATCAGTACTGCTGTGTACATCTTCTTCTAGCTCTTCTTCTAGTTCTTGCTCTGCATGCAGTAAAATTTCAAAGTTCATCCCAGTAGCCAAGGAGAAGACTTCATTATTGAACTGCTAGTACAGTTATGCTCCTGTCATCTATTCCTAATTCTTTCTATATAAAATGTTTCCTTCATTGATAGATGTACAATTTAATCTTTTTACTTGGTAAATTAGTGACTCAAATTCAATAATATTTATCTAAAGGAAGTTTTTTTTTTTTTTTTAAAAAGAGCAATAATGTATTCTCAGTGGCTGGGGTCCTATGATACTGTCTCTGGGTTTCCTCCCATTTCCATGACTCTATGGGTATTATAGAGGCTTACAACACTGAAATTTCTATTCCCAGATTCCCCCTAAATCCAAACTTCTCTGTCTTAATGTCCCCCTATCTCCTCATGATGGCTAATAGTCATCTCAAACTCACCATATCTAAGTGAATTCCTGACTTTCCTCTCCCTTAAACCTGCTCCTCTACATCCTTCCCCATTGCAGGATGATTATTGTTCAAGCCAAAGACCTTGAAGTCTTCCTTGACTTGCCTCCTAGTAGGATAGACCTTGAAAATGCATCTGGAATGTAATCTTTCTTACCCCTCTGTCACAAGAAGTCTGGTCCAAGCCACCACCATCTCTTGTCTGGATCATTGCAGTAGCCTCTTAACCAGTCATCCTGTTTCTGTTCATGCTATCCCTACAAGCTGTTCTTGCCGCAGCAGCCAGAGGGAGCCCTTTACAATGCTAGTCTGGCCATGCCACCTTCTGCTCCAGCCCTCTTGGCATCCTAACTCATGCAGAGAGAGTCATGCCCAATTCCTTGTCTTGCTAACATCTTATTCCCTTGCTACCTCATTGATCTCATCTCCTGCTACTCCCCCCTTTCTCACTCTGCTTGGGTGACAAATCCACCTTGCTGATTCTGGAACATACCAGGCACGCTTCTGCTTCAGGGACTTTGCACTTGCTCTTCTCTCTGCTTAGAATAATTTTTTCTCTCAAATCTCTACATGGCTTGCCCCATGACTGCCTTTGGGTCTCTCTCCAAATGTCACATGATCAGTGAGGCCTACCCTCACTATCTAATGTAAAATAGAAATGAACCCTCACACCTCACCCCTACTCTTATTTTTCTCCAGTACACTTGTCAGCATCTGACAAACTGCATATTTACTCTCTTGTCTATCACTCCAGTTGGTTGTAAGTTCCATGAAGTCAAGGCTTTTGTGTTTTTTCTTTCTTGTTGTGCCTCAGAGCCTAAGACTAAAATTAAGTTGTGTTGATACATTTGTGCAAAACATGTGGAAAAAATGACATGTGATCGCTAACATGATGAGTTGTCCAAGACAATTTCTGTCGTTAGTGGGAATTATATTCTGTTTCTAGAAAGTGACACATTTCCTAATTTTGCTTTTTGTGGGCTAAAGTTCCTCTAAGGCTCCATTCCCAGAACTCTTGTCTTCAAGATAATGGAGGATCATGACCAGAGAAGAAGCCCTACCAGAGATTTCAAAATTTCAACTTAGATGATTCACATATGGACAAACAAGATAATTCTAGTTATTCTAGAGAATGGAGAATAATATCTAAAAATAGAGTTCAAATAAATAACATGATGAGATAGGCAGTAACGTAATCCACCATTCATCAAGGATGAACAAGACAAAACAAACTTATGTTGCAATAGAAAAACAATAAAGCAGAGCAAGCAGCATCCTTTGCTGTAATACTTTTCTTGCCCAATGTTGTAACAGGTAAATTATAGAATCTGTCTCCTGAAGCCCATTAATTCCTCTAAGCTATAAGAGAGCAACTGCACACAAGGGGTCTCCTACTGGGTATTTGCCATGTCACGGTCTATTAATCATCATCAGAATTAAGCAAATCTGATGACCAGGCATGGCCCAGAGACCCTCATATCTTCCATTACTTGCACATGTATCTCCTGCCAATACTTGGTTATCATAGAAAGATCCATTCAACAATAGCCTCAATTTTATCTGACCTTGCTACTACTAAATTAGTTTTGCACATTTTCAGTAAACTTCTCATTGCATTTCTCACAAGCTCTGATCCAAATGTCTTTTTTAGTCCCTGAAATGTTGGCACCACCTCTTTTTTATTTATAATTGGGGGAAAAGGGCAACATGAATGAGAATACCATGTCCTGAGCACCTGTTATATGCTACAAGCTGTGATACATTACATACATAATTTTCTTATTTCATCCTTGTAATAATGCTAAGAAGTATTACTTCTTCTCCCTTTACAGGTGAAGACACTGAGTATTGTAGAGGTTTAGTGACTTGCACAGGATTGCCCAGCTAGACCCTGGTAGAGCTGTGATTCAAGCCCAGTTTCTGACTGATGCCAAAGCCTGTGCTCTTTTCTTCACATCACATTGCCCCTTTGAGGTGGGACGAGGACTGTCAATACTATCCAGCATGAGCCTTTTCATCTTTCCTCCTTTGCTGTCTCATAACCTCTGTGTCCACATTTATTCTCTCCTCCTTTTCAGTCCCAGAGCAGTGAACTTTTTGAAGTCTAATCGCTTGCTCTTACTGTGCTGTAGGTCCTAGTTCCTCCCAAACCTCTAAAATCCTGGTAGCTTATTATCTCCTGTAATTTTTTTTTCCTTTCTCCTCTGGCTATGTCTCTTCAGCCTACAAGCTGTTCAAGATTCAGGCATAGGGGGAAAACTTTTTTCCCTTTACCCTATGCTACTTAACCCTAGAGTTACATATCTCCTGCCCTATTTTCTTTTGCTGCCAGACCTTTTAAATAATAGTTTACCCTCATTCCTTCTATTTTATCACTTGACAGTTATTTTTATCATAACAGATATTCAATTTTTCAGATACTTTTTTCTACATTTAAAACAAAAAAGCTCATATGATTTGTTTCCTTTAGCATATTGATATGGGGAATTACATTGTTTAATTGTGAATACATTCCAACAATGTATTACACTATTTGTATATTACTGGATTTGAGTTGCTAATATTTTCTTGAGGAGTTTTTTGGTCTGTGTTCAGGAGAAATATTGGTCATAGTTTTATTTTCTTATAATGTATTTGGTTTTTGTATCAGGTTAATTCTGGCCTCATAAATGAGTTAATATATAGTCATTCTTTTATTTTATGGAAGTTTATGTAGAATTAGTTTTTCTTCCTTAAGTATTCCCAATGAAGCCTCTTGACCTGGAGTTTTCTTTGTTGGAAGAACTTAAATTATGAATTCAATTTCTTTAATAGAGTTAATGTTATTAAGATTATATATTCTTCTTGAGTAAGATTTGATGTCTTTCAAGGAATTTGTCTATTACATCTAAATTGTTAAATTTATTGGCAAAACTTGTTTATGTCTTTATTATCCTATTAATATTGGTAGGTTCTGTATTAGTTACAACCTCTTTCTCAAATCCTGATTTCTAGGTAACTTGTTTTCTCTTTTTTTTTTTTTTTTTTTGTGGTCAGTCTGGCTAGAGATTTATCAATTTTATTCTCTTTTCAAAGAATCAGCTTTTATTTCATTAATTTTTATCTATTATTGCTCTTGTATACTGCCAATTTTTTACCTCCTAGAATATCTGATCTCTCTACTCCTCTGAAACTTATCTAACAAAGGTCCCAAAAGATCTCTCAACAAACAAATGTAGTGGCAATTTCTGTCCATATTTTTATGCTATTAATCATTACCTTACTTTTTAATTCTCTTCTTCCTTGGACTTCATGACAACAAACTCTGCTAATTGTCTTTTTATGTCTCTGATTACTCCTTCTCCAATTCCATTATTTAGTTGTATTTTCTTCTTCTGGTGTCTCAGTCCATTCTTTCTTGGTTATTCCAACCACCTATTTATCTTCCATGTTCATCTACATGCAAATGATTCCAATGTTTTTCTTCATCTCTGACTTCTATGACCATCAGAAGTTTATACACATTTGCCTGCTAGCTTAAAAATCCTGTTGGGCTCCTTAGCTATATAAGCCCAAACCTGCATCTTTGTCACTACCCATCTCTTTCCAGATACAGGCATTTGGGCATCAGTGGGGCACTTTACAGGGTTATTCATGATATCTTCATGATATTCTTGGCAACAAGGTAAACAAATATGGCTAGAGGCAAAGACAAATGAATTGTAACTGGTGGAGTAACTTTAGCAAACAGAATATTGACATGTGAGTGATTAACTGTCTTCCTCAATGGACTGTCAGCTGCAGGAGATACTGACTGTGTCTGTCTTATTCACTGTGGAAGTACAACACATCAATAAAGATATTCAAAGAAAGGTATAGAATCCATGGGGTGTTTTTAGGATAGAAAGTGGTAAAAAGTTTATTTTATTTTCTCAGAGAGAGACAAGGGAGAGAGAGAGGAGGGAGAGGGTATGGCACATGAAAGAAATAAAGGGAAAGTGCTGGCCCCATAGAATCCATGTTAATTATAATTATGATTGACACAGTGTTGGAAATCATTTAAATTCAGTTATGTTTAATAAGAGAAAGAGGCCAGATGTGGTGGCTCACACCTGTAATCCTAGCACTCTGGGAAACCAAGGCAGGAGGATCACTTGAGGCCAGGAGTTTGGGACCAGCCTGAACAAGAACGAGACCCTGTCTCTATAAAAAATAGAAAAAAATTAACCAGGCATGGTGGCACATGCCTGTAGCCCCAGCTACTCAGGAGGCTAAAGTAGGATGATGACTTGAGCCTAGGAGTTTGAGGTTGCAATGAGCTTCAATGACACCACTGCACTCTAGCTGGGGCAACAGAGAGAGTATTTGTCTCAAAAAATAAAAAAAATAAATAAAAATAATAAAAGAAAGAAGACCCAATAATTTCTTGAAGAATGAGTCCCACCTAACAAGGTTGAGATTTTAATATTAGTTAACAATAGATAATAATAGCTAATATTATTGAGGGTTTACTATAAGCCTGGCACTGGGCTAAGTAGTACTTATTATCATTTAGTTCTCACAACTGTGTGAAGTAGGTACTTTTTTTTCGATTTCTATTTATTTATTTATTTATTTATTTATTTCAGGATATTATGGGGGTACAAACATTTTGGTTACATGTTATGACTTTGCCACACCCAAACCTTTAAGACTGATATTTACAGATGATGAAAATTAGGCTTACAGAAGCTATGTAACTTGCCCAAAATCACATAGCTGGTAAATAATAGACTTGGACTGGGAACTTGATACTAACCCAAAG